CTGGTTTGCACCAGCCAAAAGTGACAAAGCAAAAGTGACTACTGCTAACCCTAGCACATCTAGGCCTACACAATCCATAGTGATGTGCCCATCGGCAGTGATCACTCTATGCAAACCACGTAAATAGCACAACACCTAGAAGGTGGGGCTCATAACCTATTGCACAGAGGATGGGCTACTACAAAGAGCTAGACAAGAGCACTTGCCTTTTACAGGTTAATGGTAGATTTGAGAGTAAGCTTGTTGGGGCTCAAGTGTTCATATGAACAGTAGATTGTCTTATAGGTAAGACAATGGGGACTCCAGGAGAGATACCCTGAGTTTATATACATGTAGCTTTACACATGGACCAGTAACGTATAAGGAAGGAGCTACATTGTAAGTACCATATAAGGTAAAAAATAGCAAGGAATGCTATGGAATATGATGCAATATATGATGTCATAATGATGTATGTGTGGAGCTGCTCACCAAGCATAGTCATGTGATGTACAATGTGTTGATACATGTGTAAGTCTAGAGTCAGAACTATTATGATATTTCCAACAGTTGTGGTGGTCAGCCATCAGACCTCAGGAAATGACACTACTGCCTTTGTCCATATCCTTTGGTCAGCTGATTGACATGGTGCATTCCAATGATGTGAGATGATGGACAGGCACACCATCATGCTGGTAAAATTTCAACCCCCCTGAAGTGGGTCTGTACTCCCTTTGCATTGACAGTGCCTGCTGATTGTTCTTCACGGTATACAGGTGAGCAGACTTCGGAGGTACCTCCTTTCACCAAGAAGACTCAGAAAGTTGGGACTTCTATGCTTGATATGCTGACTGGATTCTTATTCTTCTAATGACTTTTGCTGGAAGTGCATCCCAAATGTGTAGTGTATCAGACTCATCCTGGCAGATTGAACATTCATGGCAACATTATTGACCCATGGGGTTATATTATGCTGTTCAAATGTTCATCTCTCTTTTACAGCATTGCACTTCTCTCACAGATGTCAGTGCTGTTTGCTTTGGCCATGTCTTGTCTATATCATGATCATCTTCCTGGGTGAGTCCCCCAGTCTTGTCTCATCAGGATCAGAGGCAGCAGCAGTTCTACTCTTATCTGTTCACTGTGCATCATGCCATAACTGTGTTCAAGGGCAAGATTTTCTCTGTAATCTTTTGCAGTGCATGTATGCCCACAGCAGGGCAGCATCCTTGAACCCCATGTTCATTGGTTTACTTGAACCTTTGAATCTTAACCCTCTGCAGCCCATCATTGGATCTTCATCCATTGATAAACTCTTCACATGTTGTATGTACTGCATCCTCAGCATGGCAGTATAGCATGTCAGACTCACAAGATCTCACTCCCTGTGCATTGCTGCCCTTTGATCATGAAAAGGCAGACATGATTTTATGATCATCTGACAACATAGATTTCCATGTCTTCAAGCTGTTCCTCTCTCTCACATCCCCATTCTTTGAGACCCTCTTTGATCTTCCCCAGCCATCAGAGGAGATGAGCACAGACATAGAAATGAAGGATGGACTACCAGTCATTCCTGTCTCAAAGGACAGCAAGATGCTAGACCCACTCCTTTGTTTCTGTTATACCCGCACTCCGGCAGATAATCCTGCCCTGGAGGATTTCAGAGACATCATAAATGTACTTGACACTGCCAAAAAGTATTCCCTCAACACAATCGAGAGGACTGCATGCAAATCTCTCTTCAACCTGAAGATATTGGAGACAAATTCACTTCATTGCTTTTCCATTGCATGCTGTGCTCATTTTCAAGACAAGTGCATTCTAGCAGCCAAATATACACTCCAGGAGCCTCTGCTTCCCATGTGGTTTGAAGAGATCAAGTTGATTACTTCCACTGAACTCCTTGCATTGCTGACATACCATCATAAATGTGGCACTGCCATTCAGGCTTTAAAGAACAACTTTTCTTGGATCACAACTGAATACCCTCAGTCAAGCACTGCCCATTGGATGGCTGCTTTACAGTCCAATGGATATAATAGCTGTTGCCAGTGGTCAACCTCTGGAAGGTACCCAACACTATGGATATGGAGTCACCCAATGGTGGGAAGCATTCATGAATGCCACTTTCCTGGATTTGCAGGACAAGCTGTGTGCAAAAACTATCCTACAAAATGTAGAGAAAGTTATACAGGCAGTTCACCAGTGTAATTGCTCTCACTGTTCTGTGTCAGTGCCTGGGAGGATGCAAGAATTTGGAATGCTCTTTATCAGGAAAGTGGAAGAGTTAATTTCAGGGGTGAGCTCTATCTCTGTCATCAATGCCTGCAGTAGTTGGATGAGCTTATCAAATGTCAGGTTGAGCTGGAGCTGTGGTTTTGATATGACACTAATTACTGCTTTCTAGTTGAAGACATGGTTGGAATGTGTAAGGCATTGAATGTGATGCAGTGCTTTTTGTAAGTGTTTTGCATGTGATGGATATACTACCACGTCACTCCTGAGATGGATGTGTGTCTTGAAGAGTAGGCAGCTATTACAAACAATCCTGGAAGGCATATCCCAAGCTTGGATTGGCTGCATGAAACCTATGTTGTTGTCAAAGCCTTTGTCTAACCCTTCCAGAAACAATGCAGGGGCAAGGGGCAGTGGTATATCATTATTCCTCAGTCATTGTCTGCCTTGCAACAGTAATTTGATGCACTGTTGTTGGAGAGTATGACATTTCATCCCTTGTGCCCTGGCCATGACTGGTAGATATGATATCCTCCAATGGGTCACAGCCCACAAGCCATGAAGTATTCACAAAACAATCATACAATGGTTGTTGAATTCCTTTGTCATCAACAGGTGCAGGGTATGCAAGATATTTGAAGGAAACCCAGGACCTGGCTCAAACAGTCATTACTTCCCCTCCTTCCAGTCTATTACTCAATTGTTTATCACCTCCTTTATTGATAAACCCAGCATGGCAGCCTTGTGGTTGCAAACACCTTCACCTATTTCACAAAACAAGGTGAAATGGAAGTCCATGCTGAACCCTATGATCTGTAATGATTTCAGTTCAGCAGCAAGGAAGGCATCCATTTGAAATCCCCTTCCATCATGTATGCACAGTGTAGTGTCTCTAGAAATGTTGGCAGTCATCCCTTGCACAAGAATGAGTCATCAGTGCCAAAGAAAAAGGAAGGGAGCAAGTTAAGCACTGGTAAAAATTCTCAAGTGCCCATGTATGGCATTCTGGTTTTCAACATATCTCCACTGTCTCTGCAGATACTGAGACCATTCCCACACTCGCTTGTAGTGCTCAGTCATGTGATCCTACCTTCCAAGATTGGAAAGGATTTGCACACTCCACAGATGTCTACAGCACTCCCTCCAAAGGATGCTCATTTCACTAATTCTTCTGATATGGCTGCCTCCACATCAATCATTTCACTTGTCCCCTTTTCTAGGGACCATGACTACATATATCTACCAGGAGTTCCTACCAGCTTCTGTCCTGAAGCATCCTGGTACATCCCACCCTCATCTGTGCCCTCTCAGCCCATCCGGCTTGGACAGCATGTTCTTTTTGTCAGTATGACCTCTAGGAGGATGTTCTTTGGTCACCTCAGGTCTGTCATTTGCTTGGAAAGGTCTTATGTGGTTGTTTCAGTCTCTCCAGTCCAAGAAGCATATGGATCCTTCCTCCCTGCTCCCTGCAATGTCTTTGTACCAGTCTTGTTCATCATTCTTCCAAGATTGTGACAGCTACAGTATAATCTACTGTTCTCCACTCACCCTGATCACATCCATGATGAGTATAATGCACATCTTGCCTCCTTGTTGCAAGATACAGCAGAAGACACTCCCCCTTCATCCTCTCTTCCAACAGAGCCTCATTCATGAAGTTTTTATTTGCTTCACTGAGAGGATGGTTTGGGGGGGAAAGTTGCAATCCCCTATGCTCCTGTCACCCCACAGACCCCCAAAGCTTGACCCCTGTTGACATCTGACTCACCCTGTCCACTTTTGGATGTACTGTATTGGCATAGATCAGCACTGCCTCTCTGTCATCCCACCTTGGCCTAGAAGTGATCTCTTCGAGATGTGACATGCACAGCCTTCCCCTAATGTGGATCCAGTGCACTTTCCCAGTTCCTGACCTTACTTGACTCATACCTTGATGTTTTGACTGTCATTGACTCACCTATTGCCAATACTTACCAATCTTTTGACCTTGCTTACTGATCCTTTGCCTTTTAGCTTGCTAATCCTTACCAATGCTCTCCAATGCTTTCCAAGATGATTACCCATTGCTTACATTCCTTACTCATCGGTTACCAATCACTTACCAAGTGTTTGCACCTTGTTTTCCATAGGCAACACCCTGGTACTGTATATAAATCACTGTACTTAGATAGCAAAAAAAAAAAAAAAAGAAGAAGAAGATGTCAGAGAGCCCCTCTTGCTCACATTTTATCATCACTCAGTAATTCATTCAGCAGCTTTGATAGTTGAGACTTTATTAAGGGTCTAACTATTATCTACTTTGCTTATCCTTGTCTATCATCAATCTACTTTGCTCCAAGCCCTCCCTGAGCTCAGTGCGGCTTAGGACATTGAATTAAGTTGCCATCCATCCTTCTGTAGGCTGACAGCAGTCTACCCTATCACTTTCTATCACATTCTTGCTCCCTCTTCATCAGGAGCACCCCCATCCCTCAGCACTTGTCTTTGAGTGTTGTAGCTTGCAAAAACACACCCAAATCAAAGGTTCTACCATCTGGGTACTGCATAGGCACACCACCACTTGCTCTTTTTGTCTTTTGTGTTGGTTTTGGTTGGTTTTCACCACTGAACCACACTTTGACTCACAGCATCTGTCAAGGTAGTATTCCAGCTTCACTCAAGGATGCATATACAACATCACCATTGACAGAGGAGTATTGCAACTAGATTGCATACCAGCTAGGAGTATGCAAAACTGCAAGGGAGTGGGTGATTGGGTATGAGGCTTGTAAAAGGTTTCATGGTCATACAGGGATGCAGTACAAGACTCTGTGTATCCTTCCTTGCAGAATTGGGTGGGGGGTACCCAAGAGCCAATGCTGTGATTGGATTCTCAGTCTCACAACTCATTTTCCTGCAAGATGTCAGTCCTTTCTTGTCAAAACAAATGGCAGGATGATGCACATAGTCATTCCATGTCTTGAGGAGAATAGAGTGAGGATCAAACTTGCCTTTGTCCTAATGCACAATAACAGCAATCAGCAACATAATGCATTCAAGATTAAGCCACCTATGTGAATCTTTCCAGATTCTCCCAGTATGACATGCATGGCACCCCATGAGAAATTGTCCATTCACCAAAATGAGTAGATTGGAAGCATGAATGAGAAAATTGGGATGGCCAAGATTTAGAAATTCATCCATCCAACCATGTCCCACTTGTGATGCAGAATGAACACCAAGGCTTTCAAACCATACACAGCAGCAATCATGACAAGGGAGATGAAGGGGATGGTACTGTGCTCATAAATGACCAACATGATCAAGTAGACAATCTGTAATCTTATAAGCATCATCACACTCCAAGGACAATGAATCAACCTACATATGTGATGGTGATGGGCTGAGTCAGCATCAATATGAGATCCATCATGACAATGAAATGCATGGAGAAGCAACAGAAACCACAAAGCTGATCCAGGAACATGAGTTCACCAAGATTATGAATGGTTGAGTTGATCCAATGATGATGTTGTGAGAGCAGAACCTTCCAATCATCTGGAGTGACCATCTCAGCATGAGTGTCCCTGATAAATTGCATCTTGTACATTGGGAAGTGTTTGAGCAATAGGGTTGTCAATTAATGATCTTCTCTGAGAAGCAGTAAGTTCTTCATGTGTAGGGTATTGACATGGTTCTGGGAATAATCTTGGGTAATTTGGTTGGAGACAAGCAGGGGCTTGTGTGTGTCTGGTGTGCACAGATGGAACAAGGTGAAACAACTGGGCAAGCAAGTGAGCAAGCCAAACAGACTCTCAAATGCCTTCGCCATGTGATGGGAGATGAAGTACTTGTACACCTAATGAACCACCCTCAGCCCTCTCACCAAACAAAGACATTGCAGGGACTATATGCACCTGCATCATTGTCACAATCAACTGTTTGGCATTGGTGAGGGATGTTTCACCACACATGCCAAGGACTTTCTTGTCATGAATCATTCTATGGCTGGTCAGTTTCCTTGATTCCCCTACCAAGCAGCATGACATGACTTACACAGACATGAGGCAGTTAAGTGCATATGGCTCTGCAGTTGTATCTGCATTGACAGCAAATAGATACTCATAAAATGTCAGGTTGATGCTGATGACATTCTTGATCTGGTGATACATCTTGAGCTCAAGGGGATTCATCAGTGTATTGTAATGCACCTAAAAACCCACTATCAGCACCCAAAAACTTGCATAAATGTGAACCAACATACCTTGTTCAAGAAATGCATGACTGCCATCTGTGAATCATGCTTACCACAATTTCTGGGATGTGACCTCTCTGTCAGCTTCCTGACCTTGACAACCACAAGGTAAGGCATGACATGTCCAGCACACTTGTACAGACCTGAGTACACTTTGGCCATATTATGCTGTCAGGTGCCCTCACCAATCAATACAAAACTGAGCAGTTCAGGGTCCAAGTTTGGGTCAGCACTGAGAATATCAAGCACAATACATGGTGTCAGGCAATTGTTGCCAGATCTGACAATGTTCCCATTGCACATGATGAAGATCAGTTTGCGCTTATTGTCATACTTGAGCACAGCCAATGAATGGATTGTATGCCAAAGTGATGTCTTGCCTTCAGTGTAACATGGAACTTGGCAAATCATGAACTTGTCATGGTCCTCAGGTGCATGAACAGCCCCAAAATTGATCAATGCAATGAATTTGAACCCAATGATGGAGACCATGAGAACCAAAAGGACAAGCAAGCTTGAACTGCTTCATAAAATCCTGCCTGGAGTTGATCTTGAACAGATTGACAATGGTGGAACTCATGAATTGTGTGTTGACACCTCTGCCCACTTGTGTACCAGTAGGCATAATGACAGCAGGCAGATAGTTGAGATATGTGGTTAAATCATAGATCAACCCATTGAGGATCCTGAGTGACGATCCACTATTGGCCATATCCTTATTCTCTGAAGGCATGTACCCAACATACCCAATGTGATTATTCCACTGCATGATCGTCATGCTCTTGAAATACCAGTTCAGGCAAGAGTCATTGGTAAAAGCATGGAAGTTGTGGTACTGAGCATTGGGGTCAGTTTTGTTGGCAGAGTCGAGCATCACCCAGGGGCTCACAGAACCTGAGACACTGTTATATAGCATGCTCACCTATGTCTTTACATTGGAGGAGACCACACTAAGATACATGACCTCATGTACCTGCATAGGGAAAATTGCATCTGAAGCCATGCCACCATACTGGAGGACAGACTTGGTTGACACCATGCTAAAGACATGCTGATGCATTTCCACCACAGCAGTCAAATCAAAGACTTCTCCTCAATTCAACATATAAACATTATTTGGATTGTTTTGATATGAATGTGACACCAGTTCAGATGTGCTGAATACATACTGAGTAGGTCAGATGACCAACCCAAGCACAGTAATGATGAAAACATACACAGTGACAGTAACAAGCTGAATTAGCATTGATACAAGATCCATTGTGATGAACAGAGGCTGCAGTGCTGATCCAAGGGCATGAGTTCACTGAGGTTATGAGTGGTCAAGTTGATATGACAACAAGGTTGTGAGCTAAGCAGAACCTTCTAATTGTCCAGAATGACCATCTTGGCATGAGTGTCTCTGATAAGTTGCATCTTGTACATTATGAAGTTTTTGAGCAACAGGGTTGTCAGAAAACAATCTTCTCTGGGGCAGCAGGTTCTTTGTTTGTGGGGTAAGTCATGTTGCCCCTGCAGCACCAATTTCAGAAATGTGCCCAATGGAGGTGGAACCCAGATATTGTCTAGTCCTTGAAAAATGTACTGGGCTTTCTTCCCACTCACATGCCATCAGCTAATGGCAACTGAGTGGCCAGTTGACTGGGTAATATGGGCAGAGTGGCCCCATTCTGTCAACATTACCTCAGGCTCACCTTTCATGTCTGATGATGAATGGACCTGAACCATCCCTACTCCTCAAGATCAATGAGCTTGACATATACTGATCACTGCAAAGTCAGGTCCATCTGAACCATTCAAATGTGCTGTTTGGAGATGGTTAATACATGCAATTGAAAGAAACTACATATCACCACAATAGTCAGTATGTGTGAAACATTATATGACCTGTAGTGGAGGTATCACTATTTCTTTTGTCTAGTAATGCAGGTAACCCTTGCTGGAACAGCCTCAATGCCTTCCTCTGTCGCCTTAGCCTGTCCTTGGGTTGCTTTCTTGCCTTTCTTAGTGGCCTTGGAGGAATGGCCACTCACTAAGGCTGGCATGACAACAAGGGGGTCAAGAGGATTCAGATCAGATGGTTGGGAGCTGCCAAGAGAAAGAGTGGAGAGGGGAAGGGAGAGTTCCAAACTGGTTGCCAACACAATCACTGACTGTGAAGGAGAGATGGACCCAGCCTCTAGAACAGAAATACTAAGGTTTGTATTTGGCTGAATAGCACTAGAGATGGAAGTGCCATTCCCCCAGGCAGTGCTGGCAGTGCTGAGTGAGTTCATACATATCTGAGGAGGAGGGAAGTCTTCAGCTTGAATGGTGCTGGTGAGAATGGAAGGGTGTGTAGCTGACTGGCTGGTGACAGGGACAGTGGGAGGGTTTGAGTTTACCTCTGCAGTCCCAGTCCCACTGACACCTCTGAGTTGTGCCAAGATATCATCTTCCCAGCTTCTTGGTGCCTCAACAGAATCTTCAGCTTCAGGAGGTGGTTGTTGGGATCCATCACATCAGTTTGCACCAAAGATGGCATTATCAAAGTGCTCAAAGATTCCCAAAGCCCACTTCTTGTTCTCTTGTTTTCAGAGCAGCTCTATATAGAATTTGAAGTCCTTCTCATATGAAATTCCAGTTTGACTACCAGTAGATGAGACTTCATCATCCCCAGAGAGCAGGAAGCAGGCCTATCAATGTATGATGAGTGGGTGGCTGTCAGCACAGGTAGGATGTAATTTGACTCACAAATGTACAACAAATTGCAATGATGCCCTCTGGCATTGTTGTTGCCTTCAATTTCTGACCCCTGCCAGGTGAACCACCTTTTTTCTTGCCTGTCAGGACACCTTTTCTGAAGTGCAACACACATGCAATCTAATATAACAAGACAATCAGTTGTGAGTGTGTCCAATACATTCAGCCAGGAAGTGGTTTACCTGAGTGAGCACCTTGTTTTTGAAGAGGCTGGAGATATTCATTGCTGATGGGTCTTCAAAAAGGATCGGTGCAAGTTGTATATACACCTCATCAGGGTTCACTGGGTTTCACTTGAGGAGTGACAAAAAGGCAAGATTGTCTGTTCTCTTTCTCCAGTTGCTGAGTGCCACCAGATCCAGTCCTGGACTCAAATGAGCAAAGAATTGCATGACAGAGTCCTTGACAGGTTTAAGAATGTTGCCACATTTGCCATTCACCATAAATGTGAACTGTGAGAAGCAATAGTTAGCAATTGTTTTCTGGATTAGGTATTCTTCACTTACAAGTTGCTCAAAGTGTTCATACTTCATAGTCTGAGCCTGAAGTTCAGGGGGAACCATAAGGTAAAGCTCAGCACCATTAGCAATGGCCTTGGACTCAGGAGTTTGATAATGTATTGGATCACATAAATCAAAGTCAGGAGGGCACACATGAAGAGGGAAGATGCCACTAGGAACCCATAAGTGATAAAAGTAAGCATACTTCTTTGCTAGGGTGATGATGGCAGCATCCAGTGGGCCTTGAGTGATCGACTTGAGGGCCCAGGATTGTGCTCTGGGTGCTACCTTGGCCTTAAATTTGTTTAGCTCATTCCTCATCTTTATTAGTTCCTCTCATAGGTGATTAAAGGAGACCTGTGCTTGTCCCAGTGCCTAGTAGTGGTAGTCAGTAATATTCAGTTTCATAGGCAGGTCAGAATGCATACCTGGTGCAACTCAGCAGGGCTCACATCTGGCACAGGGGCAGCCATAACCCTTCACACCTCATTGAGTTCCCTGTCCAAGTTAGCACCTGCACCTCTGGCCACCCCATGGTTTGCTGCACACAGGACATCCTCATCATTATCAGTATTCTCGTCAAGGCTATCATGGCCCACAGTGTCAATATCTAGAGTAAAATCCTCAGACATTGCTGGAAACTGGTAAAACAGACCTAGTTGAGGTTGCAGCTGATGTTCTGTGACCAGTGTGTAACAAATCAGGGGTGAGGTCCTCATACTAAATGTTGGCACTGAGCAGATCCTTTTGAAGGGTGTTCAATGAGGCAAAAGACAGAAATGAAGTTGACTAACCATTTACACCAGTGCAACATTGTTGAGCTATCTTACCTCACTGTTACCTACCAGTAGAGCATACCAAGTTAGAATGGCAGCCAGGAGACCCAATTGGAATGGCAATAAGAGCAGACTCACCATTTGAATGTGTCTGTAGGAGTAATATCATTTGTTGTAGTCCAGATAAAGGCCCCACCACCACTGCTTTGATGTTATTGAGTTGACATCATGATGTCAGTAAACATGCAATATTATGACTCAAGAGATCAGAATTAGTAACTCAAAACATAGTGACAACAATTTGAAGGATAAACCATATCATTGTTAGAGATCCAGTGAGAGATTCAGAATACACTAGCACAGAGCATTGGTATGAGGAAAAGAGAGCAGCTATCTAAAGTACAATATAATGTTTCCTTACTTCTGGTCTAGATGACACCTGTTCCACTCATTGATGTGACAAAACATGTCTCCATCAATGTGCTCTGCCACAAAATATTTGTCTTTATATTTGGGGTCAGGGTACAGCAACACTCCCCTAACAATGGACCAGATGGGGATGAATATCAATGCTGTGTGGGGATGTGCTTTAATGTGCATGAGCCTGAAGGCATTGTTGAAGGAGCTGTGAGCTGCATTGATGTTGGCTGTATAGGGGTGAACAAGAGCAAATTGATAGGTGCTGAAGTCAGGAATATTGCACGAAAACATGAATACCAAGTGAGCAAAAGCAATCTCACTATGCAAAAGCTGAAAGAGGACAGTGTCATAATGAGGCTTGCCATGGAAGGAAGGGTTGCACTGTAGGTAGTCAGTAGCTTGCTGCTAGTCCATCCTTGATTCGTAATTGACCTTGAGGTAAGCATGTTCCTGCAACTACATGCATAGGTCATTGTGAGATGGGGTAATGACTACTATGCAACATGGCAAAACATACCTGGAGTGTTTTGGCAAATGAGATATTTTTCCAAGAATTCCAGTTGTGATTGAGGTAGATAGGAAGGCACTGATTGATGAACCAAGTAAACTTCTGATGGAAACCTTGGAATTCTTGCTGTGAAGCATGATCATGAATGATCAATTGAATGCTCTTTGGTGACTGCAGTGAACTGAGCTTAACATGCTCACTGAAACTCATGAGGACATCCTCATCACCCCCACCATCAATATCATCATCATCATGATCTTGCTGTGTATGATTGGCTTCAGCATCCACCTGGTTCCTAATTAGTTTCATGGCTAAGTGGTGGTGATCAACATGAAGGACCTATGTGACTTCAGGTCAGTGGGACTGAGTGAGATGAGAAGAGCAGAAGCTGGACACACCTGAATGGCAACATCCTTACCATTTGAGCAGTCCTGATATGCATCTTTAAGTGAGCCATGCATTTTCTCATTGGGCTGAGTGCTGTAGTTATGGGCTGCTCCTTTATTCTGAATGTCCCACATGACATGTTTCCAAAGATGGACCTTTGGAAAATTCCAGTCCATTTTGAGGTGTCCTGCTAGCTCACCATTAGCCACATGGGAGACATACTCCTAGGTCAGAGTGGGGGATCAACAGTCAACTCTAACAGCAAGGAAATATCATGTACCTTTAGCTCACTTCCAAAAACCAACTGTTCCCTCTCTATCAATTCAAGGGTCCTGTCAGTGTGCATGTCCAGCCCAATGAGACTGTCCAATTCTAAGTAGCTGTGGAGCATCCATAGGAGCTGGTAGCCTTCACAGCTTACATCATTTGTCAGAATATTCAAAGCAGCATAGAAGGTTTGCTTGTGAGTTTGTTGGCTTATACTGGGAAGTCAAAAGAAGAATCTCACCCATGCAAGATCTTGGAGTTTGTTCCCATCAGCATGGCTTACATGTAGGATGCCATTGAAGTGCACCAAACCTTGCCAGCTTGGAAATGCTGCAGGCCTGCATGCAATTTAGGATTAGGATGTCTTAGTGAAGTAAATAGAGGGTAGTACATACTGCTCCTCAAGTTGCACTGCATACTTATGCAGTAATTTGCTTAAAAGAATCTTGAGTTCTTTGAGTGAGTGGTGCCCAAAAAGACCATCATGCAGAGCATGGAGGTGGTCAAAGCTCACAGCTTCCTCTGGCTCTGAGTTCTCAACCTTCCAGAAAATGTTCTTGTGATTTGGTTGTGTGGTTGGTAAGAGTCACTATTAAATACAAAACTCACTGCAACTGGCTGACTTCTTTTCCTGATAGATGGTGAGGGCTTCTTTTGCCTGTCTTATGGTATGTGTTGGAAATGATTTGGCAAGCTGGGATAACTCCTTGAGGGGAACCAAACAAACTGGGCATGGATGTTTACTCTTCATGCCTTGAATTAGGCTCATCATGCATCTAATGTCAACATAGTTATTAGTATGTCAATTCACACTTGTAGTGCCCTCAACTTACTGTTCTTCATAATCAGCAGATTGTGGAATATATACTACAGGACTATTAGCTGAGTGTAAAGACAGGATGTGGAAAGTGCTCACCTCAGTTGGGTTAAGTAGCCAACTGAGGTGTGAGTACGCTACTTGAGTATGAACATGAATGTGATTATGTAATATGGCTAAATGTGTACTATAATACTAAGTGAGATGCAGACAAAAGTATAATGTGAAAGACAGAATATACAACACTCCCCCTCAAACATCATGGAGTCCAAGCTCATAAGCAAAGTGCTTGGCTTCAATGTTTGGAAGAGCCTTGGTAAGGGTATCTGCAACCATACTGCCAGTAGGACAGTAGATGAGGCAAAGCAAGCCATTATCAATAGCATAGCATATAAAATGATATTGAACATCAATGTGTTTTGTACAGGCATGGTAATTGCCATGGTGAGCAAGTGCAATTGCAGATTGACTGTCACAATGAATTGTGGTTGGGAGCAAGAGTGGGCAGAAAAGTTCTTGGATAAGGTGTCAAAGCCAGATGGCTTCTTTTGCAGCATGAGTAGTGGCAACATACTTGGCTCCCATAGTAGATAAAGTAATGAGTTCTTGTTTCTTCAAGGTCCAGGATATCACTCTGCCATTGAGCAGGAAGGTGTAGCCAGAAATGGCATGCCTGTGCTCCTGCAAGGCACCATCTGTGTCCATATAGCCCTCAAGGCCATACCTATCACCTCCAAATGTCAATGTGAGCCCTTTCATGCCTAAAAGGTATCTAAATATTCTTTTTATGCCCTCCCAATGTGCTAACCTGGGATTATTTCAGAATTGCAACAATGTCACAACAGCAAAAGCCATGTCAGGGTGTGTGGTGACCACTAGGTGCATCAGCGAGCCAACAGCTTCATGATACAGCACATTTTTCATGTGTGCAGCCTCAGCATGCATTTTCAGGCACTGGGCAGTTGAGAACTGGACTGAGGGGTCCATAGGCATTGCAACAGGCCATAGATCTACAAAAGTATATTTTAACAGCATAGAATTGATGTAGGATGCCTGCAAGAGTGAGAGCCTGTGTGCTGAGTGATTATGCACAACTTTTATTCTGAGTAGGGATGAGGTGGGGCCTAAATCTGTCAACTTGAAGTTTGCAGCCACTTCAGATTTGAACCTTTTGATTAAGCTAGGGTTATTGCCAGTAATGGTGCTGTTGTCAACATGTAATGTGAGGAGTAGGATGTCCTGGCCTATGTGCATGAAGAAAACACCCCAGTCAGCTTCAGTACAATGCATACCAAGTGTAGTGAGTGTGGTGCACAGCTGCTCATACCACTTCAATGCTCCTTGCTTTGATCCATAAAGCACTATGTGCAGTTGGGCAACAGGGTTTTTATATTTGCTGTTAACTGAGAGTCTGGGTGGCAGTTGCATGTAGATTACTTCATCATCATCCAACTTCCCATTTAGGAAAGCACTCTGGAAGTTGAAAACATCAACATCCCAGTTGTTCTGCACTGCAATAGCAAGGATGGTGTGGATAGATGCCATGCATGCAACAGGTGCATAGGTATCATAGTAGCCAATGCTGTGGACCTGTGAGTAGCCTTTTGCTACAAGTTGCACTTTGTATTTTTCAATTTCTCCCTCCATGTTGTGTTTGATATGGAATACCCATTTACAGCCAACCATGTTGACACCTTGTGGTCTCTCAACAATGCTCCACATTTGTGCTTCATCCAATGAGGTAAGTTCTTTATTAATTGCTTCCTCCCACTTTGACCAATCAGGTCTCACACAAGCATCTTTGATCATGATGGGATCTGTCTGTTCTAGCTCTGCAGTCCCAGCAACCAAGGCAAAAACTTCTTCATCATCTTCATCCATCACCCCCATCATACCCAGGTCTGCTGTCTCTCTATTCTCCTCTTGTTGCAAGCCTGGTTGTATTCCTCAAGGTAGTGGTAGTGTAGGCAGTAGGATTCATCTGTCATATGTACCCTCACCCTCACACAGGTGCCATACATATGCTGACTCAATGCATGTGTGACCAGAGTGACAGGTGGGTGCTGCAGGTTTGAACCTTGGTCCAAGGTGGTCAATGGGAGTACTTGGTGTCATAGGTGTGTTTTTCTGTGGTTTGTATGGCATGCTGATTGCTTTTACCAGCTATGTGTGAGGTGGATGATGCTCCCTTGTCATCTGTGATGTATTTCTCCCCCTCAAGCTGCATGCTGATAGGAATGGTGACCTCCTGCAAGCTGAATCAGACATTTTGTTCAACACCCACATGTCATGAGTCCTCAAAATAAATTCTGTGTGCATTTGTGTCCTTATTGAAGCCTACCCAGTGACCATCTTTCACATGCATGTCTAGTTTTGAACCATCAGCTGTGTGGACCTTGACATGGCAGCCCCAGATCAGTAGATCAGATAGATCTGGTTTCTTTTTATACAGCATTTTGTAGGGTGTCACTTTGTTGAGTGCATGGGTGGAGGTTCAGTTCTTTAACCAGTTTGCATGCATTATGGCTTCTCCCCATAGTGACTTTGGGAGACTGCTTGCATTTAGCATAGCACATACACATTCAACAAGTGTGCAGTTCAGCCTTTCAGCAACACCATTATGTTGTGGTGTATTGTGCACTGTGAGCTTCCTCTCTGTTCCTTTTAGCCTGAGATGACATGAAAACTCTTTGCTTAGGAACTCCCCACCCTGGTCTGAGCAAAGCCTTTTAACCTTCATGTTGAACTGTGTCAGTAGCCAGGCTTCATACTTCTGGTAGGACTCAAAGGTTTTGTCCTTTGACTTCAGGAGGTACAGGCTTGTAAAGTGAGTATGGTCATTGGTGTATGACATGAAATACTGACTCCTTGCATTTGTTTGGACAGGGGATGGTCCCCATAAGTCCATATGGATTTCATTGCCAACCTTGTCTTGGTGTGGGGGGTCTCAGATTTTTCCTATGGGTTTTCAGGTTGCCTTGGCATACTCACATGCATCACAAGATTCAATTGTTGCATGGGAAGGGTCTAGGCTTATTCCAGTTACAATGCTGCCCTTTAGCATTTGGTTAATAGTGTCCAGTGATATATGGCTGAGCCACACATGGATATCTTCCATGGTAAGGGTTACTCTTAAGTTTTCTAAGCCTGCATAAACCTTCTGTGTGGCTTTGGTTGTGTAGAGGCCACTGCTAACTGGTACTTCCCCAAGGAGCTTCTTTTGTCCATTAAAGATCTTGCAGCATGAGTCATGGAAGAGTATGGCATATCCACTTGTGTCCAGGCAGCTAATGGATACCAGGGTCATGCCAATCTTAGGTGTATGCAGAACATCCTTTAAGAGGATATGAGTGGGCCAATTGCCATTTGGTAGGGATATGTACACATCTCCTTTTCCAATGGCTTTGAAGGTTCATTTGTCCACTGCAGTAATGGGTTTGGGAGTAATGGGCTTATAGTTGACAAAGTTTTCCTTGTATGATGACATGTGATGGGAGGCTCCAGAGTCATATAGAGTAGTGTAGCTTGGTGGTCTCATGTATGCACTAGTAGCAAATGTCTCTGGGGATGGTTGAGCTTTGTTGACCTCAGCTTCATAGCTGTCATTGATATGTGCAAGCCATACCCCATCTGGGTCATTGCTACTGTTGTCCTTGGCCACTGCTGCATGCTCTTTTTGCTTCCCTTTGTTCAGAGACTTCCCTCCACTTTGTGAGTCATCCCCACTTGACCTGCATTCATGAGCTCAGTGCCCACATTTTCCACATTTGTAGCAAGTTCCAGCAAACTTCTTCTGCTTTCCTCCAGCTGAGTATGCTGCATCATCTGCATCACTAGACTTCTTCTGCTTTGTGGCAGAGCAGTCATACTCATCTTGTACTGCGTCCATGAGAGTCACAGTTGTTAGGGTAGTGGAAGTGGAAACTTTTGCAAGCACAGACATTGCTCCAATGACAGAGTCAAAAGAGCTTGGGAGGGATGTCATGACCATAGCCATGTAGCTTTTGTCTGTTAGGGCTTGGCCCATTGAGGCAAGTTGTTTGTGTGTTTGCTGCATTTTGTCAAAGTGTTCCCTGATGTTTCCTTTCTCTGTGCATTTTAAAGTTTGGAGCTTCTTCAGCAGTTCAACTGATACAACATGAGAGCACTTCTCAAAGAGGTTGGATAGGTATGTCCAGATGTTGAGTGCAGTAGTGAGACTCTTTATTTGGATGAACAGTGTGTCAGGGATCATGCTGGTGATTTGTTGCTTTACAATGGCTTGGCCAAGCCTTCATTCTTTTAGAGTAGCTTGGTAGTTTGTCACTTCCTTTTTCTCCTCTGCAGAGATAGGAATCCAGCTCTCACTCCAGTTTGCTAGTGTCTTGGGGTTGACTGGCATTGTCTCAGTACCATCTGTGTACCCAAGCAGCCCATGAGCATCCAAAGACCACATTAGCCTGTCCTTGTATGTTACCCAGTTCTCTCCATCTGCCAAGAGCTTTGGGACCTTAAGGAAATCATCTCCAAGCTTGGATGTGAATGACATGTTGCTACAAGTTCCCAGTTAGTGAGCACCAGGGCTCATAACCTGTAGAATATCTACTCAGTTGGGTTAAGTAGCCAACTGAGGTGTGAGTATGCTACTCAAGTATGAAAATGAATGTGATTATGTAATATGGCTAAATGCATACCATAATACTAAGTGAGATGCAGACAAAAGTATAATGTGAAAGACAGAATATACAACACAGATAAGATGAGAATCAAGGGAAAGAGCCACCAAGTGATCTTGTCATAGCACTCATATTTGTATCCTAGCTTTGAGAGTTCAGCAAGTCTATCAATGATACAAAGGAATGCTTCATGCCAAATAATGCATTTGTAATTGGTGTAGTCAGTCTTCCCCTCTTCTTTGGCAGACTTGGGAACCTTGCATAATATACATGAGCAAGGATGCTGAAGCCTGCACTCAGTAACTTACAATTGGCAACCAGCCAATGACACATCCACCACCAAAGCACTCTCCATTTCTGATGTTCATGGGCAGATCTCCACAATGAGCTACAACAGGATAACCTTTGACAGTTCCATGGGAACTTAGATGTGTTCAGTCAGCATATAGGATAAAAGCAAACAGGGCCACATTTTCAACCTGAGGTAAACAAGACTAGAAGCAAGCACAAGTTAAACACAGTATATACAAAGTGTACAGGTTATTACAACATACTTGAATGTCCCACCAGCAATCACCAGTCCATGGTTCTGAGTAGAATCTCTTGTACTCATGGCCATTATGTCAGAAGACCTGTTGGGCATCCCAGATGAAGTGAGGTGCAAGGAGGGGGTTCAATAAGAGATCAAGAGCCCACTCCCATAATGAATGCACATAAACTGGGAATGTTAAGTTCTCTCCTTTATAAGGTGCAGTCATGTTGTGTCATGTAAACTAGAGTAGAAGCTTGTGGATGAATGCATGGAAGCTCACAGTGTATGAAGAGAAAGAATGTACCAGTGTCACCTGCATGGCTGCCCTTGTCCCATGCACATTGAAGGTCAACATCATTCTGCAAGGTAACATTTGCCTTTCCTTGGATGATGTGTGAAATGAGGGAAAGCAGCCCATTGATCTGCGATGCATTGAGGCCTGCTTGCAATGCTATTTCAGTGAACAAGTAGCTGCCCTCCTCAATAAATGGGCACCATGGGTGTGGATTGGGGGCCATCATAGCAGTAGCACACTGACCAAATTCTTCTTGTGACTGGAAAAGCAATGGGGTATTGCTGTGGGGATGGAACTCAGTCTTGAAGTCAGCAGGCAGCTGTTCAGGGGATGGCATTCAGTCACTACCATTACTTGCCATGGAGACATTTGATTGATCTATTCATATCAAGCATGTATGTACTTAGTATGGTGCACTCAGAAACCAGGTAGCACTGAGTTCATGCACTCACCACTTTGTGCAACAGGATCTCCATGAGGCTCCCACATGTCCTGATCAACAAAATCCATGTGTCCTGAGTGCAAAATGTTGGGAGCTGTAAAGAAAACAGCCCTAAGTGCAGGTGTATCATAGGTTGAATGAAATGCACTTGGCAATCCATTGTTATCTTCATTAAGTGTGCAGGCTACTTGAGAAGGGCCTGCCTGCATGATGTGTGTGCACACTGTTGAGTATGCAGATGTGACCAACACTACCCTCAATTCCTCAGCTGAGAACAATACACAGTGAAAACTAGATGCACCTTGCTCCTTGTCCCTCTCATATTCCTTAGTAGCATCTATTCATTGTATTTCCCTTGTTTGATGAGCCACACAGTGTGTTGCATGGCTCTTGATGCCCTGAGGTTGAATAGTTTTCCACAGATTTAGCACTTGGACATTTTCAAAAGTGTTTTTTCCAAATAGTTATATTTTGTGTGATGAATGGGGGCCATTTCTGAAACACTGAAGATGAAGGGATTGCAGTGGTTCAGGAAAAAAGGGCAGGGGATCATGAGGAAGTACATACCAACAACATGCAGTGCAGGCCACCACATTGCAATGCTGCTGTGATGATCTTATTGGCAATCTTACCCTGAAGATAATGGAACTCATTGCATTATCATATCTCAGTTGCATTTCCAGAACATTATGATGATCATTATTAAGCAGGAGAGGGGTTTCATAATGCTTATTACAATTTGTCATCATTGGCATGATCCTAACCATTTTTGTGACATACTGAGAGCTGATGTGGGTGTCCCAACTGTGGAGGGATTTGAAACATAGGAAATGGTTTGGGTTTGGTCATGACTCTGAGCAAGATCCTGGGCAGGGAGGACTTGCACTCTTTTGCCCTGCTTGCCCACAACCAGGTATTAATTTACCTCCAGATTGGAGAACTTGCTACAGCAGGTAAGGGGCTCTTAATCCATAGGCATTCCATTTCTAACCCCCTTCAGTGACACTGTGATGAGGCAATATGTGATGGATGGCAACTTCACTGCACAGCATATGAAAATGAACAAGCCAGAGCTGGATGTGTCATTATCAGATGGAAAAGGCTACATGGTTTCTGAGGCACCCTATCAGACTCATCTCCAGCAGTCTTTGGATAACAAGGAGGTAAGTAATTGGAGGCTTGAAGGCCCTGGAATATAAAAGACCTGCCATACTGTTAGAGATCCACCTGCAGCAATCACAGGGCAATCAATGCTGCCAATATCAACAAGTCCAATCTCTGGTCCACTGGCATTGGTGCAACAGCCTGTGCAAGACATGGTTGCTTTGTTCCCCATTCTGTGGTGGATTTTCAAAAAGGGGAAAGGTGAGTTGGCTTGTCAGGCAGAATGGATGCATTGGAGTTCACTTTGGGCCAGGTATATGAACACTGACTACTCCATCTGCAATGCTCTTGATTACCATTCCCAAAGCATCCAAAAGGCCCTTGTCATTTATGATGTAGGGTGCCAATGGAGTATCAACTTCATGAGTCAGGTAAAGTCCAGCTGCTCTCTCACTCTTCCACCTGGTCTCCAAATCATTCCTGCTGTAGGGGAAGTTTCATCTGGCTGCCCACAAACTCTCTTGCTTTCCAAGATATAGCCTCAACTTTGTCAAGGGTGCTGGCCACCTGGATGGTGAAATTTTGGAGACATTGTGGGCTCCATTCAATAAGATCTCTCCAACTGCAAGGTCTATGACTCAAGCCCACAGACAAGAGGTGTATGATGATCATATGAGAGATTCTAACTGGAAAAAAATTGTGGGCATAGGTGAGAGATCTCCTCTTCAAAGAGAAGAGAGTTTATGCTGTTCTTCTCAGTCCCTTCACTGCTAAAAAAATACAAGACTTCAAACAAGTGTCTGGAGGAAATGAATCAGGCATATGAGCAGTTGACAGCTGTCCTAGACCCTAGTAAGGTTACAGGATGGGAATTGGATGCTGTAGAGGCAGAGGCAGATTGAGGGGAGGCCCTAGATATTTATTTGTTGAAAGGGGACAAAGGTCAGTCAGTTTATCCCAACCATGGGCCTGTCTGATGATCTGTAGCCCCTACCATGGGTGAAGTGCAGTTAAAGCTCATGAAAAATCCACCTTCATCCTCAGGAAACCTTGGTTCTGTGGCTTGGCTTGCAGAAGGAATCAGCATAGAGGATGCACAGTAAGGACTGTTGTTCCCTGAGGTGATAGCTTGCTAACCAGACCTCCTGCAGAGACCAGCTAAGATCTGAGCTCTGTCAGCTTCCCAGTCTCATGTCTACAAGACAAGAAGTCAAAGTCTCCAAGAAGAGACAGAGACTTTCTGCCAAAATTGAGAAATTCAATGGCAAGGGACAAGCCTTTCTTGAAGGTTTGGAGGTAGATGATGTTTTCATTTCCCTAGGATGATCCAGCATTCCTTAGGCATGAAGAAGTGGAAGATGAAGGAGAGTTCTGGGAAGATGGAGAGGAGGACTGGGAGGCTGCAGAAGAGGAAGGAGACTTGGCTGCTGAAGTCATGAATATATGGATGCCCTCATCCATTGGAGCAGCCAAACTGACAGAGCTTGGCCTTCATGCCCTTCTCAAAGAAGAAATGGAACTCAGGATTGGGCAAGCTAATGATTGTTTAGAGGGGCTTCACACTGACCTGGGCAACAAGGCAATGTTATATTGGCAGAATTTTTGGAATGCAAATTCCACCAGGGAGGGTACCAGAACCAAGAAGGAGATCTGAAATGTGGTGTCCAGAATAAACAAGCATGTCAGAAGTTATCAAAGGTCTAGGCAGGCCATTCTTCAACTGGAACCTAATGTTAGCATCAGAGAAAAATACCAGGAAATTCTTCCTCAGGACCTTGCAGTGAGTAAAGAGGTGATAGAGGAGAACAGGTTTGGTCAAGGGACCAGTAAAATGGCATGGTTTTGGATGATGGAAGGTGAACAGGGTCAGAGGAATGTGGACAGTGGGGGCTTGATGGAAGAGTGTAAGTGTGAATACTGCATGGAGACATATTACTAATAAATTGCATGGCAGTTTATAGGATCAATTGGCTCAAAGCAAGGGCAAGAAGGGACAGATGGAAAGAAGAATTGTCATTGGTCAGGCATGAGATGCTTTGGACCACCTTATGGTTCAAGTTCCAGAGAAACATATGGGAGGAAAGGGCAGGGCAATCCATTGAGCCAGGGATGGAAGCTGATGCTAATAAGCAGATGGGGTTGTGGGGTGACTTTGCCAAAAAGGCCGGGTTGATGTTCCAAGGTAAAGAAATGGATTGTATTTAGAACAGGGGTATATTTTGGTCTACTGTTGCCTTGGAACTTGGTATCTGGTTTGGAGTGAAAAGCAAATATGTCAAAACAAACATCCCAACATGGTAGTTTCCCTGAATGAGTGATGGCTGGCAACAGCCGACATTTTCAACCTCCTGCCTAAATTAGGAAGGGCCTAAAATTTTCATCTTGCCACCACACTCCACAAATCCTCTACTGCCTTATTCACCTCCCTGTGATTTGACAAAATGGCTGACTGGTCTGAAGTCTACTCTGATCTCCTGTCTTCCTATGTAGGCAAGTTCAAAGATGCCTGAGGAAATTCTGACCTCAGGGCTGAGATCCTGGCCCAGGTGAAGTCCAAGATCCTTCAGCATGCATCTGAGGGATCTGTGTTTTATCAAGTTTAACATATCTCAAGCTTATCTAGGCCATCAGAAGGAAGTTTCTTCCCAAACTGGACCCCAATGACCAAGATGATGAGGAGAACATCATCCAGCACATCCTGGCTGTAGCAGAAAAGAGGAAGGAAGAGACTGGTGGGGGTGAGGATGCCAGAGAGGAGAGAATGAGACCTTTGAAGGCAGGTGACTACAGGAAACCCTTTACTGAATTTACTGCAGGTCAGCAGCTCTTCAAGGAGGACATGGATGCCTATGATAGGGAGAGGAGGGACACCAAGGACCCCAATACCATAGGCCAGAGGACCAAAATAATCCAACAGTGGTGGGAGTCTGTTTCCAATGATAAAAAAGCTGAAGCTGGGAGGGCTGCTGAGAAGTGGAATATGTTGGGTGCTCCCAAAGGGACTCATGAATCATAGGTGCCCCTCTGGTTTGCAGGCCTTACCCTAACCTTTCAAAATCACAGGTACCAGAGAAACAACTTCCACAGCATGGCTAAAGAGTTCACAGAAACACTTTGGAGAACCATGGGGGTGCATGTAGTAATGTTTGCTTCCCATGAGACCCCAGATGCTCAGATCAAGATGGCTATGTAAGTCCCCCTTCCCCTGGTCTATCCAATGCTCACAAAGAGATGTAGTTTGGAGACAGCACCCCCAGATGGCAAGAAGGCCTTCTCTGTGTCTTCAGAGCCCACCAAGGATTGGGTGCTGAAAGGGGAGCAAATGTTAACAGATTATCTTTTGTCTGAACCTGGTAAGTTTGGAGCATTGTCTATCAAGATATGTACCTAGTTTGATCCCATTCTTAGGTGAAGGAGATTTGAATGACAAGAAGCAAGCAGTGGAAATAGCCCTGGATGATGAAGGAAACCCCCAGGTGCCAGCTTTTACTGGGCAGAAGTTGAAGGCCCAGCAGAGTTTGGCTAGAGCTGTCTTCCAAGCAGCCTATGGTATGGTCTTGATCCCCCCATGCATTTTCAGTTGCTGATTGAAGTTGGAATAACAGCAAAGTTTACCAGGAAGCCAAAGGCCAAGGTTCCCTGGGGCTTGCTTATCAAGTCCCCTTTGGAGTATCTGGATTCAACACCCATCCCAGATGGATTTGTGATGAAGGATCCTTCAAAATGGACCAAGGCTGACCTTAGGTTGCTTTGGAATCATTGGCATTCCCTAGAGAATGAGGATAAGGTGATCATTTCATTTATCAATTGCAAAAAGGATGACAAGCCTTTGGGAAGGCCCTTTAACTGGAAAACCAGTGAGAAAAAAAGAGTGTGGGTGAGCCCTGATGACAACAATGAAGCTGGGGGGGAGCCCAGTGGAGTGGCTGGAGCATCAGACTCAGAGGCAGAGTTGGAAACTGGTGGGGCAAGGCCATCCAAGGTAACCCTGGTTGTCCAGGAAGATAGGCTTGACTCTGGGGCCTCCTCATCTCAAAATACCCCTCATGACTCCAGTCCTGCTTGGCATGCCAATGGGGACCAGATGAAATTTTAAAAGACCCTTTCCATCATGCCCAGGTACCAGGATCTCATTGATCTTGTATATGCCTTACCAGAGACAGTAAGTGCCAATCTTGCATCAAAGACTAGGCTAACAAATATATTGCACAGGAACCTGATATGGAACCCAGGGTAGGGTTGCCTGAATGGGCATCATGGACTTGGAGTGCCCAGTATCTGCCCCAAGAGATCCATGCCAATGGGGGTTCCTTCTGGAAGGCACTGAGTCAATTGCAATCCCAGAGGTTTACTTCCAGGGTGAAAGGTCTTCCTGTGGTACTTGGATTTGGTATGTTGTGGAGGGAGTGTAAGAGGGCACAGGAAGTAGAAGAGGATGACCCAGAAGTTGCTAATCTGGGTTTCTTGCTGGACTCTAAGCCTGATATCAGCAGAGGCAAAGATGTTATGGCTGCAGTGGGGGTGGTAATTGCAAGGTTAGTGCAAAATTCTGGTGACTCAGAGGAACAGGGAGGCTCTGGGAAAAAAACTGGTGGAGATGCAGAGCACTCTGGTGACAGTGGGAGGGGTGGTGAGGAAAAGGAACCAGAGGATACACCCCAGGAGAAAAGGAAAAGGAAAAGGGGAGGCAGTGGGAATGTTGAGAGGAAGAAGAAGATGACAAAGGGGGGTTCAAGGGAAGATGGGGTTCAGGAGAATGAGGGCAAGAGACCAAGCAGACATCAGCAACCAACCAAGAGAGCTCTGGGACAGGGTTTGTAGATACAATTTAGATGTTGTAACTTCCAGGGGGTTTGCTGGAAATCAAAGCTAACCTAATCTCTGCTGCTGATGGATATACACCCCCATCAACTCAAAGGTTGCTTCCAGCCAACCTAATTTCTGGCCAATCCCACATCCAATGGGGAGGTTGGTCAATTTCATGTCCAGGGGGTGGGAACCTCCAGTAGTGAGGTCAGCCAATCCCACTTCCAGGGGGTGGGAACATCTACCCCAGAGGTCAGCCGATCCCACTTCCAGGGGCTGGGAACATCTACCCCAGAGGTCAGCTGATCCCACTTCCAGGGGGTGGGAACCTCCAGTAGTGAGGTTGGCCTATCCCACTTCCAGGGGCTGGGAACATCTACCCCAGGGGTTGGCTGATCCCACTTCCAGGGGGTGGGAACCTCCAGTAGTGAGGTCAGCTGATCCCACTTCCAAGGGCTGGGAACATCTACCCCAGAGGTCAGCCAATCCCACTTCCAGGGGGTGGGAACATCTACCCCAGAGGTCAGCCAATCCCACTTCCAGGGGGTGGGAACATCCACTAGTGAGGCTGGCCAATCCCACTTTCAGGGGCTGTCTTTATCCTCCAGTGAGGTAGGCCAGCCCCACTTCCAGGCAGGGGGTCCATCCACCAGCGTGTTCAGCTGACTCCACCCCCACATGTCAGCCTACCCCCCCTCACTGCCCACTGGCCAGTGTCAGTTAGTCCCACTTTCAGGGCAAATGTACACTTCAGGTGTCCCAGTTTCAGGACTAAGGTTGACTGAAGGGTCTGGAGGAACTCAGTGTTTTGGGGAATAAACTCAGCACTGCATCAGTCCCTGAGGCTGACATTGACAAGGAATGAAGTATTTGCACCTGCCAATATGTAGATGGTCATGCAGAAGATGGTAGAACAGAACACATGACCACATGCTGACCTTCCTGTGTATGTATCTGTGTCATCTGAAGTTACATCCACATGAGTACTCAGCTCAGCACCGTCAGATATTATTTTTCTCAGTGCCTGGGGGCATTAAGTAACACACTTCATATGATTGTGCGGATTTCCGGCTTGGCTGGCCAGGGGTTCGTATCTCCACGTGAGTTTCTTCCCCACAGCGTCACTCCGCCCCCCTCTGTGTATTCCAACATCCCTCCTACCTCGGATCCCACCTTCTTGCCTCCGGCGCTGCCGGATACTGCCTGGTCACAATATATCATTAACTGGCTCATTTCTCTCTGTCTTCGACACCCGCTCGGTGTTAGTTAGGTATACATATATGTATGTTGCTGGATACTATCAAGTTTAGGTCTGGAAAAGCCTTGGTAGCGATATATATCGGTGGCGATGCGGTCGGACCTCACACACAGGCGTTCCTTTGTCTAATCCTTTGTACAATGTCGAGGCTTTGCCCTTGAGATCTCAGCATGCTTGGAGATTATCGATGCGCGAAGCATTCCAGTGTGATCTTGACAATAAAAAGATGGCCAGTGCGGCCTCCGAATAATGATTCCTCGTCAAGAATGCAATATGTAGCCCACGCCAGAACCTAGCGAACACAAATTCTGAACGAGCGAACCATGCGGTGCCAAGTATATTAGACAACAATCTCGCCATTTACCCACGCTTGGGGACCAGAACCTCTGCAAGTTGTCCGACAAGTGTTGATGCCCCTAGACCCCAAATGAATGCTCGGCTCGTGCATATAATCATGGTCTTTTTGCAACGAGTAAGCATGACATTGGCTCGTCCCTCATGAACCAGGAAGCCAAGCCTGTGTGACCTGACCAGAGAGATAATGATGTGTTCCGCCTCGTTGCCTGTCGTTAGGTTGAGCTTGGAAGGGCAGAACCAGGATGAGGGAGCAAACCTTGAAATGAATCTATGTTGAATACTTTGTCTTCATGACGTACGTTCGCCACCTGCAGCTCACGTTCAATAAGAGAGCGTTGGGCATCGTACGGTGTGATGATACGAAAGTCAAGTGCCTTGGCTTGGTATGCAGCGGCGATCTGCACTACAACTTGCGCCTCTGACGAATTCTGCCTCGATATCAAGGCACAGTCATTAGAGTCGAAGAAGTAACGCACGATCCAACTCTTTCCTGATCGTTCTTCATGTCCTCTTTCAACGTCGACGAAGCGGCATGGGAGACTGACGGAGTTTGCATGACAGGTCTTCAATTTCCCGTTATAGACTCTCTGTGAAATGAAGTCGCCGAGCACGCGAGGTATGCGATCTGAAGAGGTCAGCGAACATATGTAAGCCAGGAGGAGTTGACCCACATTGCGTATCCAAGAATATTGCTTTTTTGTGCAGGTGGTTGACTTCGCAAATGCTATGTAGTGTCGGGATCTCCCTTTGCCCATAAGGTGGCACTTCCAGGATTTAAAAAATGAACAAAGAGCCACGGTTATGACTTACACTGCTTGTTGTCTCCGATGAAGACGATCTTCGAGAGGGTGAACTTAAAACGGTCGAAAACTGCAAGGTAACTTCCGACTTCTATCTGACTCCCTTCGTCGAAGATTAGCATGTCCACTGGATTGACACGACGGAAGGGTTCGATATGGTTATTTGATAATATCCCTAGTGTGCACAGGATGACTCTGGCCCCGCAAAGTTGCCTGGACGCGCCAACGCCTTCGCGACTGAATGTTCCAGAGCGAATAAGGCATTACTCAAGCTTCTCGTAAAGATGTTCATGCCTACGGCATTTACTAAGCAGAAGATTTCCTAGACATGTGAAGACGCACCAGTCAAAGTGAAATTCCTTTGACACTAGCAATGCGAAGTCATAGAAGCCTATTTTGGCAAACTTCTCAGCAATGTTCTTCACAGCGACATTCGATTGTGCAGCTATCCAAATGGCCCGACTACTGGCAGCGGGGAACGAAATAATGCTGGTGACTGCGGCAGTAATGACTGTCGTCTTGCCGGTTCCTGGGGGTCCCTGAATCAAGACCACTCGATCCATATCTGAGGCAGACAAGATTTTCTCGATGGCTCTTCCCTGAGAGGGATCGACTTTAAGGTTTGCATAAGAAATCGGTATTTTGGGCTTCAGGTGGCTGGATGGCATCCAGCAGATTGGCTGGTTGGGAAACCATATGGCCTTAACAAGCGGATGTGACAAAAGCGTGGACCCTTTCAAGATCGCGAGGATAACCTTTTCGCGGCAAGCATCTGCAGACGTGAGGTTTGCCTTGCCGAACGTCATCACAGACCTTATCGCATTGCCCTCAAGGTGTCCCGAAATTTCGATAAGGGCATGCCGTCCTTCGACGCGGATAGCACGACCCGACAGTTGAGCACCCTTGGGTGTTTCTATCTGGAGGAGCTATGTAGAACGCATGTTCATGTGCACCTGACTCCTGTGCATCGTTATAAACACACCTGCCGCGTTGAATTTCTGATACGAGTTAGATAACGACTACAAGTCAACGTGAGATTATCCGTGTTCATTGTGATGCCTGGCATAACATCGTTCTTCATGATAAACGGCTTCAAGGAATTCAGAAGGTCTCCATCACGGGAGATCTTGGCAAGCACCGTCATATGCTGTGTCAGAGGCGATGTGAGCGAATGGCAAACAAACTGATTCTGAGATTCGCAATCCACCGGCACAAACCTCATCTGGTATTGTATTCGTTCTGATTCTTCCCACCGTGTGAAAGCGCTCAGCCATGTGAGGGAGGATCGCCGCCTGACAAGCTGCCCAGGCTTGCTGGACAAGGCCTGAATCTGATACGGAGCGGAAATCATTAGTGAAAAACAATTCATTCACGTTTAACTGATGCAAAGTCGGCTGGCCACCCATTGCATCCAGAAGGGCCTCCAGGGATCGCCTGTCACCCAAGGACACCGAGAGCATATCTACTGCACGATCAATGCGCAGCATCAGGTCCAAGTACAAGGCGATAGCAATACGATCCATGTTGAATGCATACTTCTGGTATTCCGTGTTGCAGAGAATGTGTTCCTCGAGGAGGTCCCTTCCTTCCATAATTCTACTTCGTTTCCCGGGATTACCGCCTTGGGGCAGACCGCCGCTAGTGAAGTGTACCACCAAAGCCCTAGACAATGAAGAGAATGCGATGGCACTGAGTTGGCAGTTGTCTCTATACGAGGCGGAAACGCCAATGACACCCCTGGATGTCACTGTATCGAGGAATGACCAAAGGTCCCTGGCATCTATGAAATCCTCTGACAAAGCGTCGAAGGCAACTGGGAAACAGCGGTTTCGGAATAACTTGGGTGTGACGGCTGGTAATGTGGGAAACATTGACAGAGACAAGAGTGGAACTCGATTCGAAGGAAGCGAGAAACAGAAACCCTATGGCGTGGCGAAGGGGTCATGAATTATATGATGCTCGTAATTATTGAAAATGGAGGTGTGTACTGTAATGCAGGTAAACGATAGCTAGCCGGTTGCAGGCACTACAAACGCACTTGAAAGCCTCGCGGACAGCGTGTAACTTTCGGTAGAATGATACAACGCTCGGAGGAGAAACTTGACATGCGAGGCAGACGCTGAACGTCGAGTTGGACGGCAAGCCTCGGACGCGTTCGACGGTGACGCGTTTCGAGCCGGCACTGTGTCCACTGTACGCGAGCCACACATCACTGATGGGTCGCGCAAGTATGGCTCGAGGACTAGTTGTTTTGCCCCCGCTTTTCCCAACTTCTCCTACATCCGGTCAACTTCAACGGGTTCCTCCACACAATCGTGCAAGCATTGTCCTCCTTTGCTCCCCACCTTGATCGAACCGAACGTCTCAATGCCGCTTTTTCGTGCCTTCGCACACTTTGGCGTCTTTGGTGGTCGCATTTCAACGACAGTTCTGTGGCCGTGCGTGGCGTGCTCCGCTCCTTTTTCAGGTGCGACCTTCTCACAGTATGCGTTGTGTCCGTCATGTTCAAATGATCTACGCCCCTCCTGAGGTGGATGATTGAGGTAGCTATATTTGGAACTACTCGTTTGCTTGGAGGTTTTGGAAATGTACAAATTGTGATGGATAACCCCGACATTGCTGGCGGTTCAATTAGATCCCACACTCAGGTTGAAACTTCGGATGGAATTGCAGCAATTCATGCCGGGATTTTCACAGGTCCTTCAGCTGATTCTGAAAGACGGTTCAACCTTTTGCTTCATCTTCTAAAGCTTCACCCGCTGCCGTGGGCAGAGACTTGGCTAGCTTCAGATTGACAGGATCACCTTACTTCGCATACTGGTGGGAAGTGGATTCAGGGTAATCCATAAACCCGGAATGCGCAGCACCTGTGTTCTAGAATCAACGTCGTGTCCAACGGGTGTTTTCGACACCAAAGCGATGAAAGGGGGCTCTAAATTGAGAGGCTGGCGACTACTGTCAGAAGGTGAGTAACTAATGAGAACTGCAACTAACTATGCAGTAATACGCAATGACGTATCACTAAATTAGGAAATAAGAAACCTCAGTTAGATATGAGCGCTTATCGGCAGTGGGGTTTTTCCTCCTCCGAGTACATCTTTCCGGACGTTATTGGACGATGATCCCATCTCACGTTACTGTCTCTGTGACCCTTGCATTCTGTAGACGTGTTTGAATTTTGCACTCATTGACAGAATGCGCTTTGTTTGAGATAGAGGTGCATGCCGGGACGGTAACTGACACACCCGGTTGCTACCATGTGTACGCGTCCCCTTCTAAGTTTATCTACAGCGGTTGTACCCAAGATATGTACTCCGTCAAAATCTGACAGGACGAATGTACGCTCACCGTTTTATCACTTCTCAGGCACTGAAGCATGCATAGCCCAGCGGATGCGGCAATAGTCCTAATTATAATCATGTACGTTTATGGGATTCCATATTGTGAGCTGTGGACCAGGCATCGCGCTGGATCTGGTAAGTGAAGCCATTTATGTAATTCATTAAGCTTCTGCATCGCTCACAGTCATCTTGCACTGGATGTTGATGGAGTTATGGAAGTACATGCTTTCTGATCTTGTATGGGCGGCGATCATTGGTATGAAGCGGTTTACTCGTTTGTTCCATATCGAGCCTCTAATCTCCCCCAGTTCTGTGAACCATCACAGGAGAACGTGAGCACTGGTACAGTTTTTTGACACTCATACCTGGGTCGCTGGTCAGGGCATGATGGACCGGACTCATGGGAGTTGGGACTGGCGGGTTCATGGTCACATGCTATCGGCGCACCGGTTATCTTCAAAGTCCAGAGCGTTAAAATCGTAGGCTCGTCCAAGATATAAAGCACGAATGACCTGGTACTCAGACTCCCCACCCACAAACACTGATCATTAAACAACAGCAATGGCCTCAGAACGTGCCCCTTACCATCTCCCCCCTCTTCCTCTCTGGGCATCTTCACGCCTTAGTTCTCTTCTGCGAAGCAAGACCGCGGACAGGTTCAACAAGATTTTTGACTCTACTTTCGCCCAAAACCTCGAAGTCGTCCTCAACGGAAAAAGTCTCACCCGCAACGAGTACAAGGAGCTGTTACTCGCTATGAGTGAGGCTGGACCCTTGGGAACTACCGATGTGCAGATTGAGGGAGAGACAGCAGTCAACCCAGCCCCTTCTGAAGATCGATTGGTAGGTTGGACCCTGGGACCTCTCAGTACCATGACTAAACAACATATACCATAGGGAGGCTTCGTTGGCATGCTCTACACAACTACGGGCACCTCCAAACGTATCTTTGTGCTTGGCGCACCTGCGAGGTATAAAGTTGTCTCTTCCATTAACCTGAGGTACGTTGCGATGCAAACTGCATTTTATGTCACTCGATAACGATCCCAATCACCATGCAGCGTGTCGGGGACGCTTTTCTCGCCCAGAGTCAATCCCGTCTTCGATCCTTTCTTCGATGCACGGCGGGTCACCGCAGTTAACCAGATCCTCCAGCCCAGGACTCTTATTGTCTCATTCCCTTGGTCGGTTGTACCCGCGGACGGAACTTCCGGCTCTGGAAAGGTAGAGCTAGGACCGGGGCCTGTTAACTTCACGCAAGTGGAGGAGGAACTTAGTGTGTTGGGGAATAAATTCAGCACCGCGACAGTCCCTGAAGCTAAGGTTGATGTAGAATGAGGTAGTTGCTTCCTCAAGGAGAGATGATAGAATGGAATGTAACGCTCCGTCGAACACCTTGCATGTATGTTTGACTCTGAATTTGATTGTATGATGTCAGCCAGCGAGTACGGCGGTCTCAGGACCATCAGATATTATTGTCCGTGTTCAAAGGTTTCCCGTACCTCTTGGTACATTACCCCTTCCCACGTGGCTATTGTACGGGTGTTCCTCCCGATTGAAGGTACTGATGTTTGATGATCCCCACAAACGAAAGGTACAACTCAAGTACGACTGCTTCTTGCAAGGAGTTCTCATTATACGAGCGGACGGTACTCGATCGGTATGGTATCACACTGCTTACGGACCAGTTCTGTTGTGGTAGTGTGTTTATTTGCCACTACGGACGAAACGAGCCCCGTAAGATCGGACACACTGGTTGAACCACGCGGGGCCGTGCAATGCTCCGACGATACCCATTCGTCGTTCCTGCATTGGGTGTTCCAACGAGATGAGCAATCGCATTGCCATTATCGGGTTGGCGCTCTCCGCAAGCAGGTTCGCTATCTGTCAGTAAACGTCAATCAGGCGCACCGGAACAAGGTGACTGAAACGCGAGGCGGATCACTGGCCCGAGGGCCTTACAGCCCGGGCCGGTGGGGCACCCATACGCTCGGAGAGAAGGCAGGGTGCGGGCCCGACGCCGATTAGGTCAAGTAGTTGTGTATAGTGCTACATAGGATACTTCCTCAATGCACTTAGATCAGAAAAAACAAGTTCACTATCCTCTAGCTGTCACATGGAGCGTCGTGGAGGCCAGAAGATCCCAGCAACGGTGCAGATATCCTTTGGACTCAAAAACAAGGCAAGCTTCGATCATGGTCGACGACTTCGATACACATCGGCGACGCCTCTTATGGGTCCCACTTTGGAGCGGGGCAAATATTTCATTTTTACGTAGAAGTTTCACATACTGCGATTCTGATTCTTCAATCTCGAGATATGGCCCCTGAGACACCTTGGGCTGACTCCAATGCCTGGAGATTATCACCGCTCTGTAATACGCATATTAGTGCGGTCTCGAAGTTCAAATGGGGGGCCAATGCGGCCCTTAGGTAGGTATTTCCCACTATGTAGTCCATACGTATGACAGTCTAAGATGCGGAGGCTTCGGACGAGCCAACAGTATTGAACGGCGTGGGGCGCAGTCCCAAGAACATGAGTAGCACTTCTCCAGTTATCCATGCTCGTGGTCCGACAGCGGCGGCAAGGTGTCCGATAAGCGTTGATGCCCCTTTACCCTGGATGAATGCTCGACTCGTGCATATGACCATGGTCTTGCTACAACGGGTAAGCATGACGTTGGTTCGTCGTTGGTTAGCCAGAAATCCAAGCTTGTTTGACCTAACGACGGAGATAATTATATGTTCCGCTTCATTGCCTGGCATTTTATGAGCTTCGAAGGGTGGATTTCATATGAATCAGCAAACCTTGAAATGAATCTACATTAAATACTTTGTCCTTATAGCATATGTTCGCCGCCTGTAGCTCACGTTCAATGAGAGAGCGCTGGGCGTCGTACGGTGTGATGATACGAAAGTCGAGCCCCTTAGCCTCGTATACACGGGCAATCTGCGCTACAACGAGTGCCTCGGAAGGATTCTGCCCTGATGTTAGCCCATATCGTTGGAATGAAGAAAGCCACAAACGATCCAACTCTTTCCCGATTGTTTTTCCTGTCCTCTTTCAACATCGATAAAACGACAAGGTGACTTAACAGCGTTTGCATGACAAGTCCTCAATTTCCCATTGTAGACTTTCTGCGATATGAAGTCGCCGATGACACCTGGCATACGGTCTGAGGACATCAGTCGACATGGTTGAGTTGGAGCATGTTGGCGCACATTGCGTATCCAATAAGAGCGCTTTTTTGCTAAGATGTTTGACCTCGAAGATGCTTTGCAGTGTTGAGATCTCCTCTTGACCGTAAGGCGGCACTGCATGGAGTCCAACAAGTGAACGAAGCGCATCGTTCCAACTTACGTTGTTTACAGTCCCTAATGAAAGCAATCTTGGATAGGGTACCTCCAAAGCGGTAGAGAACGGGAACGTAATTCCCGACTTCTATCTGACTGCCCTCATCAAAAATCAGAATATCCACTGGATTCACTTGGACATAGGGCGCGATGTGGTCATTCGACAACATGCTTAGTGTACACAGAATAACCCTAGCGCCGCACAGTTGCCTCGATGCGCCGACTCTGCCATTCCTGAACGAGTCAGAGCGAATGACGCATGGTGCAAGCTTCTCATAGAGGTGTTCGTGCCTGTAACACCTGATTAACGCAAAATCGTTGAGTCATGAAGGAACGCACCAGTCAAAGTGGAATTCCAACGACACCAGAAGCTTAAAGTCATGGAATCCTATCTTGTCAAACTTCTCGGCGACGTTCTTCACAGCGACGTTCGATTGCGCAGCTATCCAAATGGTCCGACTATGAGCAGCGGGGCAGGAAATGATGCTGGTAACTGCGGCAGTAATGACCGTCGTCTTGCCGGTTCCTGGAGGTCCCTGAATCAAAACGACTCGGTCCTCATCTGAGGCAGACAAAATTTTCTCGATGGCTCTTTCCTGAGAGGTATTGACATCGAGATTGGGGCAACAAATCAGTATTCGCGGCTTGGTAAAATCGATAGCTGGCCACGAAGGAGGATGCTTGGGAAGCCATATGACCTTGAAGAATGACTGTGACAACAGGGTAGTCTCTCCCTTCAAGATAGCAAGGATAACGCTTGCACGACAAGCTTCTGCAGACGTGAGGTCGGCCTTGCCGACTGTCGTGACGGACTTTATCTCATCGCCCCGAAGGGAACCGGAAAGGGAAATTTGCGCCTGGCGTCCTTCGACGCGGATAGCACGACCCGACACTCGAACTCCGTTCCGTGTTTCTATCTGGAGGAACTATGCAGAGTGTGTTCATACACACCCGACTCCGATATATCCGTTATTAACATACCTGCTGAGTTGAGCTTCTGATACGAGTGGAGTAGCGACCACAAGTCAACGTAAGATTATCCATCGCCGCTGTGATACCTGGCATAACGTCGTTCTTAACAGTCTGTGGCTTTAAGAAATCTGAACGCTCTCCATCACGATAGATCTTGGCAAGAGCGGCCATATGCTGTGCCAGAGAGACTATGAGTGAATACTTTGATTTTGGCCAGGAAACATACTTCTTCTGGTATCACATTGGTTCTGATTCTTCTCAGCTCGCGGAAGCGTGTAGCCATGTCGGAAAAAGCGGACGCCTGACACGCTGCCCATGCTTGCTGGACAAGGTCTGAATCCGATACAGTGCCGAACTTGTCACTGAAAAATAATGCCTTCACGTTCGACCTGTGCAAAGTCGATCCGCCATCCATTACATCGATAAGCGCCTGAAGGGACTGCCTGTCACTGTGCGACGCTGACAACATATCTACAGCGTGCTCAATGCGCAACCCCATGTCCAAATACAATGCGATTGCAATACGATCCATTCTAAATGCGTACTTCCCGTAGTCCGCATTGCATAGAATTTGCTCTCGGAGGAGGTTCCTCGCTTGCGTAATTCTAGCTCGCTCTCCACGGCTACTCCTTCGAGGCAGATCACTGCTGAGGGTAACGTGTACCACGAGAGCTGCCGATAGGGAGGAAAATGCAATGGCACTGAGTCGAGAATCCTCGCGATATGAGGCTGAGATGCCGATGGCACCTTCGGTCGTCACTGTGTCCAGGAACCGCCGAAGGAGCCTTGCATCAAGAGCACCTTCCGTTGTCGTCCCACAGACGAGGGAAGGGCAGACTGGGAACAAGTTAGGTGTGATGAAAAATAACCTGTGAGACATGGGGTGAGAAGTGACTCCTGGAGCGACCGAGCAACGTGGCGAACGGATTTCAAGTACCTGATCGCGCAGCTGGGCGTTACAGATCACGGCAGTCTTCAATGTGGGTGAGTCATGGCTGGCCAAAACAGGAACGTTCACGGTGAAACAACGGCGGAAGAAGCTACGAATGCATCAGCGAAATCCCACGGACGCCATGAACTTCTCAGTGGGATAACATCCTCGGGGCATTTCTGAACTTCTGCCCCGTCTTGTATCAATGAGAACCGAGAGCACAGTACCAACTACAGGACATGAGTCACGTGATCATGTCCCTGCTTTCCTCCACGGCCGGCCAAGGAGTTGGTGAGGGCCAATCAAAATATTGCAATGACAGGGATACACCGGATGGTTCAAGCTTCGACGCGTCGGGCACCGCTCTCCCAGTCGAGTAGGTCATTGTCAGCCATGTCGGCACAGAAATTGCCGCGTCTTCCGCTGCCCCACCTGCACAAGACCATGGCAAAATATCTTGACTCCATCCAACCAGTGCTGCTCCAGGACGAATTGGATGGGGGCGCGCCATTTGCTGCAGCCTTTGAAGAACGCCAGAAACTTGTCCAGTCCTTCCTCAGTGGACCAGGCAAGGTTGCACAGGCGCGCCTGCGTGCTCTCGACGATGTCTCACCCCACAATTGGCTAGATGATAACTTCTGGTTAAAAAAAACGTATCTGGAGTGGAGAGCGCCGCTCCTCATAAATTCTAATTGGTGGTTGACTTTTGTAAACGACGCTGAAGTACCAGAGGAGGTCATAAGGGACCAAGGGCAGGGATTCACTCCATGGCAGATCAGGAGGGCGGCTTGCTTAGTGCGAGGCATCCTCGATTTCAAACATAGAATGGAATCGTACGTGCGACATGGTATCGCAACACCGAGTACGTGCTGAATGGAAACAGGCAGGAATTATACCCGGATACCACGCGTGTAGGTATGTGTTCTGATATTCTCATCTGCATTCAATTCACGCAAATGTCAGGCATTTGGCTACGACACTGTACCTCGGCCATCTTCAATATTTGTCGTGTTCCTCAGCGTAACTGCGATTATCTTAGCGTCACCGCCTCTTCTCACTGGGCATCTGCCATCGTCATTATGGCACACGACTTCTTCTACGCATTGCAGGTCGCCGACCTGAAGACTGGTGCACCTCTGGGGGTAGACGACATTGAATGGGGGATCAGGAAAATAGTGGAGGACGTACTCAAGAGGAGAGAACAGGGAGAGACAGCAGTCAGAGTAGGAGTCTTGAGCTCTGACGAAAGGAATACGTGGGCCGAGGTAAGACTCAGTCTCGGGGAGAAGAAATCCAGCTGATGTTAGACAGAACTACGTTCATCTCCGCTCCCTGTCTTCGCGCAACGTTCGCTCTTTAGATGCAATCCAGGAATCCCTCTTTGTCCTCTCACTCGATCACTGGTCGGCGCCATCTGTGCCACTTGAAGAGAATGATTCACAGTCGTTTCCGTTAACTTTTCCAACTGACAGGGCCGTTCCGCGTCCCGGTACAGGAAATTCGACTGTGCAAGCGACCCAGCTTCCCTTCCAGGCCACGCAGACGGACAGAGTAGTACCCTCAATCCCGCATGGACCTGTCTCCCCCAATCCGGTGCCGTACGACCTCCGCCAACACCAACAACGCACGCGTGCCCCTCCTGCATTGCAAAACCGTTTTCTTGACAAACCTCTCCAGCTCATTGTGGAGCGTACGACACGCGCCGGTGCCTGTGGTGAACACGCAGCCGTGGATGCATTGGTTCCCAGTGTCGTTTGTGAGTGGGCTGTAGCGAAGGCTAGTGGTGTGACCCTGTCCGGAGGCATGGCGGCCACACCGCTTGCTAGCAAGGAAACGGCCGAGTTGCGAGTGCGCGGGCACAAAGAGGTTGACTTTGCTAGTTGTGCATTTTGGGAAAGACTTGACTTTGTTGCATCTTCACACATCGAGACAGCAATTGCAGATGCGACGTGTCGTGCAGAAGTGCTTGTCGCAGACTCAGACCATGACGTGCTGTACTTTACAACGTTTGGTGGAGATGAGATCCAGCGAGTGTGTGAGTCCTGGTGCGCTTTGTATGATGTTAGATTAATGTTCACGCAGCTGGTTACCCTCCGGATGCTTTCGTTCAGCTTGCAATGCAACTAGCTTACTATCGGGTTCACGGACGCACAACTCCCGTGTATGAGACTGCCCTCACGCGGTCTTTTCACCATGGCCGCACAGAGACCATTCGAAGCCTCACACGTGAGAGCTTCGCATTTGTGTTAGCGTGTGGGCCCGGGAAGGATCAGACTTGGAGAGGATACCCAGTAAAAAAGAGTGTAGAAAGAAGGGATATCGACGAGGTAGTGAGTTGCGCTGCTGTTTACTCATATTCGGCGGTCGACCTCTGATATTCAATGTTCCTCTCCCAGCCACCGGCGTGGCCCTCGTCACTCCGTGTTCTTTTAATCTCTGCGCTTCATGCACATGCTTTACTCACCCGCGCAGCTATCGCAGGCCGTGGCATCGACCGGCACCTTCTAGGTTTACGGACCGTCTTGGGAACCGAATGGAACTGGCTCGACGGACGTAGAGAGACAACTGAACATATGCCATTTTCCGGAAGCAGTGAAACATCACGGGCGTGCAACAGCCAGAAAACCATATGGGGACCTGAACAGCCTGTTGCGTTGTTTGAAGATCCTGTTTTCAGGGAAAGTCAGACATGGCGGCTAAGCACCAGTGGGTTGAGTGAGGGCTGGTATTTCCGTGGGACTGGGTAGGTGTATTTCGTGCTTTCTATATTCTGCGAAGTATTGGCTCTTGCTTGATGATGCCAATGGCATCGAGGAGTGGTGCTGGCATACTGTGGGGTCATCTCTCCCTGTATACAGCATTGAGATTCCCCTAGCCGGGGGACATATATTTGAAATGTGCCACTCCAGTGTCACTTACTGTCCATTTTTCTCTGTATACTAGGTTTGGTGCTCCATTCCCAGATGGGTATGGTGTCAACTGTACGTGTTTCATTCTGTCCAATGCAACTTGTGTTTCTCATGATGGTGGACATCTGGTGTAACAGACCTCATTGGACCCTCCTCTATCAAATTCTGCATTGACTCTAAGCATTCCTGTTCAAGCACCTCTACACACATGTTTATGGGCCACCTCCATGATGCTCTAACAGATATGTGGGGTATCTGTATGAGCAAATGTGGAGAAGGGGATAAGAGGGGTAATCATGCTGACTGTTCTGGTGATGGTATACCTGTTAGAAAACCATCACAGAATGTTGCTGCCACTGGTAGTCATTGTGTACAAGCTACCATGGAACATGTACAGACCAGGCCCCATGCAAGGCTATAGATATTCTGTGCTGTAAAACTGTGACATCTGAAGATCACACTGCTGCATTGTTGCAAAAAGAATGCTTTATCACCCCTTTTGCTTTTTTCTTTTTCTTTTCTAGTATAGTATGATACATGGAAGACAGCCAACAAGATAGCACAGAGCATAGCAAACAGAAAAGCATACAACTAACATGTCAACAGCAGGGTAGCATAGAACATAACAAAGCAAGGAAAGCAAGTACATTTCTTGAAATCCAATTACCCACCTGTTTCAACCTATCAGATGAAGGTAGTGTTCCCCATCTCCTGGATTTCAGTCCAGGCTTCCTCATAATAACCATGTAACTGGCCCACCAAACTCTCTTTCCCATACTTTCTCATAAACTCCTTGCCTGTGAAAATCACCATTCCTCTTTTGCATCTTGTAAGCATTACATTGGTTCTTCGAAGATCTTCAAGGAACCCTAGCCCCCAAGAACGAACAAGGGAAATGATGATATAGTCTTCTTCATTTCCTGTTGATATGTCAGGGGGAAGCATGGCAAGCAGAGAATGAAAATGATCTGACCTTGGAAGGAATCAACATTAAAACACTTGTCCTCCCATTGCATCTCAGCACTTTTGAGTTCATTCTCAATCAATGTCCTTTGACTATCATAAGGTGTAATGATCTTGAATCTCTTCCCCTGATTCTGAAAGATTTGAGCCAGCTTAAGAATTGCTTGGCATTCTTTGAGATTCTAATAATCATGTTAGCATTCACCCTTGTGACCAAATTTTCTCCTCACCTTCCAACTGGTTCCTTGAGACAGTTGCTCCCCAGGTACATTTACAAAATGGCAGGTTGGAAGATCAGTATCAGCCAGAGGGTGTACTCCATTAGACTTGAGAAGGTCTTCATAAACAGCCTCAGAAATAAAATCTCCAATTTGAGGTGGCATGCGATCTGTACAGTAGTCATATAACTGATCAGAAAAAGAATAAAAATACATACACTGTGTATCAAGCAAAATCCTATGTTTTTTCAAATGCTCCACTTCAAAAATACTCTGCAATGCAGTAATTTGCTCCTGGCCATGGGGTGGCACTAAAAGACCTTCAGTGTGTGATATTGAACTCCACTGAAAAAACTCACATTGTTTGTCATCCCCAATGAAGATAACCTTTCTGATGGTGGTGGTAGTTGTAAACAGGGGGATGTAGCTGCCAACCTCAATCTGAGATGCTTCATCAACCACAACAGTCTGGAGTTGGACCACCCTAAAAACTCCAGAGTAGTGAAGGGCATTACTGGAGAGCATGCTCAGTGTGCACAGCACAACTGGGCAACCAGCTAACTGTCCACAAAGAGCACTCTTATCTGCAAATTCATCACTGACAATAATGTTGGCACGAATATTGGCATAAAGGTGTTCATGCCTAGAATGGATGAGTGTGGTGGACATAGCATATGCAAAACACACACCAAAATTCAAAAAAGTCAGCTGACACTAGAAGTTTCCAGTTTCCCAGACCAAACTTAGCCAACTTCTCAGCAATATTTTTCACAGCAATGTTGGACTGGGCTATCAGCCAGATACCCCTTCTCCCTGCCCTCACAGCAGCCTGAACAAAGGCAGCAATAACTGTGGTTTTCCCAGTGCCTGGAGGACCCTGAATAATGGTAGCCCTATAATCATTGGATTCATCAAGCATCCTCCTCACTGCCTTTACCTGGGAAGAATTGAGAGGGTATGATGTGTTGGCTGGGTTGAACTTGACAGGGGACAAGGCACTGGCCCATTCAGCTGGCCATGTGAAGTCATCACTGGGGTCAAGGTAAATCTGATGAACCCAAGGATTGAGACTTTCACCCTCTGTAGAAATTTTCCCTTGCAGGATGAAGAGAATAATCTGAGCCCTCTTGACCTCTGCAGCAGTGGGGTCCTCCCTGCCAACAAGGGTAATGGCAGCAGTCTGCCTACCAGCACCAAGGGACCCCTCAGTCCTCAACCTAGCACCCTCACCACGAGCTGCAGCAATGCTTGCAGAGATTGCATAGCCCCCCACAGTGTGTGTAGGAGGGACATGAATACGAATTTGCTAAAAGAACACAATCCATTACAAATTGGAAGAGGGCGAGTATGAGGAGACCCTCACCTGCTGATTACCTACACGAATTCTATTTTGGTATCGATCGACTCTTGCGGTCACTTCTCCCCGGCCTCTGGAAGAGGTTGCCATCACGGTACGAGTAGTTTCACGTGGCCTTTGCTCTTCAAGCCGAAAGGCGTCTATCGTACTCTTCGCCAGGAATCGAAGGAGCTGTAACGAACGACAGGTACAGTGAGCTAAATAATAACCAAGCTCTGACTACATACTGTATCTGAGAACCTTGCCATGTTAATCGGAGGCACATCGGCGAGCCTACCTTCCATTGAACTGAGCTGCGAGATGAAGTGCGTCACCCATGCCCGTTGAGCGAGTGGTGTTGTCGTTTGGCTGCTCGCCGGGTCGTCCGGTACATGGAATATGTAGTCATTGAAAGCTCGTACAACATTATCTTTGAATACGCGAGCCGTGTCACCGACAGCAAATTTGATGGTACTGAAGGGGGCGCGGGAATTGGGAGATCCGACGCACTGCACGTCGACTGCCTGCTGGATACGGAGACCATGGCTTTGCCAGAGCGACAGGGCCAACGGAGCCATATCGAAGGCATATACGTGACCAGTGGAGCGTTGGAGAACGAGGTCGCGCAGATAATTGGACGGCGCCGCGCTGAGATCGTTAGGCGGACTAACGCGCCCGTTGTCCTTGCTGATATCCGACTCGAAATCGATGATCACCACAGTTGTGGCGTCAGCGACAGCAAGTAGGCGGAGACCACCGAAGGGTGAGTATGCGGCAGAAAGGCCAAGCGCACGGCCTTCGTTGCGACCAACGATGGTATCCAAGTCTTTAGGGTCCTTGTTGACATCAGATAAGCTGATCAACTTGACATCCAGGCCGTCCATATCTAAGTCGACCAGATTTTGGTGAATAACACGAGTACTGGAGGATCTCATGGTGAGTAGGCTGATAGAAACAATGAGACGATAACGCAAAGGTGAGCGGCTAAGGCAGAGCACCAGCCCACCCCAGCCCAGCCACAAACGAGGCAACCTCCGCTCATGGACTATATTTGGAAATTAGCACGCTAATACTCGCGCTTCCTCGTTGCAGGTATTAAGTCCTGTCTATGCAAGCGGCTAGAATCGATGGAAAGGTGAACCAACACTGGTAGGCAAGTGTTGTATCTGGTGCCAACCAACCGAGGCATCTCTTCCCTCTGTCTATGTAAAGTTAGAAGCCGACCGACGAAATGTGTCCGAAACCAATGACTAGATGAAAACCGGGGTGACCCAGATGATCACATACCTTTGTTTGAAACGGTAAGCATCATGTTTGTAGAAGGAAGTCGATGCTTAACTGCCGACACGACAACGTGGTCGTCTTCGTTACCTACCATTTCCGTCAGAAAGAAACGAGGAACCTTGAAACGAAGAACTTACCCGAGCAAGCTGGCAGTCTTTGGCTCCTTTTCACCGCCATTTATGGAGCGTCATAAGGTGTAACGATGTAGAATGGCTCATGCCAGTCCGCATGCATTTACCCAGGTTAGACCGGCATCGACACTGGCGAGATACGTTTCCTTGCTGACGACCGTTGAGGGTAGGAGGAGACGTGTGCCAATTTGCATAATTAGAGAGGAAGGGAAGATCTGCGATACGTGCAGGCCTTTCTGGTTGGGGGATCAGCACAGATGACAACCACATGCTCGCGAGGCCAAGATTAACTGGATAACTAATATTCTGTAGCGCGCACGGATGGTGAGTTCCTCCTTATCATGGCTGTTCATGAGGTGCATCAGCGCTGTTCTGTACGGTTCTTCCATAAGAAGCTCACCACATTTGGGATTGAACTAGCCTGGAACCAGGAGTTTGGAATGACGAGACGTGTTTGTGTGAATGGGAGAGGTGAGTTCAGGGTGATCTGTAATGCCGAACTGTTACAACACCCGTGTTCTAGAAAGAAATTCACGCGCGGTGGGTGCTTTCGATGTCATAGGCTTAGATGAGAACCTAATGATCCGAGAACATAGATGGTGCTGTGGTACCTCTCCTGCTTATTCACAACCGGAAAGAATCGATTCTTCGACGCTGCGCGTTGTTAATATTGCTGACTGGAGTTCAAATCAAGTTCTAGTGTTGTAACCAAACGGTACGTAGGCCTGCCATCAATTTTGGCCTCCATCTCACGTTGCAGCTTTCACGACCCTTCCATGCTGCGGACGTGTTTTAATCGCTGTCAAGCTTGAGATGACGTCTCTGGACGGTAACTAACAGTCCCGGATTGCTGTGTGTATGCAGGTCCTTCTAAGTTCCTTCACAGCAGTTTTTTCATTCCATTGAGACTGTGACAGGACGAATGGACGCTCACCGTTTTATAATTCCCAAGATATCGCGGGTCGTGATCAGGCTGAATTGGGGAAGCGCAGCTATCCTGGTAGACCATTAGGCTCTCCCATCGCCCGTCGCTGTCTTGCGGTGGAGTAATGGATGTGTTTGCTATCTGATCCCGTACGGGCGGCGAGCATTAAGTTGAGGTGGGTTACTCTTCGATTCTGTATCGACTTCCTAACCTCCCCTCGCTCTGTAAACTGTCACCAGGGAACGTGGGCACCGGTAAATGTCCACAATTTCTAAGACTCGTTCCTGGTTCGTTGGTCAGGACTTGATGGACAAGATGTCATGGGAGTTGTCACAGTTATATATATCATCAGCACGCCGGCCGTGTTCAAAGTCCAGAGCCTTGAAATGGTAGACTCGTGCAAGACATGAAGTACAAACTGCTTGGCACTCGAACTCATCACCCACAAATATCGATCGCTGTAGAACAGCTATGGCTTCAGAATGTGTCGCCCCTCGTGTTCCCCCTCTTCCCATCTGGGCATCTTTATGCCTCACTTCTCTCCTGCAAAGCAAATCGACATCCAGGTTTGACAGGGCCTTTGTTACTCGAGCAGAGCGAAGCCGATGCATGAGATTCACGAGCGTATAGATTGAGGAAGTGACAGTAGCCAGGAATGTTGATCATCTATCGGTAGGCTGGACTCCGGGACCTCTTCGTACCTTGACTAAACAGTGTATACCGCGGGGAGCCTTTGTCGGTACACAGCTGTTGCCAACTCCAAATACCTGATTCTCGGCAGGCCTGCGCAGACCAAGGTCGTCTTTTCCATCAACTTCCGATGAAAACTGGATTTCATGTCGCTTGATAACGATTCGAATCACCATTCAGCGCAACGAGTACCGTCCCATACCACCTCGCCCTATTCCTTCCTTCGGCCTACGTCGGGTTACCGCAGTCAGCTAGGTTATCTCGCTCAGTTCTATTAATATCTCAATCCCTAGATCGGTTGTGCTTGCGAGCGAGACTTCCGGCTCTGGAACAGTAAGAGTTAGCACTGGAGCACCATAACGCTGCGTGAATGCAGGAGGATTTCAATGTGTTGGGGAATAGATTTCGTACTGTGTCAGTCCCTGAGGTCGAAGTTGACGAAGAATGGTGTAGTCATTTTTCCAGGAACGAAGGATGATGGGCCTCAATATGTGTCTGTGCCGATCTCCCTGTAGGTTTCAACACGGAATTTGATGTAGGTGTGTATCATTTGAAGTTGCGTCAGCTTACCGTCCTATCCTGTGATTGTGCAATTGTACAATTCCCCTTCTAATCGGAGGCGGGTGAGACCCACTGATTTCCGTGAGGTTCTCTGTTGGTTTGGAAAGAGACAGCGCGCACTGCTAGTACTAGTAGGTACAAGGATGGCATTCTCATCGACGCGGGCAGACAATGCTCGATTTGCCCAGTGAAAATTCGACAGCCCGTTTAGCTAGTTGTATTATCCGGTTCCGTAATACCTCTGTACAAACACCCTTTCCTGCAAATGATGCTGCATGCGGGCCCATTGCATATGTACTTACAGTTATTAACAAGCCATTTAGTGTCACCAGTATTCGCTCAAACAGTATATGGCCAAATAAACCCAAACTCACCTCCGCCAGTAATTCATCTCCCAAATAATAGTTACAGGACTCTTCTCAGACAGTTTCCACGCATGGCGACGCCAGTCATCGTTGGCCTGGGTGCGATAACCGCCGCTCTCGTTGGACGACATTTGGTTCGCAGTGGTGTAATTGGGAAAAGAGCCGCAGATGAATGGGTCAAAGGCGGTTTCAAAGCCAAGATGGATCGCAGAGAGGCTGTAGCCATTCTCGGTCTCAAGTGCGTCTCCAGTTTTTATCTATCTTGTTGTGAGCTTTCTGGAATTCAATTGTGCCCCTCAACACATAAAATAGGGATGGACCGAGTCTTCGCACTAGATTCAAGGACGCTCACCGACAAATTATGCTTGCGAACCATCCCGACCGTGGTGGCTCGCCCTATTTGGCCAGTAAAATCAACGAAGCCAAAGATTTACTCGAAAAAACCGACGGTAAACGATAATACCTTCATACTTTTCGCACCCCCTGGGGCTTTTTTGCACTTTCAATGTACGTTGGCCATAACCCTATGAAGTCCCACGCTGAAGACATTTCAGACTATGTACACCGGCCATGTATAACTCATACCAATGTTACTACGTCATAACCTTAGCATGTACCACTCATTCTTTCGCTTTTTGTCCATGCACCACCCTGCTCATTTAATGGCCGAATGGGAAGTTTGGATGACTAAGCAGCCTGATATCCCTGATTTGAAAGTAGGACAAGATGCGATATCTCCTGTACTGTGGAAACTGCTTGCAGGCTAATGAGCGCAACAGATCCACAGCCTTCAAAATTAGGCACCAAAGAACAGTGAGTTGTATTGATGTACTGTGCCAGTGCAGAGCCCCATGATGGATCTAGTTGGGACAACGTCTACGACGAAGAGCTGCAGAACTTCGGGGAATTTGGTGATGAGGGTGAGATATGGTGCGTCTAGCCGTTCCATGGATCCTTCAGTTACGTACATTGAACCCGCGAAAGGTTTGGAGAAGATTCAGTGGATAAAATGGTCAATTGGGCTGTTCAGAATGTCCCTCCAGAGAACGACCCGTCCATTCTCGAAGTAGGCAGTGGAAACGGTACTCTCCTCTTCGCTCTCGCGGAAGCCGGATACACCGCCGATACGCTACTAGGAATCGATTACTCTGAAGGAGCCATCACCCTCGCATCTTCCATTGCAAAATCACGCAACCGTGAAGGGATACAATTTCACTGCTGTGACTTCCTTAATGAAGAACCTCCGCTACTTACTAACATACGTACGGTGGATGGGGCGGCCTGGGATCTCATACTGGACAAGGGAACGTTCGATGCGATTGCTTTGATGCAGAAGGACAACCATGGCAAGGCACCCGTTGACGGTTATCCTTTACGGGTAGCTAGGTTGCTAAAGCCCGGTGCACACTTCCTCATTACATGTCAGTTGCAATCTGAATGTCATACCAATACCTCAACTCATGCTTCCTAACAGCTTGCAACTTTACAGAAGCCGAGCTCCAAGACAAATTCATGACGCCTGCCACAGGCTTGCGTTATCAGTGAGTGTGGCACCAATACTGACAGCTACACTGGCTGACGTGAGTCAAGCTCCCGCATACAATATCAGACATATACATTTGGCGGCAGAAGCGGAAGTATATGCTCTAGTGTTGCGTTCGTCAAGCCAGCGGCGACTTGAGGATTAGATCCGTGGAATGTAACCCATTCCGCTTTGTAGGGTTTCCTTTGCTACCGAACCCGCCCACTGCAAGAACCCACTCTCCTCACGGAACGCGTGTGAAAGGAAGAATATCAAGCCAAGGCCAAGATTTTCGATCTTCGTCGCTCTGATAAAGGTGTCTTCAATTACTCCGCGATTTCGTGATTCTATGTCGTCAAGTCGGTCTGAAAGCATCGGCGACGATCCCTGCGTTGCGACAAATATCTGTGCGAAGAGCTGCTTGAAGAATTTCTGTGTCTGAGGCTTCAAAAGTGTGAAGTCGACAGGCTGCGCGGCAGTTCCAATCAGTGGCGTGTGCCAAAGACCGTCGGTTGTCTCACCTTCAGAATCAGAAGAGAGCAAGCGTCTTTCGCTATCCACCATCCATACGCTTTGGCGACATTCCTCATTCGAGAGGAAGATATACTCTTAGCTTCCGGGCGGCTTTCGTCATCCTTGAGATTTTTTATCACCTCAGTGCCGCCGACGTTAGTTTCACCAAGGTCACGGAGGAAGTCCCAGAACCAGTATTGCAGGGTAACCTTGTAGGAGTGCGACAACTGGCAGAAGTGCTGACAGATGAGGGCATAGTATGGATTGTAGGACTTTTCCTTCAAACACGGGTGCGTAAGCGTGGAAAACAAAGGGAGAGAATGAATTTACATTGCTGCAGCAATGCAGGCACACCCGAACGATTTCTCGTTGTTGCACTTCAGTGAGATTGAGCTGGGATAGCCGCTCGCATGCATCCATGTAATCCTGTGCACGGAGTCAGAGTTCATGCATCCAAAGGCTCGCATATTTCTCACTTCGCTACTCATCAGTACGACAAAAATACTTCGTCGAATGTCCGTGTTCATGCCTTGCTTCCGCGCAAGCTTCAGCAGAGAATGGTTCTCCGAGCTATCCGTGACTTCTGAAGTTCTCTTCGAAGCAGCTTGTTGACGGTCAGCGAGAGGATCGCCAGCCCAAGCGGCGCCTACGAGCCACCACTTGCCCTTGGTCTCCGCGGTGCGGAGATCTTCCAAGGAGACGCGAAGTGGTTCGTGTGCTTGTACTGGAAAGGAAAATTAGTCTCTCAATGAAATGTACCACAGAGCATGTACCAACCGTGACGCTTTTTACTGAGCCCCGAGAGAAACTTCTTCAAGCGTTCTACCCCATCACCTCCTTGGTGCTGAGCGGCTGCGGTCTTTTTTACTTTGTTACTTTTGAGGTTTGTGAGAGTCTCCATCATGAAGCGGGTACGCGAACTGTCGAAATGAGGTCAAATAAAAATGAGAACCAGGGTCATTCGCGTACCTTAGGTTATCTCCTTGCTTCGCAATGCAAGACTGCGCCAAGGTGACGATGTCCTTCAGTGCCGAAGGGTCATCTTGTCGTAGCTGTTGTCCAGAGCCTAAAGGTGGATGTCAGTCACGGCCATCCGCGTATTACGAGTCATCCTTACTTCGCAGGATTTTAAGGAGTAGCTCAACCCGGAGTTCTGACAAGTCTCTGCTGAGCAGCTCCCGGATCAAGTCGTACATAAGGACACATGCAATAACTTGGAAGTTGTATAACTCGGCCAACAACACGATGAGGTTGGAGCATTCTTTGCCTACGTCCTCAGAGGGACCGGAATCACGGGATGGCCCATCCTCCGCAATAGACAGGTGTCGTTCATAGGAGGTCACGACGTGCTGGACAACAAAAGCAGCTATCCGCGCATGGAAGGTTACTTACCACCATACAAACAGGGGAATGAACCCACCAAACTCCATGCCTATCAACCTATGCATGCTGGATATGAATGCCGCATGCAGAACCACGAACGACTCAATGTGCATGGCATGAGACGAGATGCCATCGGTAATCAGGGTGGTCAAAGTAGACGTTACGTCTGGAGGTATTGACACATTATTGAAAATCAGGCGAGTTCGAAAGCTTACCATTCCGACGGTGCTTGCGATATAGTTCTTCGACACTATCGAGAACTGTTGCCATGTTTTGTTCGCTCATCCTGTTGACGACACAAATGAGCCGCCGGCTTGAGAACAACCATGTCAAGGGGCATATACCGATTCAGTAGGCCTTTCAGTTGGCGGGTGAGCTTGGCAAGGTCCTCGTGACTATCCGTCTGCACTCTGAGGGCCGGCGGGACGTAACGTCCTGTGAAAATGATATGGACAATGCGGCGTCTTTCGTTCGACACTGTACTTGCCTGCAGAGTTTGTTGTCTCCTTTTCAGGCGATACTTCGTCAAGTTCGTGAGTACTACGGCTATCATCGTCGACATCAATGACGTCCGAGCCAGAGCTTGTCCACTCGTCATCTTCTTCATCTTTGTAATCCCTCCGTGAGTCGTCTCCTGATTCTGATGCAGATCCCCCCTGCGAATCAGATCCATCTACACTTTCTGGATCGCCTTCAGCGTCATTTGCGGCCTGTGAACATAAGAAGGAAAAGCACGGAGACAGACATTAGCACAACATACCATCGTCCCACCGGTCATAAGGGAATCAGTAAAGTCAAGTAAATCTAGAAGGAATCGACGCATTATTACGAATTCGTTTTAGACAACCGGAGACGTACCATCAAGCCCGTCGAGTGCATCGCTCTTCTTGCGTTTCCCTCCCTTGTAACCCAACATCGCCTCGTAGTATGCAATACACGCATCCTCTTCCTCCTCTTCCTGAGACTTGGGTAAAACAGACACGATTTTCTGTTCTTGGGATCGCTGTGTAACTTTTGAGGAACTCTTGTCATATTTTGCTTTCTTCTCTGATTTCTTCGATGGTTGCGAGGATTCGCCAACTTGTGGGTTTGTACGATGTGAAGATGTCACGCTCTCCTTTGGACCTGAATGGTTTACTTGTTCATGCTCCACAAAATGTGTGGTTTTGCGTCGCTTGGACTTCGGAGCGAGGTCCTCTTCCGTATCATGCCTGACAGAGTTCGTGCGGGTCGAAAAGTGGTCTGCCTTGCGCTTCTTACGCTCTTGTCTTTCTTGCTTTCGTACGTCCTTGCGTGAAAGCGGGTTACTTTTGCCTTTGCTTCGCCATAGGCCGCCCTGTGCATCTATGATTTCTGTGAATGCCCCACGGAAGTGCAGACTGAGGTAAGTACGCACTAGACGACGCTTTCTCGCGTTCAATGTGATCCCGCAACGCCTTGGGCAGATTCAACCCACGTTTCTGATTATTGGCTGCACTCATACTTCATAATTTCCCGCAGGAATGTTTTGACCTATCATAATAAAAAGTACATAGCTGTACAAAAAAGGCAATTTGACCTCTTGACCGTACTCGATGTAAGCCTACTACTAAACAGATGAGGTGGTACAGATAGACTGGACGTCTTTGGGTGAGGAAATACAATTGCGAGAGAAGAAAGAAGAGAAAGATACTGTAGCAATTAGAAGAGTACGAATAGTCCAGTAACAGGTCATTGAAATTGATCATCGCTGGTCTATCACATCCATCGCCGAGTCCAAGACGACCTTCGGCCGAAGGAGCAGACGTCGTTCGATATTCTCCTCCGGCGTAGCAGCGGTCTCCGTTGTAGCCTTACGTGTCGAGCATCTTAATCCGAGTTCAGTGGTACATAACACTGCACCCTTAGAAGCACCGTAGTCCTCGAAGACATCCACCATCTCTTGCGTATCAAACGCTCTACCACTTTCCGCCCCAACAACCTCAAAGTTCGCCGACATGATCTCTTCGCGTGAGATCTGAGCTAAAGCGCAAGCATTCTTCGAGATCCTTTTGACTTGTGATTGGAAGCGGGTACGGAATGCTTCCCGAGAGGTTGGGTTGGGTTGGGGATTAGTGCAGCCGCAAATTAGGAAAACATCTAGGGTCCAGCGCAAAATAGTATCCGTCATTTCGTTCACAGCATAGTTGCTAAGCTCGGGATGGAGTTCATGGATGTGTTTGTGTGTGAGAGCTCTCCAGCGCGAAGACATTGGCTGCGGCTCTAGAATGGAATGCCACCGATTACTACGATTGCAATAGTGTAATAGATAGATCACTCACCGGACTGGAACATGCGGGTATATATTTGTGTGAGTGTGATGTTCCCCTTGGATTGGTACCCGATGCAAAATGATGACAGGGCCCGTGAAATACAAAACGCGATGGAGCCCTGCAGAGCAAGCTGAACAAGCATTGGATCTTGAGAATGGTCATGGGTAGATAACATGCGAGAAAGGGAAGGCCCGAGTCTCGTTGTGACGTCGTTCACAGTTTGGCCAATCTTTGAGTGAGAGGTCCGCTGCTTGGTGAACGTACAGACCTCCACTGCGGATGCGGCAAACTGCAAAATCTCGGAGTTGAGATCCTGGACCGCTTGGATGACTTGCGCCCCAGACCAAAGATCCGTCTTTGTGAGGAAAACCTCCATACTTCTCGTATGTGCGCGCTCTTCCTCCGAGATGGTCGATATATTGTCACGTACGGCATCGCTACTAGCTCGGTGACGACTGCTACCTGCTTGAGAGGCTGCATCGCCACCACGGTGCTCAGCCAACTCAGGGCCAAGCCGGATGCGTTGCGACAGAGACTGCGAAGAGTTTGATCTGTGATGAATGACGTCGTGGCTGCGCCTCCGATCGAGACTAGAGGGTGGCCTCGAGAGAGAGCGGCGGTCAGCGATCAGTTTTGCCTTGTCCTGCTTGAGAGCTTCAATCTCGAGATCTCGCGCTCTCAACAGATCTTTTGTCTCCTTCAGCGTCTTCTCGAGTGACTTACATTTCTCCTCCAAACTGGCTGAGTCCGCCTGAGATCGAGCTAGCTCTGATTTCGTGCGGTCGTGTTCTCGTCGCATGGTATAGAGTGTTGAGGCGGCAGCTGAGGTAAAGGAACGACAAGAGCATGCGGTGGGGCCACGAGCACGTTTGGCAGCAGTACGCTTCACACGTAAATTTGCGGACTCGTTCTGGCGTGTTGCCACGGGGTCGGAAACTGGGGATATGTCCGAGGGAGTGGGGGGTTCAGAATCCGGGTCGTCGTTGGGGACAGAGCGGTAGGAGAAGGCAGGACTGCGTAGGGTAAAGAATTCAACGGTGGTTTCGTACAAGTCTTTGAGGTGCAAATTAGCGACAGGGAGCATAGCGACAAAGACGGACAAGACCGAACACGGAGCTCGATAATCGCTTGATCTCTACTATTAGCGAGGAAGGGGGGATATAAGGGCAGCAGAGGGACCATCCACCACCCGAAAACGGGGGGGCTTGCGTGTTCGTATGGGCGTCCGCTCCCACAGCTGTCCTTGAGGCAGTTGCAGACTTGCCAACCCAGGTCAAGTTTTTGTTGCCTCGTTGCAATCGTGTGTTTGCGTCCGAGATGAACGTGGCGGACTCGGCCTTGGATGGCCAGATGCAGATGGGTTCCCGAAAACCTACGCAGCTAAATGAAACAAGAATGTAGATACGACCTCGTGGAAGCTGTACTTGCCTGCTTCTGTCGTTTTTTTCTTCTCCTCCTCCCGGACCCGGACCAATTGCAAAGGGCGAAGTGGACATCCGCAGCTCCTCTGCAAATAGTCACTTCCAGTCAGTCAGCACTGCCTGGCTTGTCGCGACGTGTCCGCGTGGATCAGTGATCCTTCCAGTTCCTACGTCACCCCTGGGGGATATATGATTCCTCCACTATATATCATACCCATCCTCACTAACTCCCTAGCTCGTCGTATCACTCACATCTGAGCGCTTGTGCTACCATGAAACAAACCTCTGACGTGCGGAAGCCCTACGGTGGTCCCTCGCGTTCACTTGTAATCGCACTCGATGTTGGGACAACTTTCAGTGGCGTATCATACGCAATCTTAGAACCCGGCGAAGTCCCCAAGATTTATGGGGTGACGCGGTATGGTTTGGCTGCTGCTGTGCCACTTGCTTTTGCTGAGTGGCCCCAGCTTTCCGGGGCAAGAACATGTCGCAGGCAACTCCAAAATACCATCCATCTTGTATTACGACCAGAATGGTACAGTCATGGCCGCAGGAGCCGAGGCGGAAGGCGCGTCCATTATCTCACAGGCAGAAGATGAATACTGGATAAAGGCTGAACTGTACGTTTTCATTGTCTTTGAGGCTCCACGGCATGATTATGCCACACAGTTTCAAGCTTCGTTTGCGACCGAAAGCTATGAAATTGAACATGAACGGGATGCGCCTCAGCTCACTACCCCGGAACAAGATGGCTGTCGATGTGTTTGGAGATTTTCTAAATTACTTATTCCGTTGCACACGGAACTTCATAATTGACACTCACGCCAACGGCGAAGCACTTTGGCGTGCTGTAGAGCACGGTATAGAGTTCGTGCTGAGTCATCCAAATGGGTGGGAAGGCGGGCAACAGACGAAGATGCGACGAGCTGCGGTATATGGGGGATTGGTTCCTGACACTGACGAAGGTCGCGCACGGATCCGTTTCGTAACGGAGGGTGAAGCCAGTCTTCATGCTTGTATTCAAAGTGGTCTTGCCGCAGATGTTCTCTCGGTACGTAGTTTCTGCATACACTATCCCTTACGTGCTAATCGCATTCGATATTTATGGGAATTGTTACAGAATCCCTCGAGACACGGCTTCCTTGTTGCTGATGCCGGTGGTGGTACCTTGGACATTAGTTCTTACGCGGTAAGGGGCACGCAACCCCTTGTGATTGAAGAAATAGCGCCGCCAGACTGTGAGTGGCGTGTCTTTCCCTCTTTCCATCCGAAAAGAGTTTAACCTGCCCTACATAGGTATTTTTGCTGGATCGGTGTTCGTCAGCCGAAGGGCGAGAGAGTTTCTGGCAGGTAAGCAGGATTGTAGTATGAAAAAGAAAGGGCCAACAGCGATCTTGCAGAGAAGTTGAAGAACTCGAAATATGGGACTGCGGACGCCATCGATCACATCACAAAACGTTTTGATGAAACAACGAAACGACTTTTCCGTGATAAGAATGAGATCCAATGGGTCCCCTTCGGTTCGCCCCTCGACAAAGATCTGTCTGTCGGGATACGAGGTGGCTCTTTAAAGCTGACCGGGTAGGCACACGTTTTGTTGCATTTCTCCATTTAACCCCAAACGGAACAGTGCGGAGGTGGCGGAGTTGTTCGAACCGTCGGTTCAAGCAGCCGTGGCGTCAATCAAAAGCCAGGTGGAAGCATCTCAGGATATGGTCAAGGCAAGTGGTGTAATTGATTGGTAGAAGAAGGGAAAACCCTGAATTCATTTTCTCACAAGTCTGTATGGCTGGTGGGAGGATTCGCTGCCAGTCCCTGGCTATTCAGTCAACTTCAAGAGCGCTTGGCGTCCCTAAAGATCCGTGTCAGTCGTCCAGATAGCCAAACGTGCGTGTCTGGTCACCCTTGATCGGTGCGGTGGACGCGACGTATCATACTTACGGGATCCTCTTCTCAGATCCAAAGCTGTCGCCGATGGAGCCCTCGGCTTTTACTGCGACCATCATGTCTCGGCCAGGGTCTCCAAATTTATGTATGGAGTGGAGTACCTGCGGGAATATGATCCTAATGATTCCGACCACGTTGCGCGCAAGGATCGCCTTTGTGAATTACCTTCGGGTCCCCGCCTTCTCCCAGATGCTTTCGATTGTATTCTTGCGCGGGTGAGTGTCTTGGTGGCGGTGTCAGCAATGATCTTTGCCAGGGCTCATCCGCTTCCCGTAGGGTGTCAAAGTCAAAGAGTCCACTGTATTCACGCGCAAGTACTGCACAGAACTGACAAACCTATCTACCCTATCCGTATTCGAAGTCGAAATATGGTGCTACCGTGGTGGTGACATCGTTCCGCTTTGGATACACAGGCATGCCGGTGTGTCAAGCTTAGACCATAAGTTAGCTTTCGACTGAGTCACCGTTCCAGAGGACTTTTCGACACTGTGTGTTGTTCGCGCGGATTTGTCACCCCTAAGTGGCAGCGCCGAGCCCAAGCAGGGCAAGAACGGCAAGACATATTGGACTATCGTATTCAGTATTGAGATCCACTTCGGCCTTACTGAATTCAGGGCCCGCATCAAGTGGAATGATAATGTTCGTCTTTCTGTGTCATTTCCGTTGTACATCTGACTGACGTGTGAATTTGCGGCTTCCAGGGACGGACGAAATAGTAAGTTCATGCGAATACCTTTCACACGATTCACTTACCAGGAGGTACTAGTGGCCCGGCTTCAATTGTATACAACGAGGGCGGTCACCGTGCAGACGAGGACGAGCTAGACTCCCACCCAGAAGATGATTTCGGTCCATCCCGACCTGCGTCTCGTGTCGTGTCTCGTGCCCCTTCAGTCGCGCCTTCGCGGACACATTCGCGAGACTCAATGACATCAGGTGCGAAGACGCCACAAGGGGGTCCGAGACAGGAGCAGACTTTCGCAGAGCTGCCAAACCGACACCGGACTACCTCCATCTCACAATCTGCAACGGCTGCTAAAGCCTCCGCAACTGCTGCATCTGTGTACTCGGAGCGCACGAGAGAGCTCGAATTTGAACACACGGTTTCCTCTTCACGAATCTCTTCCTCAGTGTCTCATTTCGAACGTGATCGTAAGGTATCTTCGTCGACAACGAAAGTGTCTACAACTGCATCCGTAGTGGACGAAAAGCGTGGCAGGGAGAGTGAGAGAGAAAAAGCGAAAGCCAGAGAGAAAGAGAAGCAGGAACACGAGAGAAGGGAGAAGGAGAGAGAAAGATTGGAGAGAGAAAGAGAGCGGGAACGGAAAGAGAATGAGGAGAAGGAAAGGCAGGCACATGAAAGAGCGCAACGAGAACGAGAAGAGGCAGAAAGGAAGGAACGCGAACTCAAGGAGAGGGAGGAGTGGGAGAGACAAGAGCGGGAACGAGAACAGAGGGAGAGGGAGGTATGGGAAAGACAAGAGCGGGAACGAGAGCAAAGGGAGAAGGAGGAGAAGGAGCGGAAAGAACGACTGCAAGCAAGAGACAAATCGAAGACTCCACGAGGAACGAGCAAGCAGAATTCTCCCATCGACCTTGCCGATTCAGTTGTTGGGAAGAGTCCTGGGCGACTTGGTGAAACACTTACCTCTGTCTGGGGATCCCAGTCCAAAGCGGTTACGCCTGCTGCTTCACCCTGGCCTGCACCGAGATCCGTTGGGCCCACTACGCCCAAGACAGGGAATCTATTGCCTACCGAGTCACGTAAGGCCACACCGCGGAATGTACAGGCCAAGTTGCCTACCCCGGCTACGCCGGCGCTCGGTGAAGCTCGACAATCTCTCATTGTAGAACAGACCGTCGATGACGCCACGAAGAACCTTTCCGTAGAGGTTCCTCAGCACCAGTATGTCGGAAGTACCGAAGGCGTTGCACATACTCCGGCAGACTCTCTACCACCGGACCAGTTTACAACCGGTGGAGTCTCTCAAGAACCTGCAGGAGATATCCACACGACCCAATCGAATATGGAGAACCAAACCCAGGAAAGTGCCGTGTCTGGTGCATTTGATAGTTGGGACAATAACGTCACCGGCGGTGACTGGACATCGGGAGGCCAGAGCGGAGGGGACGGCTGGACCGACCTCGTCTCGCCGTCGGGTGGCAAGGCTGACAAGGCTGGATCCGCTGCGGGAGCCTCATCGCTGCCATCACTTAGTTGGGGAGTGGGCGGCTCCAATAAATGGCCTTTCTCGTCTCCGAAAGCGTTCGGCTCGGGTCTCACAGGGGCACTCGGAGGTTTTAGTAGCTTCCTTGGTACAGGCGACCACGGGAAGAGTGAACCGAAGGCATCAGAGACGCGTGTGGACAGTCTCGATGACATTCCGTTGGACGGTATCACTTCTCAGCTAGAGGACGGACTCACTGAACAACCTCCTGCGGCTGCTACTGTGACAACCGAACCGGAGCAAACTGCTTCGCTGGACACTGGAACTGCGGATGGCTGGGCTCACGCTTCCGAGGCGCCGGGTGAACCTGCACCTGCACCTGTGACATTGGAAGAAAAACCCTCTCTGTCGTTGGACCCTCAGGCCCAGACCGAGTCTGGGGAAGCTGGGGAAGCCCAAGAAGAAAACGCGGAAGAGAAGGGTGCTGAAGATGGCGAAGGCGGTGCTGAGGGTGCCGGAGAAGGTCAGGCAGGAGCTAATGAAGAGGGAGAAGAAGATTGGGGACAGCAGACCGGCAAGAAGAAGAAAAAGAAAAGTGGTAAAGATACCAGCGTCCCGCCGACTCCCATCGAGCCAACGAGGAGCGGTAGTGGCGGTGGTGGCGAGAAGGCCAGCGGTGGTAAGAAGAAAAAGAAGAGGTAAACATACTGCCCTCTTTCCCAGAGTCCGTGCGGGTGGTTGTTTAGTAGACGTCTATGCTCGCGTTTTTGTATGCACCCTACGTTTTTGTTTTACTTACCTTTGGTCCCACGATGTAGTTTCTTGATTGATAATTAGATGTATTTCTTGAAAACCAGAAACTGAGCGGATGGGTTATTATGTGCAGACCAAAGCTAGCGAAGGTATCATAAACGTAAGGGTCATAAGTCTTGAAAATAAAAACAAGCTCGATAGTCTATTCCTCAGACAGAGGTGCAAAAAAAAAACGTTGAAGGTATGTGAACCACGAAGTCCCAAGAAAACTATCCTAGAAAATCTCGGCAAGGACACTCATCTGAATCACATCCGACCAGCAGCATCGACAGCGCCACTCCCTACGATACACTGCTCGAAACTTCGTTTTCTTAACCTTCCATTCTCGCCGACAGGGATAGGCAATCCATGTTTCAGACTTGCCAAGCTGGTTGCATTCTTCTTCGCCGCATCGAGCGAGAACGCTCCGCTCACGGACGGCATACTCAACCGCCTCATCCATCCTTTGGGTTTCTCAGGACGTAACATGATAGGTGGCTCCGGCGGACGGAGATCATGAGGGGAGGGACAGGTATTCGATAAACGGTATTTAGCCACTGAGCAAGTGTCGCATCCACAGAACGGCGCGTGATCCTTCGCAGGCAGCGGCGTCGAAGATTGGGAACGAGACGGAGAAGACGTTGTGTTAGCTGGGCTTGGGAGGGGCATGGGCGTTGGCACTGGCATTGGCAGGGGCAGATGCGACGTCGAAGCCGAGGCGATCTTGTTTGTAATAAAGGATGAGGAGGATGAGGAAGGATGCGGCATGACTATATGCGAAACACTCTGAGAACCGCGCTTGTGCACAAAGCGGTTATTTCTCGGACCTTTCGGGCCGTCACCCACGTTCGCAGAGGTGGTAAGGTTGAAATCAGGCCGGGAATGAAGGAACTGGAACTTATCCCTCTCCAGCTCCCGAGAGCGCTGATTCAGCTCGCGCTCTCGTTGCCGAAGCTCATATTCCTTCTCTTTGAGCTCCAGCTCAGCCAACTCTTCGATGCGCTGCTTCCGTTTGCGTATCTCGTTCTCGTCAATACGCATGTCACGTGCTGTTTGATGCATTAAGGGTGTATCTGAAGGTATTTGTAGTGGCGGGAACCGATCGGTGGTAGGAGAGGCGGCAGCCATGCGTCGCGGAGACATCGGTTCGTCAACAGGTTGGTATCTCGACGCCATCTCCGACACGCTCATCGGTAAGCGGGGTATGTCCTTCGGTCCTTGCGAAGGTGCCTCTACCTGCAATTGCCATCATATAAACGTGTGCAGGCAGAAAAGAAAAAAACACGATAGCACATACAATTCGACTGTACCGATTCTTCAAGGCTGCAACGTTACTGCCCGTGCTCTCGCTTCTCAGAAGTGGCTTTCTGCCAGCATCCATACTCTGACTCTTGAACGCACTCCTTCCCCTGCTAGTGCCGTCAATACTGACCGCATTACCGGCCCTTTCACCATCCCTCTGAACACCAAACTCTCTCTCTCCTTGTTCTGCTGACCTCTTGAAGGGTGAGTCTGGCCTGAAGGCCAGCGTTGGCGACGGTAACACCGGTATAGGTGGTAACGGCGACTTGGGTGCTGGTGAAGGTAAAGGTGGACGCCCAACGATGGATCGACGACGGGGCCTGGGCAATTCTCCCCCACCCGTTAGCAGCACGGAAGGATTCGAACCGAATGGGGTTTTATGCTCCATGGACGAGCCCGGGCGGCTCGGTCTCTCCTCCGGAGAACCGCCAGAATTCTGACGCGAGACAGAAGGCGTCTGCGAAGTCAGTGGAGGAGGAATACGCGGAGACCTACGTGCGTCTAGCATTCCAGAGGCGGTATCAGCGCCTAGTGGACTCTCAGTCGGTATAGGTGAATCCAACGACCCAGAGTGCACTTGACTCAGAACATGGTTCTGAATTTCCATATGCGAAAGCGCAGCATGAATGTTCTGCATCTGCATCTGTTCGACCTGTTGTGCCTGGAGTTGTTTCTGCCTCTGTGCCTCTGCTACTTGGCTGATGGGCGTCGCAGAGACGGGACCAGGTATATGCGTTGGTGGCAATGGGAACGCGGAAAGTGTCGTGATCGAGTTGACCGAGCCTTGACTGTTCGCGCTGTCAGCGCTAGACTGGGTATTAATACTATTGTAGGTATTTGAAGCGTAGGGAGGGCGGGGAGGTTCCAATGGTATATTCCCAATTGGGAGTGGGGAACCTAGACTGAACCCACCACCGCCTGGAGGGACAGGCAACGAGCGTTCAGATGTGGCCGTTAAACCCCACTCCGATACTACGTTGCCATACACGGTGGACCCTGCGGTAGTCGTCGACATGGTCGGGGTAGGCGACAAGTTGTGTGGAGTTGGGACCTGAGCATGGGATCTATAGGAGGAGGGATCAGGTAAATCGTCCGGCAACGGTCCACTCCAAGCGCCTTCACAGAGCGTCCTCCATTCACCGAGTGGACCGATAGTGGGTGCAAATCGACGCATGCTCTCACACGTTCTGGCCCATTCTGCGTCTGCAATGCGTGCGAGACAAGCTGCGACGCCGAACATGGTCGACGCGTGCTGTTGGGCAACGTACATGGAATGATTACTAAATTTAAAAAGGAGGTTATGAACACCAGTCCGCACGCGAGGTAAGAGGTGTATGAGACACGCACTGTTTTTCCTGGGACATCTCTGGTCCAATAACACTGAGTAAGTTAATGTATCGGGCATGTTCTTCGCCTGCGTCTCGAGTGCCTTTCTTGGATTTCTTCTCGTAGGATTGACCTTCAAGGCAAGAAAAAAAAAAAGAGAGAATTTGTCTAAGCACACGTAGCGATGGAAGGGTGTATGAGGGCTACCTACCAGCTTGTTTGATCTTGGCGTTAGACTCATTCATTCGGTCATCGTGAGCTTTCTCCTCTTTCTGCAGGTATCGCAATCGTCGTCATCGCATAGCACGTACCGCAAAACAAGTTCCATAAGGGTGAGATGTTAGCGTGAACGGTCGACGAACATGGGAGGGAGGCCCTTGTGACACAAACTAAAGGGAAACGAAACAGACTACACTCACCGCCAACTTCTTGAACCACTTCTTCACTTCCGCATTCACGCTTCCACACTCCTTATCTGCGATTTTGGCAAACTTGGCGTCGACGTCTGCAAGGACCTCAAAGATACTCGCTGATGAGCTCAAGGCATTGGCTGTCGGGTGAATTCGCGGTCAGCTTACCCGGATTTTCCTGGGTCCACAAAAAAAAAAAAAAACGAAGGAACCAAGAAAAGAAATTTACAGGAAGAAAGACAAGACCACGCACCAGCATACTCTACACCAGCCTTGATTCCAGCTGCATCTTTCAAAGCCTTCACGAGCTTCTTTTGTACGGTAGCAAACGTCCGCGCAGCCTCACAATAGTCCGTGAGCGTAGCAACGAGCACTTCTATCGTGCGACAGGATTTGTGTATGTCACTGCGGTCAGCAGGGTGAATGGCAGGCGTTGCCGGTGCCGGGGCTAGGTTTGCGGTAGCCAAGGCTGGGCTGTTGGCCATGTTCGTCATTATTCGTGAAGTTCGTTATACCAATGATCCTGGGAGGGTCGATGAAGAGACGAGGACCTCTTTTCTACCCTCTCCCTGCGTAGACTGTCTACGCGTTAGCCGCACGGTCGCGACTGACGACGAAGTTGAACTATCCTTCCCAGCGCCTAATAATATCTGGCTACCCTCGGACTTTGAAAAAGATAAGATAAGCTACGAGACGTCATTCCCCCCGGCGTGTTCTCTAAGCCTCTTCCGAGAACTGCGAGACTTGCGTTCACCGGAGTCCTCCCGGCGGCTCCTCTTCCACATCAGCTTCTTCACGCACCCGGGACATAGTACGACCTTGACCAATGCCTGTTTTAATTCCCCGTGTTCTTCGTATGCGAACGGCAGCTCCAGCGTGGTCAATCGGGGTAGAGGACTCGACGTCGAATGAGGACGGTGATATTCACAGCGCATGTTTCCACATGTCGTCTCGCCTGTACCATCTAGGACTTCATTTTCTGTACGCCACCGCAGAGCGAACTGAAATGATGCGAATATTAGTTGTCAATAACGAGATACACATGTCCCCGAAGTGAAACGGCGACCTACGTTGCCAGACTTGTAGTGTTTCAGATTGCACAGTGCAAACTCGCGAAAGAGCGTGTCGTAGTATTTCTTCGCGAGCTGATCGTTCCATGACGACGAAGACGACGCATTATTCGTGCTGCTGCTGCCAGGTTGTCCGGCGTCATCTCTGAGGAATCTACATATGTGTTATAACATGCAAGATTTCATGAGTTATGACCCGTCGACAGAAGAGAAACGATTACTTGTGAGACGCCTTCAATATATCAAACTCTGTCACTGTAAACTCTTGTGTCCGTTTCTCGTCCGACCGCGACGTGTATGGCTTGTACAGCGACATCCCGTCCCTCCCAAGCTCACCGGTGTGCGAGAGAAGCGTGAGTTGTAGGGTCACCAAAAGAGGAAGGTCGTACTCAGCGCAGACGGATTTCTAAGCCGGCATTCTTCGACATCCCCGGCCCGGCCATCGTCATCGTCGTGTTCTCGTCGCACGCCGCCCGTATATCCGCCGGCTCCACCAGGTTGCTACGATCAAGGCTAACCTAGCATCGACGCACGTCCCTAAACTCAACAAAGAAACAGGATTCGCGGTCAAACACAGCCGAGAACCAATTCTCTTCTTTCTGCTACCATCGCAGCCGGATAATGCAGGAACGACAACGGTGAATCAGCTTCCTATGGACTTGCAAAAGCACCGTCGACGCCTCACGTCTCTCAGTACGCTGTCAGATTAAACTATGACAGTTAACTTCGTCCGTGTGCAGGTTCATGCGGCGTCTGATCCTCTCATTTCCGAGCATGCTACACACATCAGTTTGCCTGTGAGGACCACCCTCTTCGAAGACCGTGATATTGGCACGATGACGACGAGATGCATAATACCCACGTGCACCGAGCGTGATAGGTGTTGCAAGGGTCCAGCCTTCCCTCCGAAAATGAAGTCGCTCCACGCCACGTGGATTGTATAACACAACAACAATAGATGGGCGTTTATTGTCATAACCATCGTGAACAAGCACTTCATTCAATAATCTCCGTGTTATACGGCGCACGCATTCCAGCAGTTGGCGTCAGTACCCTCATTATTTTTTAACCCTGTAGGGATACAGACATTATCCCCGCCCTCGAGTGGTGCGACGACCTCGTCTTATCGGGACATCACTTATCGCATCGTAACTTCTCTGTAACCGCCACTGACAACTCCTTCAATCCCCGCTCGGGCGTGACGGGGTGTGGGAAATGTACGTGCGCTTCTCACACGCACGTCGTGTGTCATGATACTATGCTTCCAAATGCTTACTTATGTGCTCACATATTCGGTAGCAAACGTTAAGTGTATACTAAATCTTGCGGTAAGTGTGCATCTATTGCTGGCACCGCATTGGACAAATGAATAGAATTATATCATCCAAGCCAATCTACATATGTGCAAGTCAAGTCGGAATGGCAGGTATCCGGAGGTATCAATCCACGCCACAACGTGATGAGTGCCATCAATACACTAGTACATAGCAAGGATACAACGAGCGAACAAGAAAAAAACATTTTAACGATTCCATGCAGAGACGGCGCCCGAAAAACGAGCATGGATATACTACACCTGGTAGTATGGCACGCGATGATTTAAATGGACTCACCACGTCCTTTGCAGGCATTAAAAAAAACATGGGAGAGGAAAAAGAAAAAGAAAATCGTGCAGCCGACAGTATGTTAATGGTACTGTAGAGCTCCAGAGAACATCGTTGACTGAAAAACAATATTAAGGAGTGAGCTGAGTTGTAAAGAATTACGATGGAATGCGATACCGTGCCAAAGAACGAGAACCCAAAAGAACGGACGAGACCGCATGGCATACCACCATGTCCCACTGCAACCATTGAAAAATGTCTGTCGGCACCTTAATACACACACATATGCAAAGAAGAAAATGAACGAGAAAGAATCAGTCCAAGAACGCCACCTCGCACAATCGCCTACTCTCCGGATCCTCGATAGCACGCATTTCAAACCATATGCTCGCGCGATTATGCATCGTCGGGCTGACGGGCGTTCTCGACTTCACCTCGCCCGCATCACTGCTGGAAGGAGTGGCAGAACGATGGGAATAGGTGCTGATGGAACGCAAGCTGGTCGAAACGGATCTTCGTAGGTTCGTGAAGGAAGATACTTTTCCCAGGCGAGATAGGGACCTCGAAACCGGAGCGGTCGTCGTTGGAGAGAGGGAGGGTGAACGCATAGATGGGGCCGGGGGAAACGACGTGGTTATGGTGGGTTGCTGACGTTTACCTCTTCTGCCTCGCTCGTAGACATCTGACGTGTGTCTACGCGGAGGTAATGACGTAGGGAGTGATCCCGGAGGAGATGCGACATCGTCCGGTTCTTCGGCGCACGTATCCAACATGTGTGGGTGCAGTTGAGATGGGAACACCCCACTCACAGGGCTCTCAACCATTGTCTGTGTCGGGCTCTCGTCGGCGTCCTTTGTATTATATGCGTCGACTGGAGTAGAAATGACGATACCTGGGCTGGTTACGGTCTGACCTTGTACGCACGCTTTTGGAGGGGGTGCAAAAGGTGGAGGGGCGAATGGCCCCTCGTGGTCTTGTTCCTCCGGAAGAACCTCGAGAGACGTCGACAACCGAGGAAGTGAGCTAGAGAAGGACGGTCTCGTCGCATCAGGTGCCGACAGGGGTTCCAGGGACGGAGAGGCAGGCAAAGGTACCTGGGCCGGAAGTGGCGATGACACCACACCGGACGACGGAGTCTCGTGAACATTCTGTTCCTGTGGGGGGACAGATGGCGGACGTGTTGCGCCCGGAGAGTATGGTGGAGGGGAGCAGCTCGACGAACTTTCGAGTTCGGACTCGCTTGTCAGTGCCGCCTTGTCATGATTGTGTGCCATCCACTCTTGCTTGATCTTTTCAGCTAGACTCATACCCTTCGCTCGTCCATCCATTTCCTGATTCGCCCCGGTGCTTAAACGGAGGGAAACGACGGGCAGTCTGGCATCTTCGTCACGCTCCTGTTGGCTTAAATCCTTTCTTGGCGGCAAGAGACCACGCTCGCGGAGTGCTGCTTCGCGATGTTCGCGTGAAACGAAGCTGTTGGTGAGAGGAGGTGCAACAGGAGAGACAAACAACCGCGAAGTCTTGTTCTTGGGACGGCGGGAATCGGTTGGTGGTGGAGATCGTGAGTCCGAGGCTGGGCCGGTGATGGGAATAGATTTCGGAACGGCGATGTGCAGTTTGGAGGTGACACGGCGGACGAGGGTTACCTTGGCATTGTGCGCAGCATCGGTAGGCTGTTTGCCCGATGAAGATCGGGTGGTGTTTGGCAGGCTGCAAGACGAACAAAGGTTAGAAATATGAATCAATCCGAGGCAAACAGGAAATGAAAAACACGCCGCAGCATGACGCAGATTGATCGGGAGAGAGGACTTCTCGGTTGCACGCCACTCACCAGACGGGGTCTGCATGTCGAACAACATCGTTCTCGTCAGATGGCCGCGACCCTGAGGCAGATACTCTGCGTTCGCGGATAAGTGACCTGCGTGGTGGAATGCTCCGGGGAGGATGAGCGGTCTGTGTCGTCTTCGGGTGGAGGGAGGGGGATCTTTGTTCTGGAGCGGAAGCGGAAGACGTTGAGGGGGACGGTGACAGCAGGCATGTCGAGGTCGTAGCGAGAAGACGGGTAAAAAGGAAGGGAAGGGAGGGGAGAGGAAGAGAGGAACAGGAGACCATACTACTATTTATTCATTTCAATGGGGATACTCTTATTCGTGTGTTACATGGACACTCTCGCCAAAGTTTTTTCTTGATTCGTTCTTGACGTGATCGGCAAATTAGGGTCAAGTCTGGGGTAGTACGTCCACTTTTATTGACCCCGAACTATATCATTCATTCACAAGCCAATCACGTGTGAGTGAAGCTCTAACTCGTCCTGACAATTGAAGAAAAATATATTACCGCAAACATCGCTGGCGTATAGACATGTGGGTACTCCAAGTACTCCTACAGGCTCATATTCAGATCTCGATGCGGAGGACGTCCCGCTCCCTTTGCCCAACCAAAAGAGGATGATCCGGAGTGGTTAACGCCGACGATAGCGCATTCCAGAAATGGGACTCTCAGCTGGCTATACACATCACCCAACGCAGCAAACCTTACCCTGAACCGGAGCTTATAGTGGTACTGTATATGTCTCTCCAAAGGTCTTCCGTGTCAATGTCACGACAGCCCATGGGACATGCGAGGACATGATACTACAGGAGATGCTCCCCTGTATGTACTTGTATTGCAAATTTATTTTCAAGTTCCCATAGAGATTCTCCACTCCTTTCCCAAGCTCGACGGCCGCCTCCTTTCCACGGATCTGAGTGACGTGGATACGTTCCCATCAACTCCGAGTAATTTGAACATCCCATCTCCACAACGGTCATTTTCAATAAACTAAATATTGTGTATGTATGGCCCGTCGGTGCCGGCGCAACCTCGGACAGACGGACGCACCAGTATTGGGTACCTGGGTGACCATGTGGATCGTACCTATCCAGCCGGCCCAGGTTAGTAGTTGCTGCTGACCTTTTGCTGCGCAATATTAATGCAGGACGACTTCATCCGCATCCGGCTTATGTGCGCTGTTTCACAACCTGAAAGGTTCTACTTCTGTGCCACTTCAAAATATATTATTTATCGACTTACCAGCCGCGGCGGTCTTCTTCTGCCGCTGCAATCGAAGCCGCGAATCCGCATGAGGCCCCCAGTGGAAACCCAAACCCAGGCTCGGCGATGTGAAATCGCTCCTATCGGGTAGATATATCTACGACGAGTTGATTTCGATACTATTCAATCCGTCCACTCCCCCCCGTGGCGGGCATCCGCTATTTCTTTCCCTGGCCGGCTTCAGTGCAAGAGGTGGTCCCCCTTCCCATCACGGTGGGCTGGCTTTCGATTTCTACACAGCCAGTGACATTTCAGCATGCTATGCATTCCTGACGTGGAAACCAGCGTCACCAAATGACACCCAGCGATAATGATGAAACGCTTGTAATCCACTAGCGACAGCAGATCGAGAGGTCGGATGTACTTACTTGCGTGTGTGCTCAGGGGGGGAACACAAAGCTAGGCCTAGAAGGTCTATTTCCTCCTCAATGTGAGGAGTTCGGTGCGCAGCAAGTTGGACTCCATGATGATACTGATTAGCCGCCCCATTATCACTGAATCTCGCCCCACTAACCCCGGCGGCTGTTTGACAAGCTATCACAACAGCTTGTAATGTTTACTTCGATTTGGATGCGCCGTAACAACTCGTAACACATGACCTATTACCTTCTGTTACATAACATCGTGCCTACTTTTTATAGATATAAATTCTGATAATTTTACTTTAGGTTTCGAAGACCAACGTCACGAGGACAGAATGCTCACTACTGCATACAGACTGCACTGAACAATCACGGAACAAAAGGACATACCATTGAGGAAACTACTACTTAGTAGCGTGTAGCTACTAGGTACTACCCGCGTAACTTCCATTCCTCACGGCGGCCGGAACATCGACGCCGACTTGGCACTCCATGAGTAGTTCGGACCGCGTCTTCGCTCGGCCGCTAGTGAGCGTTCGAGCGGTGGTACCGGGCCATCTAGCTTATGTCCGATACTTAGTTTGGTCCTATTCAAACATTGAACGAGCACGGGGAGAGGAGTTCAGGCTCGACGCTCTCAGGAATCGAAGCGAAGCGAACTCTTATGTATATGTCCGTCATTAGTACTGGTGAAAAAGTAAGAACGCTCTTAGACTGGCACCATGGCCTGACACGTAGCTGGAAGCTTGGTTTTGAGACGTACACTGCGGCGGCCGTCACTGACCTGCAACCAAATGCTCAGATACACCTTCGAACGATGTTTTGTTGGAAGTGAACGTATCCCTTAACGGCCAACTTGAAGAACACGCACGATTCGCCGCGTTCGCGGGTCGACAGGATCTCACGACCGCTGGACTTCCCTCGGTCGAATCGCGCCAAGGCCGTAAACGTCGTCCAAACCCCTCATCACTCTTCAGCTTCAGGCCTTCAGGCTTCATCACTAACTTCGATATCGGCCATGACGTACCGTATTACTTTGGTGTTACTATTCGAAGCGGTAATGACTGCACCCGACTTCAGTCTTCGACAAACCTATCGAATACGAGGTTGCGTGTCATCGATGCCGCCGGCCCTACAGGCTACGAGACCCTACCCAGGTAGTAGTGCGCAGATAACACGCCAACTTCGATTCCAAAAACAGTGCGCGAGATAGGGCTGTGGAAGACCGTGTATGTTGATTTCACAGCCCTCGACTGTTCTCAGTCACACCGAGGTCACCGCCTAATTTCCAAAAGGTTCATACTCGATGATCTGGGTAGTCGCAGACCAAAACCTTGGGAGGGCCTAGCAACTATGTCGTATTAGGTTTTTTTTTCTTTCGAAAATTCACTGATCAGTGGCGGGATGAGATTGAAAAAAAGAAATGGGTGGGCTTCTTGTTTGTACGTGCACTTGATTTTATCCTTACGTACCTGATCCAAGAAGACTTGATGGCGTCTTCCATCTATAAAATCAAGTTTAAATCAGGAATGTCTTACAAGCTCCTTGGCCCCCCAATTGGACACTGTGCGGCAACGCCAGGTCCAACCAGTACATTCTCAGCCAACCTTGCCGCGTCTCCTTCCTGAATGCCCAACATTTCCAGCATCTCTTTCCTATTGAACATCACCGCGGTTTCCGCTGCACTCGGTCGCCCTAACCACGGGTCTGCACCACCCTGGTCAAGCACACGTACAACTTCTTCATAGCCCTTGAACACCGCTCCTGCGAGGGGAGATTGTCCGCGGTCGTTGAGTCGGTTGGGATCCGCACCTCTGGCGAGCAAACCGGATACGAGGGCGGGATGGTTGGAATAGGAGGCGAGCATGAGGAGCGTGTTACCTGGGATTGACCATTATTTGGCAATAAGAAGGAGGAGGAAGAGAAGCTGAGAAAGCGCTTCACAGGTGGCGCACTTACCTTTGTCGTTGGTTAGATTAACAGGTAAACCCGCATCAACGGCTGCTAACAGGACCTCGGCGTTGCCCTCGCGTGCAGCATCGAACATGCGGTGAGCGAATTCTTGCGTGGCCGGTGGCAGTGAGTTCACGTCAACTGTTCGTGTGCCAGATTCAGTTGTCTGTTTGCATTCGTCATTTGCGCTATGCGCTTGACTTTCCGAGTGGTAGATCGTACCATTGTATTGGCGGGCTTAGCTCTTTCAACTCTACGATGTCGGGCAGAAAACAGTTAGGAGCCAGGGAAAGTGTACTATATTTATCTTTCGCCAAGATGGGAAGTCGTTTCTCGTGGATGTAAACTCGGCCAACTAAATCGATACAAGTCCTTTGAAATATGCTACTTGCAGCAATGATACGTACAACGTGAAGGATGCTCTTCAGGGTTCGCTGTCGTGAGATTTGACCTTCGTAGCTAGGTGAACGAACGGAGAGTAGAGATGAAGATACAAGTCAATAGAACAAGAAAGCGAAGAGAACAGAATGACTAGAGAAACGTAGATCACAAAGGAGAGAGTGATCTAGTGTGTGGGGGGGAAGGCCGCCGGACGCTAGGCTCCAGAATCGAGCGAGAGTGCCGAGATGCCGAGAGCACGCGCGCACCGAGCGGGGGTCACGTGACTACGAAGCCGAGAGATTGAGAGTGAGAAGGGGTCACGTGGCTCGTACAAAGAGGGATCGAAAGGGGAGAGTGCGCGGAAACAAGCGGTGCGGCCTTCTGAGCGTGCAAGAGCGGACGAGTGGAAGAGAGGAGAAGAGGCCACAGGACCGACCAAACACGCTAAGATGTGAAAGGGAGGTGGGTAGGAGAGCAAAGAACTGAAGAGTATATGCGCGAGAACGATGAATGCTTGGACGAGAGACGACGAAGGTCGAAGGAAAGAGAGACGTGAGACAGGGGGAGGTAATCTAAGTGTGAACGCGTCTTAGATTACATAATGTTCACGTGATCGCTACGAAGGCCCTGTTGACTGCGTCCAAGATCGCAGGCTCACTAGTTAGCAGTAAACGCCCACGTGGACATCCGGTGGCAGGTAGCTGGAGGAATATGACGCACCTCCACCGAATTTGGCCCTCTTGGTACGCTTTGAAGGATCTTTCCGGGCGGGCCGTTCAACCTCATTGTACCAAAAAAATGACTCACATGCATAAACTTCTGCGTGATAACAGGCGAACTTGCAATGTTCCCTTCGTCACCATCCATGGCCACTCAAAGACAGCAGTCCGGGTCGACTACCTACGATCACACAACACCTGAGAGGGAACAAGATCTCCGGTGTCTCTTCCTTACTTGCCCCTGAGGATGGCGGCACGTTCGTTGGAGCGTACCTCTACACTTTTCTTCACGAAACCCGACAAGAGGCTGCGTTCCAGGCCGAAGCAGGGATTAAATCAGAAATCGATGCAGTATGAGTACAGGTCAAACTTGTACGTCGTCATCTTCATTCCATTGTTGCGGTAGGTTGATACGCGGTCATGCGCAGACTGCTGTTCGCGACAAGTTGTCGTAGACCAGACGCTGCCGGTGATGAGCGTGCCACTCTCCGTGCAGAACCAGACGACATACGAGGAAAACACCTTGACATTAACATTCGAATAGCTTGGAGGACAGCATAGACAAGCGGGTGTGTATATCAGAGCCACCAATTTCTGGCTATACTTTGATGATGGAATGATTGTGACGCAGATAAAGAATTTGCAGGCTGCTACATCAAGGCGTGCCAGTTGCCACGGTCAGCGTGACGCTTGAAGAATTGCAAGTAGGGGTGGATCGAACAGATACGACTGTTTTCTGGACTGGTCAAGGCAGTAAAGGGGCTCCCGGAATCGGTGAACGAAGAAAACACACGCACCATCGTCACATACCTACAGGTCGTTCGTGGCTCTGCACTCCATCTTAGCGCCAAGGCCCTGGTGCCGTTTGTTCAACGAGGGTAGCAGTTGATGGGTTTCTAATCTATGTATATTACTGGCATCCGTGGTCTATACAACTAACAGCGAGGCAAGAGTCGCTTCCACTTGTATTACCTGATCGTCGTAGAGGTCAATGACACTAGCATAGATATATAAATCCAAGGCAACACACCTCCAGCGCTTGTTGTACTTCCAATCTTCTCCGTGCAGCCTCAAGCCAATCATGGAGAAGCTCCTTGGCCGTCCCAGTCAACTGGTTCAACTCGCGTGTTGCACTATCCAGATCCTTTTCGTTCAGATAATACTCCGCTCTGGCCAACACGCTCAAAACATCGTTCCCGGGAGTAAGCCCGTGTTTCCGGAAAGTGAAAGAGGTAAGAAGATGAGAAGCAAGATGCGAGAGGACGCCAGCGTTGCGGTCGGGCACCAGTGCAACGCTTGACACGCGGGGTGCGACAGACGTTGTGAACCAAGAAGTGAGGTCGACGAGGGGTTCAACGCCGACGTCTGGAATATCAGTTTTTTCGATGGAATCTAGCGCGGTGGATAAGACAGGGTCGTCCTTGGCAACAGCGACATGACGTAGGACCCGAAGCTCTTCACGGAATGGTTTGCGCACCGACGCATCCACAGCTGTTTGCATGGCACGCACTGCAGTCCACAAGGCATGTACGCGGATGTTCTCGTCGAGGTAAGACGAATTATCGAGAGCTAATCTCTCCAAGCGTTTGAGATTAGTCGCGAGCTCCTCCAGCCGGGCAAGTCGTCCTCCGCGCTCTTCCTCGACCTTCACCTTGACCTCTCGAATCCACCGTCGTTGCATCTCTATTCCCTGAGCAATGACCTCCTCCTTCAGCCTTCAAGTGCGTGTCAAGACGGAATATTTTCGAATGCCAAGCCAGAAAAAAAGGGCTCACCGTTCGTTAATGAGCTCCGTCTGAGTCTTAAGTTCGTTCGCCAGTTTTTCGCGGTATGCCTGCGCATACTTTACGCGCTCTTCCTCCACGAACTTCCTGAAGTCCTCTTGTTGCAAGTCCAGCTTATCCTGGGCCTCGATCTCCAGCTCCAATAGCTTGGTGTTGTATTCGCGGGCCTGTTCATCTAACTTCTGCTCCAACTGATGTTGTTCTTCTTCCTTGATTCGCTCTATGCGTGACGCGAGGTCTCGGAGATCAACCTTGGCTGTTTCAAGGACATCCTTGGCCTTCTCCGCTGCTGCTGGCGCAGAGTTCAGGTATGAAGCGAGGTTGTCAATTGTATGCGCCAAGTGGGACACCACGGGCTCGGAAACAGCTACGTCCGACACGGCTGGGGCAACAAGAGGGAGGGGTGTAGGCACAGGTTCGGTTGGCGGGCTGGCGGTATCTTTTGGCTTCTGAGGCCTCGGGCGAACATATCCTGGAGGTGGTTCGAAGCCAATAGGAAGAGGAACCTCGTATACGTTCTTGTCTTTCGACTCTGGAACGATGACTAACTCGACTTCCGTTGCCTTAGGTTGGTCGACCGCAGCAGTCACTTCAGGCTCCAGTTCGGGATACTTCTTTTCCAGAGCTTCCTCAGCTTTCCTGATGAGGTCTTCGAGCTCCTCAGCAAACTTGACAGCCATGTACCTCGCAGTAGCGGTGGGTTTTCGTGCCTCGGGAGTGCCATGGTCATCGGACCTCTCCACAGAGGTTTTAAGAGCAGTCGCTAAGGATTTGACACGTCCTTTGGACTCCTGGTGTGCATCCTTTGCACGTTCGCGGACGGGTTGAGCTGCTTCCTTCGGTGTATCCTTGGTTGCCGCATCCTCAGAAGGACGATACCCCAGTTGCTTCTGTACGAAGTCAGACACGTATTTCACTGCGTCAACCGTAGAGATGACAATATTCTGGATGGTAATCTCGTCCCAGCCGTGCTTTGCGCCGTATTCTACGAGGGCCTCACCCAGGGGAACATTCTGGCTGAAAAACTCGCGGTACTGAGGACTTTCGTACGACGCGAAGGTGCTCCCGATGTAGAAGGCAGAAGTCCCGGCGACGGAGTAGAATAAAAACTTTCGTACTACGCTTTTGGTCTTCTTTGGCTCGGGAATAGGTTCGGCGGGTGGAGTGGTAGTCAGTCGCTACTAATCCTGTCAATGTCCGTTTATCACAAGTTTATGGTAGTGGACTCCGTACCCTTCGAGTCGCCCTGACCAAACTTCTGCCAGTAGACCTAGGAGTTTGTCTGGGGACAGCGATGGCGCGGTACATGGCTATCGTTGACGCGAACGACAACTACAACGAGTAAGCAATAAAAGTACTACCGCGCAACTCGTGGTTATACCCGGAAATTTCCGTCCCGTGCGCTTGAACTTCAACTAAGTCACTCTGACATGCGGAAAACGCGAAATACGCATTGTGCGAAGAAAAGCGTTCACACCTAGGCGTGCTAGCCCAAGTTGAAGTTCAAGGCCAGGACCTGACAACGCATAGAGCGCATGGCTGGTTTACAAAGAAACATTTTGCGTACAACATTGGAGGCTATGGTGATAACCTAGGTTCATTCAAGAGCCCCAAGTATTTCCTCTGCTGGACACATTTAAACACGACATGCGACGAATCCCAGGATATCAGGCAAGAATGTTGGCTGCACTTGGATAACACCCGACGAAGTCAAAGTTGAACTTCGGACGACGTGTATGATCGTAAGTGAAGTCCCCTACTGTTTAATTCTGGACCTACGCGATAGACCTCCCGCGTTCCCAATGCTAGTGTGGTGAGCTCCGATTCGTAGTTACGCAGCTTACCAGAGGTGGATTGATTACACACAACGCGTCGCAGCGAACTGCAATCCAAGCAAGAAGCAGAACGAGGCAAATTATTTGTATCTATGAGATACGGTACGCATTACATGGAAAATTGTGAGGATGCGGCATCAGCGACAAGAGGACGAGACTTGAAAGAAAAAAAATGTGTATATACACTCTACGCATTAAGAGGAAACAGCGACAGTCTCCTATGGTCACATTCGGTCCATGGTATCAGTGATGAACAAGACGACGAAAATGCCTAACGAGGCTCATTTAGCAGTTTATGCCGCGAGGCTCAGAGCCTCCATGGCAAGGTCCAGAGGATCGGCAGCGGCGGCTGTCGCTTGTGCAACAGCGACTTCGGCTGTGGCACCTCTGCCAAAGACTATTTCAGGACTCGTGCAAGCTGCGACCGCACGGCGCATCTGCGTTGTCAGGAAGGACAGACCGACTTGGTAAGCGGCTGTAGAAACAGAGTCAGTGGGGTCGACAGACACACGTTCTGTACCTACCATTCATCCATCCGAAGCCTTCACGAGGGACCATTTTAAAGTCAATTCCTTGGTTGCCGTATTCAGCCTCAACCAAGTGCGACAGCTTGACCGCATCAAACTGCATTGAAAACGGGATGTCAATGAAATGTCAATCCGGAAGGAAATGTCGGTCACACCTTTTCAGGGACAACTCCGTTGAAATCAACGAAAGCGGTGGTCATCCTGAGTAACCGTCAGCCGACAAACCCACGAGAAGGTTGTAGGGGACACACATGTAAAGCCATCTGTAGGCTAATCTCTGCGCCTCTTCCAGATATCCATACCTCTCGAGTCCGACCCATGCCATTATTTGATGAGGCGGCCTATGCAAGGGATTTCGTTAGGCCAGACATAGCGACTAATCACTTCGTTCGACTAACCATGCATAACTGACGTGTATAGCATCAGCAACGGCACTAGCAACAAATGCGTGACACTTACGGGAAGTCCCATTGACGATTCGGGCGGTCCAAGGATATCTTACCACGAGACTCCTCAGTACCAGACACAAGACCACCCAAGACTTCAAATTTCTTCAGCGACTGGGAACTGAAACACGCCATCAGGTGCCCAAAGCAACGATCGACAATTTCCTGCACGTACACGAGTTTCCAGCACTGCTCTTCACTCGCACAGCCTGCCCACAGAGCCCAGAATGCAGTGACGCTCTCATACAAGCTCTGCTTCTCCTGGACGGTATCATAATCGAAGTAAAGATTCTTGCTTTCGTTCCACAGGTACTTATCGATTACTTCCCTTCTCCACTCAGCTCGCTCGAACCACTCATCGCTGGTTTGTGGCCGAGAGGTCGATCGCTCGCGGTGTGGATTGGCGTACGACTCCGGCGTTGGAGGGAATGGCATCAATGGGAAATCCTCTTCCAACATCAACTCATCGTCGAACACCTCGCTGATAGCAGTGGCGATGTCAACTTCGTACTTGTACAAAAGTGCTTGCAGATCAATCGTTCCGAGATTCGCACAACGCTTTTCAAAACGGTAATGTCGTGTCATGTCCGGACTCGCGGACGGCACGGTCGTGGAGGAAGTACTCGTCGAGCTCCGGTTCCTTCAACGCACCGTTGTTATACTTCTCACTGAATTCTAGGACAGAGATGCCATGCTTGGCGGCGTACGGTTCCAGGATATGGGTAAAATGGGTAGCCTCGGTCTCAGGGGGTATTCCCACACCATCGGGCCGGAAACGGGATAGGCCGGTCTTGGGGTCCATGCGGGGTTCCGCCACCCAAATGGTATGGTACTCTTTGATAGCGGCCTGGATGGCGCGTTTCAACCATTGGCGGTTAGCCTCGATAGTCAGAGCGATCTAGCTGATTATAGATTTGGAGGGCCATGTCCGTCAAGAATGGCGGTTGAGTGCGACAGAGGTAGTAGCTCCGGGACCCGTTCAGAATCTTGCCATAGTGCTTGATCTCGAATATGAAAGTGCTCGACCATATTCTTTGCCATTTGTACCTGGCCGTCTACAAGGAGGCCGAGGGAGATGAAGTAGGAATCCCAGTTGTAGAGCTAATTAGTATGACAAGGACAGACGTCGAGTCAAATGAAGCGCTGACAGTCCATAATTGGGTTACGTACCTCATTAAAACGAGCGCCAGGTACGATGAAGGGGATGCCCTTTAAGGTACGTCCGCCCTTGCCATCGTCTATCTCCTCCATAGCCAAAGCCAACAGGCCGGGCTTGGAGTTCAAGCTCTTGACAAAGTATGGGTCGTCGTTCTTTTGAGGAAGGACCTGAACGTCGAGATTCATGTGGGGTTTTTCACGGGCGACCTTCCTGTAGTATTCTACCATTGCGGGCTCCCCGTAGGGTATGTAGATTCGTGGCTGTACACGACCTGTTCGGTTCTTGGGGTCTGCGGTGATAATCTCCAGACCATCGCCGTCAATGCGGCGAGTAAGAGAATGCCAGAAAGAGTGTCGGATCATGCGTGACAAACGGTCGACCGGATTCTCCGTTAGACGTGCTTCGTCAAGCACGATGCGCTTTCGGCCATGGTCGCGCGCCAAAGCAAGTTCCTGCAATAAGTTTGACAGCATATAGGTACCCTAGAAAGGAAAGGGTGAGTACTGAGCACCATGACGACATATGAACGACATACGCGGATGTCAAACGTCTTGAAACCATTGCTAGTTGCGGTGCCAAGAGGTATCAACTTCGGACCTGCATCCGTTATGCTGATCTGGAAGTCACCATCCGTGTCTTCCTGTTCGAGGACGACCCGGATGGTCTCCTCGACGTCAATGAGGAAACGGCGCGGGCCTGTGACGCTCTTCTCGTCATGGGACATTCTCCGTGTCCTTATGATTATGTCTTCCTGGAAGGCGGGGGCACGTTTGGGGTTGTAGCCATGGATATGTGACTGCGGTGGGGTGCAATACAAGGGTTAGACAGTCCCAAAAGAGTGGGGTCTGCGTACATGACTGTATGTTCTTGAACGAGTGAACGTTTCACCGCCCCCATAGTAGACGGCAGCTTCTAAGTGAACGGATCCACGTTCGCCATCATCGACGAATGTGACACCAGGTGGATGAGTGAGAGAAGGTGCCATGAAGCGAGGAACAATAGTCAGAAAGTAGAAAGGTGGGGTTGGCCAGCTAATTTATGTCCCTGTCCCGACTGAACTAGCCGTGTTATGTCAAAACAACCGTGGCAATTACTACGGATCTAGGACCAGAGGGCTGTTCTGGAGCACAGGATGCAGGGGCTTTCAACGAGCGCACACCGACTTTCAATGCACACTCAGACGTGATGGCAATCCTCTGCAACCATAGCACACACCTGTCTTTTTGGAGGAAAGGTTCCGTTGGGCTTCCCCGGCGATCTGGATAGGCTTGGAACAAATTGATCGGACCTTTGATCCTGGGCTGGCGATTGTCCGTTTCTTGTGTACGTTGGGAAGAGGCAACCACAGGTATCGTGGAATTCTTGTCCGACTTCAGCGTCTTCGTGTCGATGATAGGTTGAGTCAGATTTTTCAGATCGGCCCTGACCACCTTCCCACTTTGTCCAGCCCCGTGATACGGTGTTTCAATGGTACATATGTACTACCTTATCCTTTCTTTCTCTTGGATGCACTGTTACTGCCCCAGGAGAAACACAATGATGCCCAAGTAACGGGACTCGAAACCTCTGAAGGGCGAATCTCGATGTCCTCTAACGCAGGCACCATCTTAGATGCCACCAGTGCCAACGCATCTTCGCAAGGAGCCCCTTGTAGGTACATATGACGACACTACTCGGTTCCAGTAAAACGATAAGCAGTGGCTTTCGCGCCGGTTCCGATAAACTGATAAACCCGGTCGGACGCCCAGCGCTTACCAGGTGACAGCCTTCCTACAGATCCGTTCGGTGTCGAAGACGTCATACACGGGGCTCACAGCTCGTGAGTGCTACCATTGTCCGATGGCGTAATACTATCCACACCGTGGGGGTCGTTCCTGATCGCCGGACACACCGATTCAAGAGGCGGGGCAGCTGCACTCCTGCTGTACAATGTTGTATTTTCGTTAGCGTGTATGGAAGTTCGTCAGGTTACGTGAACGAACGTCTCCGGTTCTATGATTCGTACTTGAACGCCTCACAGTTCGCCTCGGCAACTACGAACTGGTTGCACACTGTGCGACTTTTCTCGACATCCACGAAATACAGAAATAGCGTGCTTACAGTTCCTATTTGAATTCATCCACCACCGATCAGCATTTCGCTATGTAAAGTTTCAAGAGACACCAACGCAGAAGGTAAAAAGGGATAGAAAAGTGGCGTATTGTTGTTGCTCCCAAAAGCTGTGATGGTAGCAGACGAAACGAGCGACCCGATGAATGCCGACGGCTTGCCAACCTGTAGAAGCTATGTACATATAGATACATATTAAGAGTGACAAGTTACAACGGAGAACAGTGCAAAGAACAAGATCCTGTTGCTGGTGTTAGCATTAATATTGCTACTCATAACGAAGGTCAAGACGCACGTCTGTGGGAATGGGGAGACGTCGCTAATCATGGTTTGGCTATTTGCATACTGCGGGCAGATCATGAGACCATAGAAATCTGGTATAGCCTACAAGATGGCGTTAAGAGATGGGCAGCTACGTAACCACGACGTGCATACCGGATTTCCCACACTTCCTTCAAGCCGAACTCGTCTTGCAGTATGGGCGCCGATCAGATCTCATACCGTTAGAACCTATAGGATGCTCGGTGAGCATCTGTAGCGAACCAAATACGAAGAGCCACCGACCAGTATCCAAATGACTTCGAAACTCCACACATAATATAAGTGCGCGTCAACATGCGAACGGACAGGTCAACGAGCCCGACGGCACACCATTTTGGTCGACGTCCCGTATGTCTTTTGCACCGACCAATACCCATTGGGTCACCATTTTAGTGTATGAGATCAACATAATGAGTACTTGGTAGTGTACCTGTAGGGTAGAAGTAGAATAAGAAACGACACTGAATGACGGTTCAGCAACCTTCACTCACCTATTCTGCAAAGTGGCAACTACGGTACTGTGATGGGCCAAGGAAGCACATCAATCCTTGAGCAAGTACCTCATCACGAAACTAACACTGTAGCGCTCAGCACATCACCCCTGAAAACCCGATGGATACGCGGTAGCCAGAAGAAAGGAAATGAGCAACGCACATACATCAAGAAGTAAAAGATCAGGTATAGAGAGGTTTGCGTGTGTCGAAAGCACTCTCGCGCTGCGACATCTGTCTGTCGAGATTCAACTATCAACAAGGAGGTTCGAGATGTAAGTGCCAACTCAGGGATATGCTTTCCAAGCAGAAACCACAGAAGAGAACACAGCTGATTGGGTGCCTGTCCCCTCGCAATAGCTTGGATGAGCCCTGTAACACATTGCTTAGTGATTCATTAGTAGGCATAAACAGGACACGGATCAACGAGGAAGACAGCCTGCTTCCTAATTTAGCATGTCACTTCGGACAAACCTCACGAGGTGAACGAAGTTTGTCGAACTGTCACTACGGGAGGTACACTTTGGTCCACCTCGAACTGAGTTCGGTTCGACAACAACACTAATTCCTTGTGCCGTCGTTGCAAGTTAGTGACTAGCTACTTTGGGAGAACCACCGCTTCACTCGGATCCCACCTCCCAGCAGGTACCACCTACAGGCTCGATAAGAGGAGTGGACGAGTCTGTAAGTAGCTCCATCCAGATTCTGGCGAGTGTGCGGCGAGTTGGCAACGTCGTCCGGCCAGTACTGTTACATATCACCAAAAGTTGACCACAGCGTGCACCTTCACCTGCAATATGATACCTTGCGCCCTCCATCACCGGTCACAAGGCAAGCACTGATACCCCCACCGGCAATGTCACTTGGCCGCATCCAGCGAAAGGCATTCCTTCCTATGTCTGCTCATGTTCATCATACTCGTTACATCTTTGATGTCCATTGACACCTACATTTGCATTCTTCTCGTACATCCCCGAGTCGGATGCGAACGCAAGGTGGGAGCGAGCAATGCGTCTGGGGTGTGGAATGCGTGTATTTGCTTACGTTCCTCCACTCCTGGGCAGGATGTAATCGAGATGGACTGTCATATCGGTCGCTAGCGATGGTGGGTAGGTCAATCAATATTCAGACTCATACGTTTTACAAATCATGTGCATTTATCACGCAGCAAGTCCACGGCACGTCTGATTCGGATTCCCAACCTTTATATCCGAGTAGGGGCCAGAGTTCAGGGACAAAGACAAACAGTCGAATCCCTCCATCCCTCCCCCTTCCTCTGAATCACTCCTCTTTTCACAGAGAGAGGGGTTGGGGTTGTGATTGCTGATACGTTCCCCCCTCTTCCTGATTCACCGCTCAACAACGTTCAGTCGCCCAAATCACATTGCGATTTCAATCGGTCCAGAGTGCGAATCATGGGCGGGAGTGTTGCGTTTTGGATACGTTTTTCTTCCCTTCTTCCCTCTGCATCGGACGCTAATTTTCCACGTGCTTACACGCAGTGATATAAACCAACGCGTGACACGATGTGCAGACCTACCCTGGGCTCTACCTCCTAAGCTTCATGATGCTGAGAAGGGGAAGTGATTTCGTACAAGACTCACTACCGGAATCCTCTGCGATGACATCACGAAACAAATCCATCAAAGTGTCGGCGTGCCACCCCTCCTTGTTGTTCCACGCTATTGCCCTAATATATCTGTCTCAGGACGTACTACCTCTGCAACTACCGCAAAATCCACACCGTTCCACCTGTTGACAAGTGGTGCGACGGGCACGTAGTCACTACCAATTTCGCAACTCTTGCAAGCGTCTCGGTAAGCATATTGTCTTTATTCGCAACCAAATTCATCCATTTGCTCATCATGTTCTGTATAGTATGAGGTCAATGAGAGTTGGTGAGGAGCTGGTTGTTGGAGACGTCGAGTTTGTGCAATGGTACTTGATGGACAAGCACTACTATCACCTCAACTCGTCGTCGAAGATAGGAATCATTTTGTAATGAACACTATCTAACCTCTTTCTGTAGCTTCAGTGGGGGTTCCGATGGACAGGGCTCGTGAGTCTAGTAGACGGATTGTAGGGTCTACGCCGTTCGATCGCGTATCATATCTGGTCCTAGTAGCTCCCGCAACTACTTAGGAAATGCATTACCAGCTTCCGGCGACATCAATGCGAAGGCCTCGATATATGACGATTTTGTACCATCGATCAGTTTGGATCCTTACCTTCCGCAGTAGGCTCCCTACTCTGGCACACCATTTGAAAACGTCAGGACTGGCTCGTTCGATAGTATTCAATACAACGCGATGGGCGTCGCAGTGTGAAGCATAGCTCGATTTACATGGAACGGCTCCAACCAGAAGGCACCGAAAAGATGTCCGGAAAACTGACAGAAAACACTACTTGCAATTGCTTCCATCAACCTACTTCCACATGCCTCCGCCTATCTCCCTTCCTCCTACTGCCAGCAAATTCATCAGGTAGCAGCTACACGCGGAAACTTGCTCAAAATGTCCTTCCCGAAAGGTTGTCTAGTCCCTTGTTTGCGCTTATACAACTTTAGCTCCCCTGCACGATACACCAAGCTTAGAGGCACTCCCTCGCCATGTTTTCGTACGGCCTTTAGAATAGCACTCAGAAGTGCCTCCAATTTAGCCATCGAAGCTTCTGCCTCCCTGGCGTGGGCTGCCATCCCCTTACTATTGATCTGAAACTTCTCCACTCGACCGAACGTGCCACGTGTGTGCTTTGCCAAGTACAGGTAAGGTGTTTGCGACAGGTATAACTGAGGGTAGGCTTCTTTCCAGTCCAGTTCCCTGCGTGCCGCTCTAGTCGTGATCTCGATCACGCTCGACTGAGGGACAACTGAGCGAGGTGAAGTCAGCTTTACTTTCATCCCGAAACGGCTAGAGAAGGCTGAATCGTCAGGAAGTGTTGACGCTCCTCCTGTCGCCCCTATGCTTAGTGCGGAGAAGGAGGCGAGGAAAGAATCGTCCTCGCTTTCCGACTCCACACAGGCATCGACCTCGTAACGAAGCAATACTTTAAGCCCTCCGAAATCCTAACCAGTATACTGTGTGAGTAGTGGAGTGGACATGATTACGGTGACTCACGTAGCTGATGATGCGATGGTGACTGATTTCGTCTTCGGAGCCACGACGTGGTTTAGTCGCGGCCTATTTCATACTCGTGGCCAAATCCACGGAATTCTGTGATAGTCTCCTCCAGGGTTTCTTCGCGGCGTGTAAAGAGACACGTCTTCCCTAACACATCGAGATCAATGCGGAAGGTCTTTTCATGTTGTCCATCGATGCAACGTAACAATTTGCGCAGGTTATTCCTGTCCGTCACAAGATCGAAGTCACGATACCGGAAGTCGTCATGCAGTGAATCGACAGCAGCAAATATGGGGATGAGAGCCGAACGATGTCCCATACACGATGTATTACGATCGACGTAATGGACACCGGAGTCGGCAGGGAACGGTCGTAACAGTGGTCGTCCTCCAAATCCGCGGAGAAGCTGGTAATGCATGATCTAGGTTACTAACTTTGATCGTCAAGCCTTTTAACCAGCTTTCCTCACCTGGAACGGCGATGCTAGGTGTCGGCCCTCCGATCCACGAGTAGGAGGCAATCGGCTTGACATTCCGTAGTTCTACCCTGCTAGAAGAATGGCCTGCTGCCTTGGTAAAAATAGTCTCAGGTGGATCTTCCAGGCCTTTCAAGAGGAAACTGTCACTAGCAGGAGATGGGCCAAAGGTCCGAACTGTCGTTCTGTAAGACATGGAGGTTCGATGTTAGAAAGTGCGCACGATCTCTTCTCTTTTATATCTAGCGGAACGCCACTGAACCTATGGTCACTTTTCGGAAATCGCAGATCATGGATGCTAGCAACGCAACTGCTGGGAAGAAGTAGCTGGGCGCAATCAAGAATTCCAAAAATGACTAGCACGTGCGGGTTTGGAGTCTCCTCGTGTTTTTATCCTTGCTCCAGGTTCGAAGTCCCAACCATCGGGAGGTGGGAAGTCTCCGAGAAGGAACAAGAATAGCAGCTCCCTATAACACTCTAGTGAGTACATCAGCCTTCGTATCTGGGTGAACCATAAGTAACAGAGTGAGAGAGAAGAAGGGGGATAAAAGATCTGATGGAGAGACTAAAACAAGATGACTAGACGGATATTAAACGTAGATCACGAAGGGAGAGTGCGATCTAATGCTTGGGGAGAAGACGACGGGTCGCAAGACTCGAGCGTGCCGAGGTGCCGAACCAGCGTGCGCATCGAAAGAGGATCACGTGACTATAAAACGGTGGGGCTGAAGACAGAGGTCACGTGATCCAGTGAAGAGAAGATCGAAACGGCGGAGTGCATGGAATGATGCGGCGTGGCCTTCTGAACGGATAATTTTGTCAAGTCCAACAGTATACGTGGACATAGCCTTACAATGCTTTACAAAGGTGAAGCAAACCAAAGCCATGGGAAAATCAAGGAATATCAATGAACATCAAGGTATGAGGCCAGTAGTGATCTTAAAGAGCAGACGAGTGGAAGGAGGTCGAGAAGAGGTCACAGGACCGACCAAACACGCTAGGGTGTGAAAGGGAAGGCAGGTGGGAGAGCAAACACAGCGACCCTCATGTCGATAGGCCAGAACTGACCAAAAATCAAACCAGACTTGCCCCACATCTCAGCAGCGTACCACTTCCAGGCTCGCCAGCTCCCCATACTCGATCAGAGGATTGGACGAGCCTGTAAGTGGCTCTATTTGGATTCTGGCGAGCGTCTGGCGATTTGGCGACGTCGTCCAGGCAGTGTTACATATCACCGAAAGTTGAGCCATGCACCTATGCATAACATGACACCTTGCGCCGACTCCATCAACAGCCACAACGCAAGCACTGACACCCCCCACCGACAATATTTATCATTTGGCTGCGTCCAATGAGACTACCTTCGACATTTCTTCCTACGCCTGCTCAAGCCCATCGACATCGGCGCCCTTCTCGTATACCCCCGGCTCGATGCGAACACGAGGTGGGAACGAGCAATGATTTACGGTGCGGAATGTGTGTTTCCTTCGTTCCTCCGCTCCTGGGCAAGATGTTATCGGAATGGACTGTCATATCGGTCACTAGCACTGGTGGGGTAGGTCAATATTCGGACTCATACTATACTAATCATGCACATTCAGCACGTAGCAAGTCCACGGCACGTCTGACGCCGATTCTCAACCAAAGGCCAGAGTTCAGAGGCAAAGACAAACAGTCGAATCTATCCATCCCTCACCTCCTCTGAATCGTTCCTCTCATCGCAAAGAAAGGCATTGGGGTTGCGATAGCTAATACGTTTCCCCCTCTTCCAGAATCGCTCAACAATGTTCAGTGCGTTGCGCTCGCCTCGCACGCCCAAGTCACGTCACGAATTCAATCGGTCCAGACTATGATCATCGGCGAGATTGTTCCATTTTTGGTACGTCCTGTTCCGCCTCCCAAGCTTCATGATGATGATCATGAGGGAGAGTGATTTTGTACAAGAGTCACTACCGGAATCCTCCGCGATGGCGCCACCAAACGCATCCATCAAAGTGTCTGCATGCTACATGTCCCACGCTATTGCTTTAATACGTCTGTCCCGGGACGTACTGCCTCCGCAACCACTACCAAATTCACACCATTCCACCTGTCGACAAATGGTGCAGTGAGCACGAAGTCAATTTTCACTTCGCAACCCCTCCCGCAAGCGTCTCGGTAAGCATATTGTCTTTAATCGCAGCCAAATTCATCTACCTAATCATCATATTCTATATAGTATGAGGTCAATGAGAGTTGGTGGGGAGTTGGTTTTCGAAGACGTCGAGTTTACGCTGTTGCAGAGGAAATCCGCGAAAATGGTACTTGATGGACAAGCACTACTATTACCTCAACCCGTCGTCGTAAATAGGAATTACTTTGCAATGCAAATCATCTGACTTTTTTCTGCAGCTTCAGAGTGGGTTCCGATGGACAGGGCTCGTGAGTCTAGTACACCGATTGTGGTGATTACGCCGTTCTATGGACTGTTTCCTTCTCCCACTCTGCAATCGCGTGTCACAATTGATCCTAGTAACTCCCGTAACTTCTTAGGAAACGCGTTACTGGCTTTTGCTGACACCAATGCCAAGATCTCAATATACGACGATTCTGTACCATCAATCAGTCTGAAGCCTTACCTTCTGCAGTAGGTTCCACACCCCGGCACACCATTTGAAAACGTCAGGACTGGCTCGTTCGAATACGACACGATGAGCACCGCAGTGTGAAGCATAGCTCGGTTGACATGGAACGGCTCCAGCCAGAAAACACTGTAAGGATGTCCGAAAAACTGTCAAAAAACACTACTTGCAATTGCTTTCATCAACCTATTGCCTCTGCCAATCTCTCTTTCCTCCTACAGTCAGCAAATTCGTCAGTTAGCAGCTACACGCGGAAACTTGCTCAAAATGTCCTTCCCGAAAAGTCGTCTAGTCCCTTGTTTGCGCTTATACAGCTGTAACTCCCCTGCACGATACACCAAACTTAGAGGCACTCCCTCGCCATATTTTCGTACGGCCTTTAGAATAGCACTCAGAAGTGCCTCCAATTTAGCCATCGAAGCTTCAGCCTCTCTAGCGTGGGCAGCCATCCCTTCGCTATTGATCTGAAACTTCTCCACTCGACCAAATGTGCCACGTGTGTGCTTTGCCAAGTACAGGTAAGATGTTTGCGACAGGTATAACTGGGGGTAGACTTCTTTCCAGTCCAGTTCCCTGCGTGCTGCTCTAGTCTTAATCTCGATCACGCTTGACTGAGGAAGGACCGAGCGAGGTGAAGTCAACTTTACTTTCATCCCGAAACGGCTGGAGAAGGCTGAATCATTAGAGAGTGTTGGCGCTCCTCCTGTCGCCCCTATGCTCAGTGTGGAGAAGGAGGCGAGGAAAGAATCATCCTCGCTTTCCGGCTCCGCACAGGCATCGACTTCATAACGAAGCAATACTTTAAGCCCTCCGAAATCCTAACCAGTATACTGTGTGACGTAGTAGGATGGAGGTGATCACAGTGACTCACGTAGCTGATGATGCGATGGTGACTGATTTCGTCTTCGGAGCCACGACGTGGTTTAGTTGCAGCCATTTCATACTCGTGGCCGTATCCACGGAATTCTGTGAGAGTCTCCGCCAAGGTTTCTTCGCGGCGTGTAAAGAGACACGTCTTCCCTAACACATCGAGATCAATGCGGAAGGTCTTTTCATGCTGTCCATCGATGCAACGTAACAATTTGCGCAAGTTATTCCTGTCCGTCACAAGATCGAAGTCACGATACCGGAAATCGTCATGCAGTGAATCGACAGCAGCAAATATGGGGATGAGAGCCGAACGACGTCCCATAAACGATGTATTACGATCGACGTAATGGACACCGGAGTCGGCGGGAACGGTCGTAACAGTGGTCGTCTTCCAAATGCGTGGAGAAGCTGGTAATGCATGATCTAGGTTACTAACTTTGATCGTCAAGCCTTTTAACCAGCTTTCCTCACCTGGAACGGCGATGCTAGGTGTCGGCCCTCCGATCCACGAGTAGGAGGCAATCGGCTTGACATTCCGTAGTTCTGCCCTGCTAGAAGAATGGTCTGCTGCCTCGGTGGAAATAGTCTCAGGCGCATCTTCCAGGCCTTTCAGGAGGAAACTGTCACTAGCAGGAGATGGGCCAAAGGTCCGAACTGTCGTTCTGTAAGACATGGAGGTTCGATGTTAGAAAGTGCGCACGATCTATTCTCTTTTATACGTAGCGGAACGCCACTGAACCTACGGTCACTTTTTGGAAATCGTAGATCACGGATGCTGAATTCCAAAAATCATCAGCACGTGCGGATATGAGTCTCCTTGTGGTCTTATCCTTGTTCCAGTTTCGAAATCCCAGCCATTAGGGATGGGAAGTCTCCGCGAAGATACGAGATTACTAGCCCCTGTAACACCCTAGTGAGAAATTGAGAAATATGTATGCCGACAACCGTCTCTTGGAGCACGAAGATACGTTAGTCAAGACACGTCTGCTTGTACCTTCGTGTACTAGTCAGGTCAATCCAAACCCATTGCATTATTGTGGTATGGTATAATACAACACTACCGCTAACCTCTACGCTATCTGATAGATCGATTCGTCAATATCAGATATGTCAAGGGTTCACGGAGGTATCCCCACTTTCGCTCACCACGACTCCATCTAGTTGCCCTCAAACCCTTCGCATCATTATCTTTGATCCTGCTGCAAGCATCGAGGATCAGCCTTTGAAACTTAAGGCCTAACTGCGCACCGGACTGGCCAATAAATGGCGTAGGCACCGCACGCACGATCCGGAGTGTTCATGGGGAGTCTTGGCCACACACCAACTGAAGTTGGCGTTCCTGAGTGTTACATCAGAGCAGGCGTGAATATCGTATCTCTGAAGACTGCGTGGGATCCAATTCAATAACACGCAGTTCTGGAGCACCACGAAATGCCTCTGTTAAAAGACGAGCACGGGAAGAGTCCGACCGTCTGCCCTCGCGCACCGTCAGCCGCCTCAAGTGCGTAAGGGGTAGAGTGCGATAGAGGGCAATGAGCCTCTCTGAGCGCCCTCCTCTGAGCCAAAACTCTCGTTCTGTAGATTCGAGTCGAAAAGCAAAGGTCGAATATCAAGGTATTCATCCATGGAATATAGATGATTCGTCCGATGGATATTGGGACCTAATATGCCGCAAAAAACGCTCCAGGTGTCCTGTTCCACCTCACAATCGAGGTCTAAAGACCAGATGAGTGGCGCAGATGGTCTAGGAATCTGAGACGGACGAGAGCTGTCATCAAATCTCTCCTCAACGAATGGCTGGACAATGGTGACATCAGAAGCAGCTGAACAAATACAATGCAGGTAGACCATCGCGGATCGAGGGAATTCCAGGTGAGCTAGAAACGCTGCGATAGAGAAATCTGAGTCGGCCAGGCTGACATGCTCCAACTTCGGGAGATTTTGGCCATGCCATGCGAGTCAATGGGTGGGGCACTCACGCTTGGAAGTGAGCCCTCCAAGAATAGTTGTTGAAGGCCTGGCAATTGGCCCATGGTGCGGATAACAGTATCCATAGTTGACATAGTCATGATACTGATGTTGAAGAGACTCAGATTCGTGAGCCTGCTGAAGACAGCTGACGATCAATCCACCCGACACCTCTCCAGGCGCAATTCACGAAGGCAAGGAGCCGATCCAGCAAAGAATCCTTGTCTATTGTGATTTGCTGACTACGAGATCTAAAGGGGGTCAAATACAAGCGAAGTGACCGTAGCGTGGGTGCAGTTTCAGTCAGCAGGTGGAGGAACTCGGTGGAATGGAGTCTTAAAAAACGAATCCAGAGATGTTGGATGCGGTGCATATGACTCGACGCCTTCTTAAAAGCCTTTACAGGCTCTAACGAAGGAAGATCAGATAGATCGACACGAACGGACAGTAGAGAAGTCTTGGACCTTGCTAGTGATTCGCCCATCCATGGACGCGAGACAAAGAAAAGACGAGTCCAAAGGGCGGGGCAGTTCAGGGAAACCTGACGCCAGGTACGGCAAATGTGAGAGACAGTGGCCCAACCAGGGTCCAGACCTGCGGGGGTGTCATCAGATTCAAGCGCGTACTCGAGAAAGATTGCAGTCAGTAGTTCCGGAGGCAAGCGAGAGACATGCGACAAGGAGTTGCACCAGGAACGTAGGGGGATAAAGACAAAGTGACTGTTTCAATCTCTTTGTCGATGCGATCCAGAGCATCCTAGACCAACGATTCTGAACTAGCCGCATCGACGCCATTTTTCGTCAAGAAATCTGTGATCCTCGATAGCTCTGACGCCATCTGCTAACACGTCAGACTAGGAAAAACTCATGCTTTTCAAGTTGAAAGTCGCTGGTAGAATACCACGTGACCGACGAGAAGACATACCAAAACGGGAAATAGATTGTGGAACTTGATGACTAAGCTGAACATTATGGTGTGGTGTGCGCATGTGCTTGGCGACTGGGGTATGATGGCACCCGATGTTACCGACCGTATTGTCGGCTTTGCTCACTGCATTCCTGGAACTTTTCAGTGGTAAACGACCTCACGACGATGGCCTTGGAAAGGCCCCTCCACGACTGCGATTTGAGCTCCGACACGAACACGCTATTTCGCTCGCAGGGAACGTGATATTCTCCGACGTACGTCCAGTCGGATTCGCTGAGACGATACATGAGCTTGGGTCGAGATACATATCGTCGTTCCGACCGCCGTCTTTCGAGGAGTTCTCCGAGGCGAGGGTCCGTTCCATAAGACATGCCCAAAGCACCAGGCTACCGTGGTACGAAGACGAGATTCTCGGGCCGGCTGTCGAGAGTAGGGAAACACTCCTGGAGCTTGCAAAGATGACGAATAATGCCTATGTGACTCCAAACGACACTGCATGGTACAGATTGGGAAACGGGTGGATTCCTGTGCGTGTTTGCTAGGAGTTTTGTTCGATGCTCCAAGAACTCGCTCAATTTTTGTTTCTGCGCAGCACTACCCATTCGGCTGGGAACCTGATTCCGACGGGTTCCGTGGTTATGTCTTTGCCACTCCAGATAACTCTACGGTTGTGCTTTCCATAAAGGGCACTTCAACAAGTTTGTTCGGGGGCGGAGGTCCAACGGCGAAGAAGGACAAGTTCAATGACAATCTGCTGTTCAGTTGTTGTTGTGCCCGTATAGACTGGACGTGGACAGCTGTGTGTGGATGTTACCGTGGGGGGTGGAAGTGTGACCAGTTGTGTTTGGAGCGGGCCTTGGTAGAAGAAAGTTTGTTTTATCCCATCGGAACGGTGAGTGCGTTCCTCGCTGCGAAACTCCAACGCCAACTCTTGGGTAGAATCTATACAATAACTTAACGTACATGTATCCGCATTCGAACATATGGATCATAGGGCACTCGATGGGTAAGTGGAGGTGTGTGCAATGCTCAGTGCCCTAACTTGACTTGCACCGTAGGTGGTGCCCTGGCATCTTTACTGGGTGTAACTTTTGGTGTACCTGTCGTTGCTTTTGAGTCTCCTGGAGAAAGGCTAGCAGCACAGCGGCTGCACCTTCCATCGCCAGTATGCTATTTATCTCCCTTAGTCCTTTCAGTAGTCCTAACTATCATACTTGCAGCCATCTACGCAACATGTGACACATGTTTATCATACTGCTGACCCCATCGCTATGGGCACATGTAATGGCGTGCTTTCTTCCTGTTCTCTGGCAGGGTTTGCCATGGAGACGAAGTATGCTCGAAGTGACCATGTTCGTTGCTAGTGTGTTCTCACTAACCATCTGCAGGTGTCACCTCGGGGAGTCCATCGTGTACGATACTGTGAGCAACCTTTCGTGGTCAGTTGACGTTCGAACCCATGGGATCGTGACCGTGATTGAAAACGTGTTGGGAAAGCCGTGGGCACCTTGTGACGAAGTGGGTCGAGAAGTTCCTAGGCCCAAGCGAGAGGTGGACTGCGTGGTGAGCCGCGTTCCTCTTCATTTGAGTTCGCGTTTTGATGTCTGACTCGCCACATTTTATTTTCCCAGGAGTGCTATAGTTGGGAGTTTGGCGACTTCCCGCCTAGCTGAAGCTGGGGGAGGCTTGCAGTGTGGTGGCGTCGAAGGCCTGGGTATACCACTGAGGGCTAGACGTGCACAGGTCATTCGAGTACGTGAAGAAGCAGTCATAACTCACAAGTAATGCATCTACATGTGATGATCGAGGTGTGATAAACTGATAGAATAGATCTAAATTGCTGAATTTATACGTACGAACGCAAAGGAATGGTGACTGAGAAGAGGTGAAATCTGCAACAAGTGGTACTCGTACTCTTAACCTTTGTCTCAACCCTCGGATATACATTTCAGACTGTCACCCACGCCGCAGTGCCATCGTCTTCATCACAATTTATTGAAACACGCACACTCACCTGCACGTGTACAGCAAGGTCCAAGCCTGCAGTAGACCCGCCCAGAACGAAGCATTTCTGAATTGGGGAGTTCAGATCTCAGACATGATCATCCCAGTCACCATTTCCCGTCCGAGTCAATTCTCCACAAAACTACCTCCCCAGCTTGTCACGCTTGGCCACGACGAGCTCTTTCTGATAGAGCTGCAGGGCACCCTTGATGTCGAGGGTACCGAGAAGGAAGACAAGGATGGCCAGGTAATCGGAACATTAAATACGACTGATATGGTGTGTGTAGACTGGGTGCTTTCAATGTGTACAAGCTCTTACTGACGATCCGGGCTACTATTTCGCAGAACAAACCCACCCTAACTATCGGATACCACTTACTAGAAGGAAAGGTGGTCAATCTGGCGAAGCCCCTGGGCGTTTTACACAAACAAGTGTCCGCCCCTGTCGGTGGTGAATCCACTGGCCCCGAGAGTCAGGAAGAAATTGGAGTGGGGACGAAGTGGGATGTAATAGCCATAGTGAAGAAGAAAATGGTGTTCTCCAAACGGCCCATGCCCATCGCCACCGGCAAGCCGGCCAGCAAAGCACCATCATCACGGAGGGCGTAGAGCTTCCGAAAAGTGCACCCGTGCATCCGGGCAGTACTAGGCCGTGGCACGGCCATGATGCAGACCCTGAGCCCACCCGTGGCTCCTCCGTGGCACTCGACAAAGCGCTAGTGAAGTTACCAAGCTTGGCCATATTCCATTGCTCGTGCCGTGAATGCCCAGAACGAGCACCACACGAGAGCGTCTCTTCATATTTCACTTTGCCAGTTGGAACTAGCAACGTGGCGCTCCATGACGGGCAGTGTAAACCATTTAAGCCAACGATATTACCCGGCTTGTGTAGACGATCCACATGCTTTGTATTATTACTTAGGATCGTAAGAGCGTAATATATATTTTTGAGGTCCGCGAGGAGGAGGCGAGCAAGCAGATTGAAAAAAATGCGGATGCAGAGCGTTGGTCCCGCTCGTGCAAAACAACGTTGCCTCAACGTTGTATTGCTCACCAGCCGAGCCGCACAGAAGCCCTTCTCGCCCTGCCATGCTGCAGGGTGCGTTTTTCGATAAAACGCAGCACGAGTTCGCCTGCGATCAGACACGTCTTACAGCAGTACCATACACCTCGACTTCCTGCTACCACCCATCACATCATCGTTGACATCTCCATCATGGCTGCAGAGGCTGGGACTCTCAAAGAGACGGGCATACCTTTATATGTGGACAAGCTCGAGCGATATGGTGAGGTGAAGGACCTGCCGCCGGTATGTTGCGTTTCATAGCTATTTGCTTGTGCATCGGCCGAGATTTATCGCGCTTGCCTATCATCTAGTCGTTGATATTGCGCTTACTCCAGACCAACGGTGCCCCACCTGACAACCAACGGGAGGAGGTACGCTCGCTACTCCGCGACCCGAAAGCAGAGTTGGCGGCAGTAGAGAACGACATAAACGACTTGCAGGCTCGTCTTGCAGACTACCAACGGAGAAAACGAGAGCTCATTTCTTACGTAGAGGATCTTGGTGCACTCCTCTCACCCATTAGACGGATGCCGCCCGAGATCATGGCGAGAATATTTGAGTTTTGTGGAGATATTGGCGCTCGTGGGCCCCACGCGGAACCCAGCAAGCGAGCGCCACTCCTATTGGGAAGCGTATGCCGTAGCTGGCGTGCTCTTTCTCTCGCGATCCCTCGTCTGTGGACTACACTCTACCTCAGACTGCCTACCAGTGGCTCCTTTGTGAAACAAGAAGAGATCCTGCAGGCTTGGCTGGAACGCTCGCGACCGTTCCCGATATCACTTTGGCTGTGGAATGACTTCCTGACAGACGACATTCCCGTGTCGTTCCTCCGGCAGCTCACCGAAGTCATTGCTGAACATTCTGATAGATGGAAAGCCATCTTCATTCACTTTCCTGCATACGATCCCGATTGGGAATACTTTGATGCTCTGGTGCGCTGTCACTTCCCTAACCTAGAGGAGCTCGAAATATCACCTCAATTCACTCCCTGGGCGCCGTTCAAACCGGAGCTGATGCCACGGCTGCGTGAACTCCAAGTTCCTGCTGGTGCCATGCCCGACAGTCACAGAACATTGCCGTGGACGCAGCTTACCCATCTGACCTTGCGTGGTGGCTACCGTACCACGGATGTCACTGAGCTCCTCCAGATCCTCTCATGCGCACCCCACTTGTCATATCTCCACGTTGAGATATCGCAATACCGAGCGGAAGGGAAATGGGACGACACGCTGGATCGCATTACGATGCCCTGCCTCAGCACTCTTGTACTCGTCACGATCACGAACCATGAGGAATGCATCGATCATTTTATGGACGGCCTCGTACTCCCGCACTTGCGGGACTTCCAGATGCTTACACGTGTCTGGGATTGCAGCAGCATGACTACGGCGTGGTGTCACGACTCCTTCCTGGCTCTCCTTTCCCGCTCCAAGTGCAGCATCAACCATTTTACCCTTCACGCGATCAATATCATTGGGTCGCAGCTTCGCGAGATCGTGGAGCGGTGTCCTTCGCTCGTGCTCCTCAAGCTCCACGGGGCCCGGACACACGTTGTCCTGGGCGAGATCATCAAAGATATGATCTATGATCACTCCGAATATGCATCATCTTTGCCTACCTCACCCTCGTCGGGCTCCCAGCAGGATCGAGCCGGTCTTCCACTCGCGCCATGGCTCAAGGCGCTCTCGCTCAGCTGTGAATCCATTGATGCGCTCACATACAAGGTTGACGACTCTGGGCTCACGTTCGAGGAGGCGTTCACGCGCATGGTCAAGTCCCGTACTGTCCTGCGCACGCGCGACAGCAAGGTTCTCCAGCTCAAATGGATCCATTGGACGATCTGGTGGGAGTGGTATAGGAGCTACTGTGTGTCGCCTGTCAAGGCGCACCCCGATCCGGCTCTGGAGGAGCGGCTGAGCGAGTTGTGTGCTGGGGAGGTGGATGTCGGTGTCTCCGCTGCTACGTACAATAAGTACAAGCGGGTGTCTTAAACGGCTCCGAAGAACGATTTCGTCGAGTTGTCGATGGGAAGTTCTACAATAATAGGTTCATCTTAGAATGTAGACGTCCTATAACAGACGATTTATCTCCTGGTTTTGAGAGGGCTTCACAGATTCGCAGAATGAGGAGACGCGATAAATATATTTGATTGCTCCAAGGAGGAAAACGAAAAGCACATAAAAATGTATCCCTACGAGCACTTAGTATACAAGATAGCAACGAGAATTGAGCTGCCCGACAACACCGATTGAAAAGGGCGGCGTGGAACCGCAGATAAGAATACAATGCGCGTGGCATGATAATGGGAAACGGAGGGAGGCGGAATGCACGAAATAACAGACGTGTCAGTGTATTAGCCGCCCACTGATATAGGGTTGCTCCCGTATATTGTGAGTGGGATCGTAGGCGGCGATGACATCATAGAATACTTGTGGTAATCAGAATTGTTTCAGTGAGTATGGTGAGTATGATGCCTTATGAGTTCGCGGGTGGAGGAACGAGTAGTCCGAGGTAACAAGTGGGTACCGATCAAAGGAGGGGATGCTTCTAGATGAAGCTGTCGAAATGGCCTTTTAGAATACGTTCGCCCATAGGAGAGGGTGCACGGCGGGGTCTTCCAGACTCCGTGACCGTCGCTGACCGCTTCGGCTTCCTTCCCGCAAACGAGGAAGTGGGAATGACAGGGGAGGTAGATACGGCGGTATTAGGCGGGGGTGCAGGCTGGGGAGGGCTGGTAGAGGGTGCGGCTGGGTTCTACGAGATTGTCAATCTAAATGTATACTCGAGCTGATAAGGGCGTACCTTTGCACTGCCAAAAGACAGACGCCTCAAGATATTCACGCCTCGCTCGTGTTGCACCACCTCAGCCACAGCAGGTTTCTGTGCGAACACCCCGCTGATGCTAGAACGACGGGCATGATCAGCACCTGGCGTTTTCTCCATGGCCTCGTCTAGAGTTGCCATGAGATGTGGGGAAGGCAATGGTTGATTGAGCGTACCCTCAAAGACAGGGGGTCCGAAGCCACGGAACGGAAAAGTGGCAGATGCTTTGGCAGGAGAGTGGGACAAGAACGGGAAAATGGGGGCGCTCGACGGGGAGAGCGGCTGGGATCTGCCAGGGGATGGGGTCTGGACAGAGGGAGGGGATGCCGGAGAGGGAGAGGAATCGGAGGCGGCGGAGAGCGAGCGGTGGCGGAGGTGGTGGGTGACGATTGGGATTGGCTTGGAGTGTCTGACGCCGCTGTCCTTGTTCGCCTCTGCAGGGTTCATCGTAGAGAGAGAGAGAGAAAAGAAAAGAGTTGGCAACGCTGATGAGTCAAATGCAGAGTGCTTTATAACCCCGCCCCTGGCAATCCCCGGACTGTTCCCCACAGCACGTGGCACGGTGTCATCGCCGTGTTTGGAACCTCTCGTCGAATAGTGACATGATTGCAAATGTATACGACGGCTGACGATGCCCGCGCTGCAGTCGCTGCAATCCCGCTTCTTGGCACAGCTCAGATCAAATCCGCAGTACAGGTAACACATCTCTGGGAGTAGAGTGGAGATATCATCACTTCTGCGTCGGACGCTGTGATGGCTTGCCGCTTTCAGGTAGACTCCAACAGCCTTTCTGACCAGCAAATTCTTCGGTACGAAACTCACTGTGGTCAGCACCACCGTATATAAGCTCCGGCCGTGCGCGCGTGAGACATCAAGTTGAGACATAACTGTCCACGGCAGTGCTGTCACCGTCAAGTTATGCACCCAAACTCGAAGTTTATGACTTTCGATGTCCGGTAGTTGATGGGTATGTATGAGACTCGCTGCTTGCCGTGTCTGCGCTTATTCTAGGTTTCAGCTCAAGCTATCAACTTTTGCTGCCATGACTCATGAGATAACGGAATGGCATCGGCACGGATACCACCCGTACAACTCATCATTTCATCAGAGATAGGTACACCGCATCGCGCAGGTGCAAGGTTCGTAGATGACAATTTCCATTTTGCGTACCCCAACAATTGAATGACAAGAGCAGATGACTCCAAGCCACAATCGACGCACGCATCGTTGCCACGTCTCCGTATCATCACATTTGCCTTCCGGAATCACGACGACCACTCCACAAGATAGCGTGCAGCACCCTGACAGGCGCATTCCTCGACTACGGTTACCAAGCCAGTGATGTACTTTTGGGCTGCACCCCGGCGACTTCCACGTAGGAAGAGTCACACGATCAAGTCTGGATCACGGAGTCGTCCCGTGATACGGTCTTGATAGCGAGATATCTTCCGTGGCGACGCCACTACTTTCGTTCGCGTTATCTGTCGTCTTCTCGAAGGCAAACTTGGAATGGCGTACGACACTCTTATCAAAGCTTTCATAGCTTGGTTATCTGTCCCCTGATCTTGATTAGAGTTAATTCGTTCGTGAGTGTCCCTACTACTTTTCAGACATCCAAATTCGTGGGTGGCGCATCAATATCCTTGAGCTTGATAACCCCAAACGGAGTCCCGTGGGTTGATACCTTCGTCAGACCTTCGCCTGTAGGTAGCTGGCAGGCATGTTGATTACAGATCAAGCGCGCTGCCCGTGATTGGTTGCGACGCGAAATACTGCGTAGAGTCGGCTCGTCGTCCACGTGTTATGCATTATCAAATCGTGCAACGACGCAGACGGCAAGATGCAAGGTTTCTCAAGTCTTCTGAAGGTTTCTATGGATCGGCCGTTAAAGTCTGGAGTTTGGCTTCGAATAACAGTCTTAAAATAGTCCGAGCCACACGTATGACCAAGATCACGCACAGACCTGGCAGACATAGCCGACTTGAATCCACAAACTAATGCTTTTATCGGGGCGCGGGTTCGCGCAGGCGTTCACTCATCATCCTCTACTGGTACTAAACCCTCCGCCCCGTTTATCAGGAACTTCAAGTGTGGTTACACATAAAGCGCGGCTCAACAAATATCTGCCACTGTAGCAAGATGTGACACTGGATGAATACATCAGGTAAATATGTTGTGGATTAAGGGTATGTACAGTCTTTGACATCTTGGCAAGGGTACAGAAGCATCGAATCTCCGCGACAGCCAAGCAATGGAAGCGGGAACCCGCTCTAAATCTTGCCTGATCGATCAGAGATGCAAGTAACATTCCACGTGAATGGAAGCCCGTCCACTTCTACCCGCTTCAAGGCCTCATTCATCCTACTAATGCTGGAGCGGTGCGACGCCGACGACACTGGCCAATAGTGCACATTCGCAAATAACCTGTGCACGCCTGACAATAGTTTGCATGCTGTCTTGGTTCTGTTCACCGCTTGCTGGGGCCGCCTTTCCCACCTTGACCAGTCCGGGAAAAATAGTCGCCCCCACTCGATCAACTTCTCCCTGCTCACTCTTCAAGCACCGTCGTATGAGCTCTATCTGGCGTGGCAACAGCGCACTCCCGACTTCGGGCACGAACGATCGGTAGAACGCATCTGCAGACGATCCGCTGGCATTGGCGCCATGTAGCATTCGCGAAAAGTTGTACGCGGCATCGAAGATGCTGAGAGCGCCCTTCATGGATGCACCGAGTGTCCTGACCAGAGATGGCATTTGATCGTCGAAGATGCTGTGTGCCATGCTTGTATCACAGGAATCGACTGCCGCTGAAAAGGTCTGACGACGCCAGACGGCTGCGACCATTGGATTCCCTGTTTCAATAGTGAGTTAAAGCGAGATCGCATGGTGCGACTGTCTTGAACACAAACACACTCACGAGAAAACAAGTGTTCATGTATACGCGTCAATTGCACATTTGCCTCGCCCGAATTCGTCACGATCAGACAGTTAATGACCTCGGCACTGATCATTTCGGACATGACATGTCGCAAGATGTTCTGTACCTGCACGGCGCTCGCACCAGGAGGCAGCGGTTCGTTGTTGCCAGTGATATCTGAGATGGCGGCAGCATAGATAGTGTCCAGGCTAGCAGGCGGGGATCGCACGACCTCCGCTGCCCACCTGTTAATCAGTCTTTCCAGCTGAGAGGCAGCGTTCTGAGTGTCGAAAGACCGTGATCGGCATTACGCCAGATGCATAGTATAACAAAGGTCCCACAGTGAGTGGTGGCGTCGTGCGTACGCCTTCAAGAACCACGCACCTTGATCGAAAAGTCATCCACCGATGTTCCTCCCTGCTTCGTAGCCATATCCTGCGGCCCCTTCGCAGTACCCTCCAACAACGCGATCCGCGCACGGAGCAATCCGATCTGTCGTTCCTGCTCCTCGAGCTGGCGTCGTTGTTCCTCGACCTTTTCATGCGCTATACGCTGTCAAGGGTGTTAGTTCATCCTGTATATGAGCCGCGATTTCGTCCAACGATGCTGCGATGCTATAGTAGTAGGATGGGATAGTACTCACGAAGTTGGTAAGTGCATAGCGGTACTGCTCACCGCTGACGACGTCCTGCTGGAATGCCATAGTCGACGATCACCCTCTAAACCTGCAGTATAGTACTAATACGAATCCTACAGCACACGAACAAAGTCAATCATTCACCGGTTCAAGGCGCGCCTGGATGCACAAGCTGTGCCTCGAACGTGTCAAAACTCACTGCCATCAGGGGCACTAATAATTCGAGGTGTGTATGTACATATATAGAGCAGTCATTTACCAAAATCTCGTAACTAAATCATCATCAGACCGAAGAACTTGTACGGCCACAGATAAGCAGTTCATTTTACCTGTAGTGACTCCATCCCGAAATCACTCCCGTTCCCTCGATCGAGATCGTTGAAAGGATCCCTCACGCTCCCCGTTCTCGCACGCCATAGCTGTGTGTACAGCGCCTTCAGCTTTTGTAGTTCAGCGTCCACCGTGGCCGTCTTGGCTGCAAGAGACACAAATACGGCATGCTGGGTTTGCAGTGCAGATGCGATGGCTGTGAAAGAGTGATTCACTCGTCAGTCCTAAGAGGAACGGACAGACATACGAACCTTGGGGGGTATTTTGCTGTTGAGTTACTGTTGAGGACAGTTTTCGTTCGATTTGCTTAAGGAGACGTGGTTATTGCTGGTGGGCTTGGATGGGAGATAGGAAAATACCTCGATCGTATTCTTACACCACTGCAGGCGTTCCTGCATCTCTTTGCTCATACGAGTGAAGAACCTGGGGGTCGGGATCCAATCAGCACGACTGGAATCAGCTCTAGTGGAAATTCTCACTCCAACGGGAACGAGGCATAGTTTTTCAAGTAGACGGTGTGTTGCTGTGGGCTCTTGAAGCCATCTATGATGCGGAATTGCAGCAACAGTATCTTGAACAGCTTGTTCTGTCTTAGCTTTGAGATCTCGGATGAACTGGGCATCTGCTTGTATCATGGACGTGACACTCAGCAGTTCCTGTAACGACTTTGTTTGATTGTTATACGAAGTGCGAACAAGATCGACTCAACCTTGTGCACTTCGCGAATGAGTTCTTGACCTTTGGTGGGTTCCTGACCAAGCTTGCGTTGCTTGAGATCGTTGCTGATCTGGATGCGACCATGGATATGTGCACTATCTAGAATGAGATTTTTCCGGGAACGTTCTGAAAACTGCACTTACTCGAGGGCTTCGAATTTTTTCTTTATATCCTCAGGAAGATCATTGAACTTCGTAGATCTCGAGAAGAGTACTTGTCCAGTGGGTTGCACTGGAGAAATACTGGAAGCGTGTATTAATGCCATCTATCACATCTGAGAGAACACATAACCCTAACCTCATCCTGCACGCTATCAGTGACTGAACATGCAACAAAGCAGAATTGAAACTCACGACTGTTGGACTCCGAAAAGCGACGGGCCCGTTGTCGTAGAACCAGTGCCAAGAGCTGGTAGCGTCGGCTGTGGCTGGAGAGTGCTGCTAAATAAACCTTGTTGGGCGGGTTGTTGGCCACCGAACAATCCAGTTGTTGGTTGGGTGGGTGCGCTGGGCTGGGCTGTGCTACCAAACAGCGACGTTCCTGCCGTGGGCTGAGATTGCTGTTGCTGCGTTGTGCCGAACGAAGACGTCCCAGTTGTTCCCTGAGGCTGTTGTTGTTGTTGCTGCTGCTGTTGTTGTGCACCTCCAAACAGCGACGTCCCGACCGTACTTTGGGGTTGGGGAGTCATTCCACCGAACAATGAAGTCCCAGTACCTTGAGGTTGAGGTTGCTGGGCCGTACCACCAAACAAAGACGTCCCAGGTGTCGTCTGAGACTGGGTCGTTCCACCAAACAGTGATGTTCCAGGTGCTGCCTGAGTGTTGGCTGGTTGACCAAACATTGACGTCGTAGGTTGTTGCTGCTGCTGACCACCACCAAATAGCGAGATTCCCTGTGCTGGCTGCTGAGTCTGCTGCTGCTGTTGCGGTTGGCCGAACCCAGTGAACGTCGAAGTGGTCGGTTGAGTTGAACCAAACAACGATCCAGCTGGCTTTGACGCGGTCGATTGGCCAAAGATCGTCGTGCTTCCGGGCGCCGCTGTCGTGCTGGCCCCAAAGGCCGAGCTGTGGGCAGATCAGCATCGTGTACGGACCAGTGAGACGATGACTTACCCGCCAAAGGACATTTTGGAGGAAGGCAAGGGGAGAAGGTCACGTGCCGCTCTCGTCGCCGGAGTTATATCTTACCCACTTGCCGATCATCGATCACTAGTGGAGTCGTGTGTGTGCTTGAAGAAGACATTCGGTGGTCAGTTGTAGCTGTATGGCTGCCCACGTGTCCACGATGCATCGTCCATACTAGCCCGGATTGCATTCCCAAGGCTGCTCGGTTGCATTTGCGACCACATGGTCATCTCGACTAACACGTCCGGTACGGCGTGTTGAAATGTAAGTGTGTACCCTCTGTTCTGCACTCCCGTGCGTACCCTCGCGGAGAGTTACCATCGCCGTCTTGTTGGTTGGTGGGTGCCGACCTACCAAGCTTGACCTTAGAAATATGGAGGACCTTCCTGGATACTCTCGCTACTCACGGGCAGCACAAGCACGGGCGTCAAGCAGCAACGCTAGCAGCGGTAACAGCCGTTCTGGCTCGACTTTTTCTATATCATTAGAGGATAGCAAGGCCCACAAGTGGTTGACATTACACGTCCTCAATCGGTCACCGAATCCAACGTCTCTGCCGCGTTTTTATCAGGGTGACAAGATCGTCGGGTATGTCGATTTGGACGTTCTCAAGTCCGAGCCAATCAAGGCTATCACTATCAAGGTAGGTGGAAGTCATCTAATGCGCAGTGTTGATCATGTACCAGGACCTGGATTGTTCAATTGTTGTGTTAGGTCACGGCTGGGACAACCTTCGTCGGGCAGGAAGAGGACGAGTTTCTTAAAATTGAGAACGAACTATGGAATCCTTCAGTCCTTCTCCCAGACGGATCCAAAGTTTCTAAATTCGAAAAAGGAACTTATTCGTGGCCGTTCCTGATATCCCTCCCCTCCGAGGTAGAGGTACTAGATGGAAAGGTCAAGAAAACCTTTCCTCTCCCCGCCACATTCTCAGAAAGAGCCAGCGCCGGATATCTCGACTATAAACTCACCGTCACGATCAAACGCAAGGGTTTGAACGTCAACAAGACGTAGGTCTATTTGCTGATGGTGTACGCACCGTGTTCAAAGCTATGTAGCCTCGTAACATCGTTTGCCTACGTACCTGTGGTAAGAGCCCAACCGCCGTCGCCATTGTTCCAGAAGGCTATTAAAGAGAACCTACCCCTTCTTGGACCCGAGGGTATGCGACACGCATTACTTACCTGACCGCCGTCGTTCACAGCAGACCTTTAGATGACCCCGCAGGATGGCATGTTTTACCTGCCGTCAACATTCGTGGAACCCTATTCGATTCACGGCAAGTCGAAGTAACGTGCACCGTACGTTCTACCCCACCCGGTTGCCGGATATCCTTACGACGCCTCCACAGTTAGCTCTCGCCAACCCAGTTTGTCTCGGAGTCAGGCTCCCGCCGCTCTTCACTAACCATCCGCGCAGTTGACGTACGCTCGTGGAACTTCTGCACCTGTCTGGTTAACCTTGACAGGTACAGACGCACAAGCACTTAATGCACTCTCCTCTCCATCGACGATCAGACTTTCCCTTGTCAGGTCGCTCGCTACGGGATCGGATGCGACGGTGGAACTGGACGATTCTGAGCGAAGGACGGACAACTTTTTCCTCGAGACTGTGTCAAAAGGGGTGTTTTGGCCAGCAGCGGATGGATCGTCGAGAGGGGGTGCGGTGGGGAAAAGGGTTTTGCAAGGCGAGGTGGAGGTGAAGAGGTCATCGAAGCCGAGCTGTTTGTTTCCTAAGTTCACGACACGGGTGAGTGTAGTCGTCCGCTGTTTATCTCATGTTCTGATATGCACGTTTACAAACCATGAACCCACAGTACCGCATGGAGCTTCGCCCTTTCGAAGCACCTGGATTCGTCCCTACCGTATCTGGTACTACTACTACGTCGTCATCTCGCTGGTCATCCAAGTTCAAATTCCCGTTGAACGCTATCTCAATGACGCCCCTCCTGAAACACCCAGTGACAATAGTCAACTTCCCTGCGCGAAGTACTACTCTTCGTTCACGCGTGCCTCCAGAGTATGTACAAGGAAAAGGCGTAGATTGCAACAATTCTGTGGGGTTATTGGAGAACGGTAACCGGTGGTTTTATCACCATGGGGGAGACAGATAGCTAGACAGTATCAGGAGGTAAGTGTGCCTGGAAAGGAGAAGTGTCGCAGACAGGTTAAAAGCAAAACTTTATTTTGGATGTACCCCCTCGTTTCATTCCCATGCAGTTTTTCAGGGTTATTGCACCCATCCCTGTGTGTGGCATATGCGTAATGGTACTTCTATTGATTCCAAAGAAGCCCTATTGAAACGGACAGCCAAGTATAGTAGAAATTGTCGTGGCCGTCATTCTACATGCTCCATCGCCATGAATAACAATGTCTCAAACGTATCATCTGCCTTCCTGAGCGACGTGCCCCTGGCTCCCACTCCATCTATGAGGTCCTGATCACTCTGCGGAATCTCCCATGACATTGACTCAGGGCGACGGTGCGCGACGAAGACAAATGTCTGCTCAGGGGTGTTGGGATCGATGTCGCCAAATGGCATCCATGATTCCGACGCCACGTCCTCGCCCAACACATGATCATCCGCTACAACTGAGAGTCGGAGGGGACGTCGATGACGGAAAAGAACCGGGTGGAACGCGAACCACAGCCCGAACGCAGCCCAGAATGGAGTTTCCTTCTGTAAACTCCGAACTTTGTACGAGACGACAATTCTAGCGTAAGTTCTGTTCACGGCATCCGAGTATGGGGACGAAGTGAGATGAATAAGAGTGCGTAGGAGAGGTGCAAACAATTCTGGGAAGTATACCTGACTGGGATGTTATGGGGTAAGCAATAAAGAGAAGGAAAGGTAAACGTACGAGATCACTGCAAATAACATGGGTAAGTCGATTACAAGACCGAGCTTTCCAAGGCGCATCATCAGTGGAACTTGTATTTCCACGAAAGCCAAACTCTCGTTCGATGAGCATAGCATGATCTAAATTTCCCCAAGAAAGGGGTCGTACAAACATGTTCCCGCATCCCGACTTGCTCAAGTCCGGGGTGAGCAGAGAGCCAGTGTGAGCGTGGAGGTTCCGTTCTAGTAGAGGACACACATCCGGAAGATCCGTGGCGATGACGACTCCATCGCTCAGGAATGCGCGTGCAATCCGTGCGGCGACGATACCCGTTCCCGACCCGAGCTCGATCAGTGTTGGACAACCATAATCTTGACTCCCATCGTCAAAGAAAGGCGGATCGAATTCCAAATCGTGTGCATCGACATTCATGGAATCTATGTAGGAGCACATCGCCAGTGCAGCTTCCCTGCGCGGACACCGATCTTCAACACACGGGTGTCCTCAGATGTCGGATAAGAGAGCGGAGGGTAATCACCAGACCCTGCCTGCAATGCCGAATGTCTCAATCGCGTCACGCTGAGCTGAAATCCCAAACTCATCGTCGACACGATCAGCTGTTGTATTAGGTGATATGGACAGGCTCGGAGGAAAGTTGGGATGGTAGGACATGGTGACGATAGGTGTTTGTTTGTCTTTGTTAGGATCCAAAGGTGCCACCTTCATTGGCTGTTAGTTCAAGAGTCAACCAACATGTCCAAACAGGCCAGAACTCCTCAACAAAACTCTAGTGGCAATCGGTCCAGTTCATAAACCTCCTCTCATTTTGGAGTGAGGGAATACAGTAAATAAAATACACAAAGAATAGTTGGCATTTATTGAATTAGTGGTCTAGGGGGTAGCAAGCTACATTGCCCATACTCTACTACTTGTGCTATGTTGTTGATCCCATGCTACTATCATGTGATAGGATAATGCACAATTTGAAATAGCTACACAACAGCAAAATTTGTTGTGATTGGTCTTTGGGGACCTGACTAGAAGTGGGTCTTAGGGCCTGAACATGGTAGCAAAATTTCTTCTTCCTTATGCAAAACATATACAAACCAAGTCTGTGCAGAGTTCAGTGGACTTCCAAGTTGATATCTGGCTGTGGGCACATGGCAATCAACCACTCATACACTATGCTGTTGACCTATCACTATGATTCAAGAATTGCCTCATTACCATGGAGGAGGAAGAGGAGGAGGATGATGAAAGATTCCAGGTCCTAATCTCATTCAGAGGGTGCTAGTCATGCAGCAGGTTCAGAACTATGCAACAGTTGCCTGCTGTACTCAGTATATACCAGGCTGCAATTGCAACCCTTCGAAGTGCTACCCCAGAACCTTACCACACATCTCTCTTTTGGGACAGGGATGGGTAGATGAACTACTTAATGGGCACCCCATGCAGATCAGAAGCAAACTTGGCATTCACAAACATATCTTCCTCAGGCTCATATCTATCATTTGAGAAGGGCAGCTTCAAGATTCAAGAACATGTCACACTAGAAGAGCAACTGGCAATTTTCCTGTATGCAATGGTTACAGGCTTATCAGCCCAGCATATTCAGTGAGTGATTCCAACATTTGATGGACACTATATCATGGTGAGTGTACAGTCACCTGAACACATGGAATTTCTGCTAATCATATATTTTACCCAGGTATTTCAAATGAATGCTCCATGCATTCAGCAAGGGTCCAATTTATACCACATATGTCTGCCTTCTCAGAGCCAATTCACTGATCCCCAGTTGTATTGCTGCCACAGTACTAAATTCTATCCTTACTTCAAGGACACCATAGGTGCTCTTGATGGCACACATATTGCATGTGTGCCATCAAAAAGTGAATGGGATCTGATGCACAATCACAAAGGTTTCTTATCTCAAAATTGTCTTGTTGCATGCTTGTTTCGATGGTATTATTACATATGTTCTTGGAGGCTGGGAAGGATCAGCCACTGATGCTACTGTCTACCACAATGCATGCTTGCAGGACTTCACAATTCCTGATGGGCACTATTATCTTGCTGATGCAGGATATCCATTGACTCCACAATTACTTGTACCATACCATGGCCAATGTTATCACTTTGGCCAAGTGGGGTCAACCTAACTTACAGTAAGTACTATTATATCCTTATGTACATTTGATTCTCATTCACTCCATATAGGCCAAAGGATAGCAAAGAACTCTTCAACCTTCACCATGCCATGCTTTGAAATGACATTGAGCATAACTTTGGAATCATAAAGCAGTGTTTTTGCACCCTTGTTCTTCCACCCAAGTATGATATGGCAATCCAATCATGGTTTCCTGCAGCTGCATGCTGCCTTCACAATATTATCTGCCTCCATAATCCTGATGATGTCGATATGCCAGATCCTGATGCAGTCGATGAAGAAGAAGGGCCACTCCTAGCACCTGAAGAAACTGATGTTGGAGACTTGCAGGATATTCCATTGAACACTGAGTTGCACAAACAGATGAATGCCTTGCATGACATGATCACAATGCAGATGTGGGTGTTACACCTTGCCCGGGGCTCTTCCCTTTTTCATCTCATCACAGTCACATGTATCATGTGCCTCATCATGTCCCTCGTGGTTGTTGCCATCCTAGGGGCCCATATGCTCCAAGGGTTGCTTGGATCTCCAGCTGTCAAGGTATTTCCAATACCTGTCGAGACTGTGCCCCTTATTTGATCCAGTGTTCCACCACCCTCTCTGATGGACAACTTGTTTCTTTCTTGTCCCAGTTGACTCGTCTTTATTGCCCAGATGTTGTATAGTAGTTCCGGTGTCAGGCTCCTTGTTGCACATTGATTGCACTGGCTGGTATAGCCTTCATTGTCTCCCTACCCCATCAGATGACATCATATGACTCCTATTTATTTCACTGATTGTTCTGTTGACTACTGCAGATATGTGTTGTGACTGGTACAGTACTCTTACTTAGGAGTATATAACTCTTTGTACTTTACTGTGTATCCTCAGTTTTTTGATAGCTTGCAACTCAGCTAACTTCCTTCTCGCTTGTCCTTGTTCTCTCCCCACACGAACAACCTTAGGGACTCACCAGCAGACAGAACCTTTGTTGGACTTTCAGGATAACTGAGCCATAGGGGTTACAATAAGTTTGGCCCATAGACTCCCCCTCACGTGCTTTGTGCCTATTCCATTTGAAGAAGTCACTGTGCTTGGGCATAACAAAATTGAAAAACTCAGTGCAGCTTTCAGGACTTGTTGACCTCTTTGCAAAAGTCTACTCGTCCCTGGTTACTGAACTTCAACAAACCATAACTACCCCTAGAAAGCTCCTTGGTCTCCCTCAGTGCAAGACTGACTCACTCTTCCTCAACTGTGCCTTTCAACGTGTTTTTCCACCACTAACAAAATTGAGAAGCACCCTTCTACCCTCAATCAAGTTCATTGCTCTACAGGCAGCCACCGAGCTTTAATAAATTGCCTCCCTAGAGCTAGTGCCCATGTCTCCCTACACATAAAGCCACTTGCGCACCATCTACCCATGCTGACAGGTTTCTCTTGAGAAATAAATCCTCCCTCAGCCATTGTTGTCACTATTTGTTAAAGTGTCTAACCCTCAGAAATTGAGACTGCCAGTTCCTCCTCGACCTAATCCTCTTGGGCTCGGAAGGAATCCTCCTTTGCTGCCCATCCTGCTAGGAAGACTAGGCCCCTCAGTTACCGCATCAAACCCTTGGTTATCTTACTTGTCCCAGTTTAGGGATTCAGAAGTCATGCTTAGTTCAGAAGAAGAAGACAATCAAAAGTCCAAGACTTCTTTCAGATCAGTCCTCAAAGAAGAACAAGAAGCTCACAAATCACCAGTTATGTCCATGACAATCGGTCACAGAGAGTCTGCTCCTGAGATGCCTACAAGGACCTTCTCAGAAGAGGAGCTGAGACAACAGTTGGAAGATCAATGGCTTGCTATGGCAGAAGAACTTTGCAAGGTGATGCACACCAGGAGTAGTGACCCCTTTCCAACAGGAATGCCTACAGACTTGGCATTACATGAATGGTATTCCAGGAACTTCAGAAAGGTAATTCCCCCAGAGAACCCCTTCAGAGGGTCCAGTAAGGGTAAGGCCCCAGCCAATCCTGACGACATATACGATTGCTGCCCACCCAATGGAGGACAGGAGTTTAATGTCAGGCATCCCAGAGAATATGACAGAAGCCATAATGGGCTCCAGACCTGGGTTATGCAGGTCGAAGGTTATTTGAACCTGAACAAGCATGTGTACAACACAGAGTCGCTCAAGATCTCATTTGCACTCACTTACATGACTAAAGGCGCAGTGGTTTCTTTTGCCAAAAACTATCAAAATGAAAACAAGCTTCTCGATGGAACAATCTACTACACTGATACCTTCCAAAGGTTTGTGGAACATCTTAAAGCTACTTTCAAGTCTGGTGACCAAACTGCTCTTGCAATACTCCACCTGTCGGACATTTCACAAGGCAAACACGAACTTGAAGTGTATATCACTGAATTCATGGGGCTTGTTAACAAGGCTCAACTAAAAGAAGAATCACATGAAGCAGGGATCTTCTTTGGAAAAGGATTGTGACTGGGTTCTCAATTCTGGATGTGCCCCTTCCATGGTTATTGAGTGGATACAGTGTGCAGGAGAAGCTTGAACCATGATCGCAACGAAGCATATCCTAGAAGGGAAGGAATCTCGGTATGAAAGAAAGTTCATTCATTATTGTGGAGGTTCCCAAGATCCTGATGTGATGGACATTGACAAATGTAAACAGAATGTTAGATGTTCCAGTTCGGAAATTAAATGCTTCAATTGTGGAGCCAAAGGTCACTACAAGCGTGACTGCCAAGTTAAAGTCAAATCCCAACTTTCCAGAATCTGCATAGTCCTCTTGGAGGATGGAACAAAGACTGCTTATGTCGGAGATTGTGAAGCAACTGCAGAAGAAAGGAAAACTTATGGGTTGGGTATTTAAAGGGGACTGACGAAACCCCTGCTACAGTCAGTCCTGTTGCTATCCTGTCTGCTAAATGTACTTCTATAGATGATGAATTGAATATGTGTATCTGTTCGCCACTCAGGTTGGTCATTTTACTGGACTTCAAAGCAGGAATATGTGCCTGTATTGACTCAGGTGCTGAAGTTTCCCTAATCTTGGAATGAATAGTCCAGAAACTTGGGATACCAATGTATCATGTCAAAAGCAAGTTCAAGACTACTTCATTTACTGGAAAAGATGTCAAATGGGTTACCTGCAAAGTGACCCTGAAAATGGAAATCAAGGAGCACGTTGTTCAGATCAAATGCTATGTTGGACCATTGGTCGGAAAAGAACATGTCCTTCTTGGTATGCCTTTCCTCAAGGAGTTCAAGCCTTGCATGAACTGGGAAACTGGAAAAATCACATGCTGGGATGATGGGTATGTTTATCCTGAAAAGTCTGACCATTTTGTTAAGCAGGTGATGTCCTCAGACATGGACAGTAAGAAGGAATCTCCCAGCCTGTCCCCAGAAGTGGTAAAAAGGGAAATGGATGAAACCCCCATTGTTATTAATAAAATGACCTTGTCTACAAAGCTAGAGGCTGCCTTGGCAAGCACAAGGGAGGAGGT